ATTGGAAAAAAAAGCAGCTCATAAATGTTTAGTCTCGGCTTCGAGTACGGATACTCGCTGACTTCGCCGAATGCCCTGGTCATGTGGGAGGCCCAGTTCGGTGACTTTGCCAACAACGCACAGTGCATCATTGATCAGTTCATTGCCTCTGGTGAATCAAAATGGCTGCAGCGCTCTGGTCTCGTCATCTCCCTCCCTCACGGTTATGATGGCCAAGGCCCCGAACACTCGTCCGGCCGTCTGGAGCGCTGGCTGCAGCTCTCTAACGAAGAGCCTCGTGTCTTCCCCAGCCAGGCCAAGCTGGACCGCCAGCACCAAGATATCAACATGCAGATCGCCTACATGACCACTCCGGCCAATCTGTTCCACATCCTCCGTCGCCAGATCCACCGCCAATTCCGCAAGCGTATGTTCCTCCCCCCTGAAACTGTTTATACTTTTTTTAATGTACTGACAATCTGTAGCTTTGGTTATCTTCTTCTCGAAATCTCTGCTGCGTCACCCCATCGCTCGGTCCAGTATTGAGGACATCACCGGTGACTCGCACTTCCAGTGGATCATCCCCGACCCGGCCCACGGCAAGGAGATCGACGAGCCGGAGAAGATCGAGCGCGTCATCCTGTGCTCTGGTCAGGTGTACGCTGCGCTGGTCAAGCACCGTGACACCAACGGTATCCGCAACACCGCCATCACTCGTATTGAGCAGCTGAACCCCTTCCCTTGGGCCCAGCTCCGCGATAACCTGGACAGCTACCCCAACGCCAAGAACATTGTCTGGTGCCAGGAGGAGCCCCTCAACGCCGGTGCCTGGAGCTTCACCCAGCCCCGTATCGAGACCCTGCTGAACGCCACGGAGCACCACAACCGCCGCCACGTCCTCTACGCCGGTCGCGCTCCCAGTGCCTCGGTTGCCACTGGTCTCAAGTCGGTGCATCTGAAGGAGGAGCAGGACCTGCTTGAGGACGCCTTCACTATCCACCAGGACCGCCTCAAGGGGGAGTAAGTTAGTCTTAAGTCTTGCACCGTTGGTAGATTCTCGTGGATCTCTTCTTTCCTTTGTATGATTTTTTTTCCCTTTGTTCTTTTTTTTTCTTATCTCTTGGTCCCTGTTTCGCTATATTTATCTATTCGTCTGCCTCTCTTAGCTGCTCATCTGCATGGTGTTGTTAAATCTACGTCTGGGGTCTCCAGTGTGGTGGCTAGAATATTGAATATGTAAAATACTTGCTTTATTTTCATCATGTGGTGTCTCGACGGGGTGGCGCGAATTGTCTCTAGAGTCTATACAAATAAGCGCTCAATTGTCTCATCAGTAGATTGATTACTCTTAAACGGTACTCAGTGACACACTGTACCGTATATCGATGACGTCATGTTATGCAGCTGACTCAGCAGGCACAATCCTTCCCAAAGCAGTCAGCACAAACACTCTCCACTTTGGCTTCTCTCGTCCGTCTCTGAGGCTTGACGCTTGACTCTTCCCTCTCCATTACTTCACGGCATGCAGGCATCTGGAATTTGGGGGACGGAGTAGAGTCTTTCCCATTCTTTCGTCTTCTCCTCTCCGGTCTGGTCAGACCGCCGATTTTGCTGGAACAGGTGTCTTCCTGTCTGCAGTTCTGCGTTCTGCAGCAACGCATCTCACAATGTCTACCAACTCGCAAAGCCAGACAAACCGTCCCTTGGCCCGTCAGACGCGGACAAACCCATCTCGCACCTCCAAAACGCTTGGCCGCTCATCTTTCGCATACGCACACCATGGAGCCTCCCTCGACGCAGCTCCCGCGACACCCCCCGTGCCGCACGGCTTCTACCCGGCCCTCACCCACTTCACCGACGCGATCACAGCCCTCCCGCGTGAATTTCGCAGGCACAATTCGTTGCTGAAAGAGGTCGATGCCAAAGCTTGGGCCCTCGAGGATAACCTGCTGCAGTTGCTGCAGGTGGCTTCGGATGCAGAGGTGGTGCCCTGCCCGGTCAACCCGGCGCCGATTCTGGGGGGGGTGGTTCGTGAGGATATGATGAAGGTAGTTTCATCCTTTTACTTTTCACTCATAATATTTTACAAGAAAGTGATACTGATCTTGTTATTTCGATTCTTTAGGACTCCCACTCTGAGTCCCAAGAAAGCAAGAACCGTCGTCTCCTCTTCGACCGAGTGCGCCATACCCTGTCGGACCTGATGATGACTGCAGACGAAAAGAACCACGTCGTGACGAATGCAAACGAGGAACTTGATCGCCAATTGATGCGCATAGACAGCATATTCCCCTACATTGCCGGCGAGGTCAGCGACGAGGCGCGTCTGGGCAGCCTGACGCACTGGGCGTACTCGAACAAGAACACAGCCAAGACAACCACAAACGAGCGCCCCCGCCGCGAAGCCGCATCCAACAAGGACCTGGCTCATGCCCTGCACGAGGCAGAGGCTGCGACACGCAGTGAGGCTCGCCGCGAGGCCGTCCAGGCGCGCAAGCAGCGCCGCACACACGCCGTCGATTCCGACTTTGACGACGCGCGTCCCGCGACGTCTCGCAAGGGTGCAGCGACCAAATCTCGCACTGGTGCTAATGCTACAGCTGCGACGGACCATCATGCGGGCGATCATCATGCGGGCCACCATGCAGCTGGCGCGGGGGCGACGGGCGCAACAAAACGCCGCAAGGTCGAACGACCGCCTCTGGTGGATACAGGAGCAGCAGCCATGGAGCGCACGGTTAGCGGGCCAGGCACCGCTTCTGGTCGCCCTGCGTCAAAGGATGCGGATGCGACGAAGAAACGGGCCCGTCCGGCTGCAGGCGCCTCACGCAAGAGGTATTTTCTCTCTTCTCTTCTCTCTTTTCTACTCTCTTCGTTACTAACAGTTTAGGAACGCTCCTATTGCTGAATCCCCCGTGCTCGCATCGTCTCCTGTCGTCGGAACGTTCAACATCCCTCGCGGCGCCGCCAGCCCAGGACCCAATACCGTCGCTCGCCCGTCGTCCTCGCGTGCACAGCAGAGCAACCTGATCACTAACCCTCGACAACGGCCATCTCCTTCTGCATCCAACCGGGGACTTCCAAGTATGCTCTTTCTTTCTTTTTCTATTGTATTTTTCTTTGCTAACAAGCTAGATAAAAACGACAACAAAGCAACAAGCAAGGAAGGATCGCTCAAGGAAGATACGGCGCCCGTCTCCCTGGCAGACACCCCCCGGGGCGATCTGAGCGATGAAACCGCCGGTGTGACTTCAGCTACGGCCAGGGTCTCCGGTTTTGTAGCCAAGATGGAAGATTACCCGGGAGATGGAAACCCATCCGAATCGATCGAGACGGGCGAGCCGCCCCAGCCGTACCCGGGTTCTCCAATCCTGCACACCGCTCTGCCTACAGCCGCCAATGGCAATATCAATGGAAATGGCAATGGCAATGGAGGCGGCACATCCAAGGGTCGATCGTCCAAGACGTCCACACCGGTACTTGGCTCGCTACCTGAACTGCCTGCCCCTCGTGTTCGGCAGACGCGACAGGCCGACCCTGCCCCGACGGCGGCGGCGGCGACGACGACGACGAAACGCAATCACAAACGAACGGGTAGCACGGTTGTGCCGCCCCCGGTGGCCTCTGAAGACGAGGAGTCGCTGCACGAGGGAGACGACGAGGACGACGACGGCGAGCCGCGGTACTGCTATTGCAACGAGGTCAGTTTCGGCGAGATGGTCGCCTGCGACAATGACGCCTGTCCGCGCGAGTGGTTCCATCTGTCGTGTGTGGGGATGACCAAACCGCCCGGCAAGAATGGTAAGTCTCTTCATTCATTCAGTCTGTTCATTGATCATTGATATACTGACTGTTTCTGTTTAGTGAAATGGTATTGCAACGAGTGCAAGGAGAACATGCGACGGAGGAATAGATAGTTCTCAACGTAGATATGAAATGATTATGCCTTCTTTTCTTTTCTTTTTTTTTTTTTTTATACTGACTGTTTCTGTTTAGTGAAATGGTATTGCAACGAGTGCAAGGAGAACATGCGACGGAGGAATAGATAGTTCTCAACGTAGATATGAAATGATTATGCCTTCTTTTCTTTTCTTTTTTTTTTTTTTTTTTTTTTTTACTTCAAGGTCTACTGCCTACATCCACCCCCGTACTCGCAGCGGCGGTCTCCCCCTCCAACCGTCTCCTCAGATCTCTATAGCGCTCAGTATTTCCCGTGCTTCCTCCACTACCAGAAGTATTCCCCGTGCGCACCTTCTCCCCCACCATCCAAGCCGGAACCCGCCACGATGTACAGGGTATGAGATCCGCGCGCCAGGCGAGGCCGACAACCCACCCGGTTACAGCGGGGAGCAAGCCAGCCGGGAACTGCGAGAGGGCCAGCTGCGCGGCAACAAGGTATGTTGTCGATTTATCAGAGAGGAGGAGGGTGAGGTATTTCGATGACGTTGAAGAAGTTCCTTCCGGGGCGTGTGCATCTGGAGCGTCGGCCTTGGTAGATATTCTATACCGGTATGTATGCGGGATACTCGCATAATACTGCGCCAACAGGGCGAAGACGATCGCCGTCGGACCAGAGGGAAGATAATTCAACGTGTTGAGCGAGAGGGGACGAACCACCATTGCGAGGAGGAGGGGGGGGAGAAGGGTCGTATACGGGAACACCTGTAGAAGGAAGGACTGAAAGATTACTTATTAGTCTCTTTATCTATACTCTCCTTGTTGTGCGCTGGCTTACTATCATCTTCCTTCCCCCCCACGCCCGCTCGATAATCCGTAAATGATAGATCAGCATGGCTGCAAAGAGCGTCTCGGTCGAGTTGGCAAATCCGGCGCCCTGCCAGATCAGGGTGCGCCAGAACTGGCCGTATTGCCAGAGGTGCGGCGAGACCTGGACATGGGCAAGGTGTTTGACGTCGAGGATGGCGAGGGCGACCGACGAGGCGATCGTGTAGATGAGTAGGTATTTCGATATCGGTGCGTTCGTGAATCCGGAGCTGATCATTCTGTAGTGTATCTAGTCTGTGTGTAGTCTGTGTATGTCGTAGTAGTGGTGTACTCTGTATGTAGTGAATGTACTCCGCAGTTTGTGGAGTGAGATGCGGACACGTAGCGTCGGCATGCCGATATCACTATAACTATCTACGGATACATCTACGCTACATCATCTACATACCTAGTGGTCTATATACTCCGTCCTTAATGTTCTAACGTATGTTATTCCTGTATACTCTCTAGAGCAAGCTTATATTTCGTCAAAGCCACGTCCAGCGCCTTTACCGTCGGCCCCAACAGCTGCAGGACCACACGTTCCCCCCCCGGCACCCCAGCCAGGTTGACGCGGATCTTGCGGCCCGTCGCCTGGAGGACATCCCGTGCATGCTGTTTCACCCGGTTGACTTCTACCAGGCGTTCGGCCTCTGCGTCGGTGGCCACGGCGCGGATGCGCTCGTTCGCGCGATGTAGCGACTCCACGAGCGATGCCAGCTCGCCCGCCCGGTCCGGGTTACCCGACAGGAACGCCTGCCAGAACTGATGCAGGAACTCGGTCGAAGTCGCGTGCGTCAGCGTCAGCCGGTCGTACAGTGTTGTCGAGAGGCCGTACGTGTTGTCCGCCGCCGCAGACGAGGACACTTCCGTCTGGGCGCGTCGGTCTCGGATCGCCTCGAGGATCTGGGCCGACGCACCGCGTAGGCTCGCCTTGGATCCTACCCGCTGCTTATTCTGCTTTTCCTCGTCGCTGTCTTCCTCCTCTGGTTCGATGAGTTTCCCTAGCTCCACGGACCCATCATCCGGTAATGTCTGCTCCACGATGGTGCGTAGACGCTGCAGGATTATCTGGGGATCTTGCTGCTTTTGTTGTTGTTGTTGGGCAGCCGCCAACCGACTCTGCTCCTCATCTTCTCCTTTCCCCTGGGAGAAGAATCGGCTCTGATCGCGGATGTTCAAAAGAACCCGGCTCTGCAGCTCGTCATCGCGCAGGTCCCGCAGCTGCAGCTGGTTGAACGTGTCTTCGTCCATGCCGACGGGCGCCGAGGGATCCCGGTCCGCAGGAGCCACGCCGGCCATGATCTTCTCGCTCAGACTGTTCAGCGTGCGGATGATGGGCACCTTTTCCACCGACGAGGGCCGCATGTCCCAGTCCGGCCGGTTCCCCTTGAGACTAAGGTTCCCCTCGTTACCTGCTAGGTTGATAAAGTGCGGGACCTGGTCGCCATCACGCTGTCGGGCAGCAGCAGCAGCAGCAGTAGTAGTAGTAGCAGCAGGGAGGCCGCCGGTCTCGTCTGCTTTGAGATATTTATCCAGCACGGCGTCCGTGGCGTCGTTTTCGGAGATGCGCTCGCCGCGGAGCTTCTTGAACAGCCGGCTTTGAAAAAAGCGCGACCAGAACTGCTGCTCGCTCAGTTTGGGCACGTTCTCGTCGTACACGCGCTTGACGAGCGGGTGCTGCGCGAAGATCAGCCCGATCTGCTCCTTGCTGATGTTCAGCTTCGTCACGTTATCCTCGACGCGCGGCTTCAGCGTCGACAGCACATTGTACGACCCTCGCGTCTGCGCCCGCTCGATCGCATGCGCGCGTAACAGATGCAGCCGCGTCGACCAGAACTGCGCCATGAACTGCGCGGCCGTCAGGCCCTCGGGCTTCGTGTGCAGTGACTCCATGAACATCCGCTGTAACCCTGCGTCCGCCTTGAGTAGGGACTGCTGTAGCTCTGCGTCCCCTTTGAGTCGATTGTCGTCGTCCCAGGGACTTTTTCCCACAGACGAGACTGCACTCGCCATCGCCATCGCGGCAGACATGCCCGCTGCTCCTGTCGTACCCGCTCCTCCTGTATTTCCCACCACATCATTCTGAACTTTGGCCGCCTGGATCGCCGCACTCAGCGCATCTTTGATCGCATCCGCCTCCGCCCGGGCATTTGTCCCCGCCGTGAACGAAAACACATACTGGTCCACGGGGGCATTTGGTTGCTGGGCAAAGATCTTCAGCATGACTTTGGGGTTTGTAACGGGTGTTTGCTGGAGGTCTTCATCATCAGAGAGAGATTTTTTTTTTTAAAAAAAAAAAAAAGAAAAGGGCACACAAGGTGGTATAGAGCATGCTGTAAAACTTACTGGTAATATTTGCAACGGGAATCTGCACACCTTGCCCCCCCGTAGCAGGACTCCAGGAAACACTCCGTCCATCAGAACTGAGACTCAAAGTGCCCTCTTTCTTCTTGTATGTTGCTGACCCGTTCGGAGGCGCCATCTCTTGGTTTTCCAGGTTCCCAGGTTTCCAGGTTTCCTCCGGAGCAGACACGAAGGAACTCAACCTCGAATGCGACGGCGAGGCCGAATGTACCCCATCGGGAAGTATTCCCGGGAAGGATAGGGAGGAAAGAAAGAAAGAAAGAAACCACGCTCTCCACTCCGGCCTGGCTGGTACGAGGAGATGTCGAGGGAGCTGGGATTTAAGGCTCAAGCCTGTCCGCCCTGAGACTTGAGCTCTTGTCACGTGATTAAAGTGCGGTTACTTAGTACTAACGGTGTTACAGAGTACTGAGTCTACGACTGTACAGTAAATATACTTATACTTATAGTACAACTATTATAGGTCTACTGTTATTCAATTATTCATATTCATATTCATATTTATTTATATTCAGAGAAGGAAAACCGAGCAGAGATCATCACGCTGATTAGAACTGGACGGAAGAGCAGGAAGCAAACCCCATGACGATGCTAAAATGGATCGCTATGCAAAACAGACGTGATTCGGAGAGAGACGAACGGAGCAGAAACTTTCATCAGTCGCTAGACGATGCCACCATGCGCAAGAGTAGAAGAGCAAGAAGATATTCGCCGTGTCGACAGATCGGGTATAAACACTGCAGTCAGTTGGCAATAGAAACAGATAAAAAAAAAAAAAAAAGAGCAGCAGAAACTGCAAGAAGGGAATTATTTCTTAAACATGTAATGTCCGTAGATGCCACCGACGTCGCCGACAGCAACGGGGATCTTGCGCATCCCCCACCAGCGGGCACCCATCTTCCACCAACGGGCGCCGTCGTCGAGTCGCTGGTGTGGCGGCATGGTGGCCGGGTCACGGACATACCATCCTCGGCGGCCGAGTTCGCGGACGGTCCAGCCCGTGGTCGGTCGGCCGTTCTTGCTGCGCTCTCTCAGCGGAGCGATCAGCTTGTCGCTAAACTCGACCACCTGCAGCGGGTAGCTCTGCGGGGAGAGCAGGGCGCAAGCTGTCATGTTGAAGATTGCGCCCACAGACATCTGAGGCACTTTGTTGAGGTCAAGGTAACACAGGGTTGGTGGAGACCAGGGGGTCTCCTCCTTTTTCTCGGTGTCAACAGTGCCCGCCTCGGGGAAGCCCGCCTCACTGTCCAGTGCATCGCTCTTGGGCGTTGAAGGAGGAATAAAAAAGGCATTGAGATCCTTGACGGAGAGGTCTGCCCCGCTCAGCCCCAGTTCCTGCAGGTGCTTGGTGAGAGTGACGAGCATGGGCACATGGTCGGAGTTGACGCGTGCGCCGCCCAGGTTGAGGGAGCGGAGGGAAGTAGGCAGCTTGGGCAGGAGGGCCTTGACATCGTCTTCTTCGAGCAGCCGGAAGCGGGAGGGGTCGGTCATCAGGTTGAGGAAGGCCAGAGAGTTGCAGACGGCCGGGTGGGTGGTGAGAAATTCCACGACCCGCGGGCCGGAGATGCGCGAGCAGCGAGACAGGCTGAGATGGGTGATGTTGGCGGTGTCCGGAATGGAGAAGAGGGCCGCTTCGGTGATCTGCGTGTGGGTGAGGTCGAGGTGGGTCAGGTTCACCAGCCGGGGCAGCAGGATCTCAAAGGCGCGCGGGGGCAGGCCGCTGCACTCGTGCAGCGAGACGCGCTTGAGGTTTGGCAGAACCATGGGGAGACCCTGGTCGGCGGTCAGGCCGTCGAGGAAGATCCTGGAGAAGGATTGGGAGGAGCAGCCACAGAAGTCGACGGCATCGAGGTTCGGAAGGCCGGTGAAGAGTTTGTGGACGATGTCGGCGCTGATGTCCCCTTCGATGTGTTCCTGGAGCAGACATTCCCTCAGGTTCGGAAGAAGGTCGAGGCACTTGAGGAGGGTGGTGGAAGTCAGGTTCTGGATCTCGATGTTCATCTGCTTGGTGCGGCCCAGGCCGACGGAGGTGAAGTGGGAGAAGTCCAGGCGACGGACGAGGGTGCCGAGGGCCGGGTACTGGGACATGTGGCTGAGGGCCTTGGAGAAGATGACGGAATGGGGGAAGGTCATGTTCCGGTACAGCACGCCGAGGGTGGCGGCGTGCAGGGTGCGCGAGGTGAGGAGGCAGGAGATGAGGTCGACATTGCGAGGGGTGTAGCCATTGGGGGGCACATCGAGTGCCAGGTTGGAGATGATTTGATCTGATGTTCAGCATTTCACAATTGATTAATTGATGGAGAGAAAAGGTCGGGGGGGGGGGGGTGGATAACCTACCCAGAATCTCGGGTGGAAGTAACTCGATGGGAGCGAGACTCGCTTCAGATTTCGGCTGCTTGATCTCCAATGGTTTAGCCTTGGAAGGGGTTACAGCTGGGCTAGCCTCCCATGCCCAGCCGCGGGAATGCGTACTTCCAAGCAGACGAAGGTCGCTATAGCTCCTGCTCAACTTCCTGCCGCCTAGCCGAATCTGCTTCCATCCCAAGAATCCACCACAGGGGCAACAAAAGTCGGGGGTCTGCTGCATCTCCAGCGCAGTGGGGAATCCCTGGCCCTGCCTGTCGCAGGCGTGGTGGTCTTTGGGGGATTGGGAGGAGGAGGAGGAGGAGGAGATCTGGGTGTCGACAAAGGACTGGGCAATACCTGTGTCGAGTCGACTCATCAGGAAGGGAAATAAGAAATCATCAAGCAATGTGGAAATAGAGAATCACCAGAAGGAGAGATAAAATACAAAAGGAAAGAAGACAGCCACGGCTTAAGTACTCACCATCCACGTCTTCCTTGATGGAGCCAAAGGAGGGCCGCCGACGACTGCTAGACCGGGACCCGTCGTCGGTCGACGAACACACAGACTCAGGGGAATGGTCGCGCGAGGAAGGAATGGTGACTCTAGCGGCGAAGCGGGAGAGGCTGGACTTGGGGGCAGAGGGTGCTGGGGAGGAAGCCATCGTGAGATGAGTGGTGACCCTTCTCTGAGTCTATATAGTCAGGCTTAGTGTAGGTAGTAACTAGCAGACTGAATGGACGATGAAAGGGAAGACCACACAAAGAAGCAGGTTCTTTTTTTCCTCTTTTTCCCTCTCTTTCCCCCAGGTTCGCGAGGGCAAGCGAGTCTTCCGAGTGGTCTGCAAGAGGGGGCCGCCGTGGTGAGGAGACGGTGCAGCTGTTACTGTTAGTCACAGAATTCCGTGGATGGCCGGAGCAGCGACGGAACCAACACGCTATCGAGTAAAGTAGTGCGAAGCCAAGAGACCGCCCCTACCACTGTCTGGCGAGCAATTACTTGTACCCCGTAGACTCCGTTGTTAATAGGGTAGTATGTAGTAGTAGGTAGATGGTAGATACTGAATTGTAGGTAGTAGGTGAATGGTAGGTAGGTGCAAAGAAGGCGAAAAATACTGTCAGGCGGCGGAAACCGAGTGACTCGACCCGGCGAACTCGGCCCCGTGGATCGTGCCGTGGCCACTGGGGCGAAATGCCGTAAGATAATAGAGATTTGGTAGCAAAATCAATACAATACGGAGTACTAATTACCTAGTAACTAATAGTAACTAATAGTAGGTAAGTTGGTGATCTGATTCTCAATAACCCCTGTACTTGCTTTTTCCACCCCGGAATGCTTGTTTGATCCTGCAGGTTTATCGTCTTACTAGGTACCTACTTATGTAGTACTAGTTAACTAGTTACTCCATATGTCGAGTGCTATGTCCGATGTTTACTCGACTGTGTGTTACCTTACCAGTGCCAGGCACAGTACCTAATCTACATCTTTTGTCACATTCCGACCGATGGATGCCATGACATAATTGTAACAATACCAATAATAGGTACTATATAGTAGTTACCTATCAACTACCTAGTTAGTATACTATACTATACTATAACCTAGGTATACTATACTATACTATGCTATATACGTAGTATCTACCTTAGGACTACCTGTACCTTGTTATTGGAATAGTACCTCCACGGCATTGTGACAAACATTACAAACAAAGACACCAGACAGGTAACAATAGGATACTTCCATACCTCTATACTTCTTCCACTACTGGTAACTAATCGTAATACATGGGATACTAACTATACTTTACCCTCCAGGTCAGCAGATCCTAGTCCAAAACAGCCTAGCCCCACCAGTGAAAAGCAGATCTGCTGGGTCTGGCGCTAACCCCGGACCAAGCCACGTTAATGTGTAGTAGCTTTGTAGACACTACTCTGCTTTGATCCTATACTTGTAACCTATTCATTGTCGTGGTTAGGTATTATATGTATTGTTTGGGTGGTAATTGAGTAGTAAGAAATAAGAGTTGTAGGTACCTTAGTACTAAGGTTAGCAGGTGTTAGGTAATACATACCACGTACCTCGTGCCCAGTGACTGCCCAGGTGCAGCATGCCCTCGCGGCGTGTGGTTATTGGTGCGCCGGTATGTCACGGCTGGTGATCACGCGGGGAAGCTGTCGCTAGGTAGCACCTACCTAGGTGGTCTAAGTCCCAGGTACCTAGAGTACTGGTTACTAAGTCACTGTAGGTTAGGTACCTGGTATAGGCATACGGAGCATTGTCCTCCGTGCTCCGTACCTGGTAATCGATCATGTGAGCTACTAAGGTTGACCTTCTATTATCCTATCCAATAACCTGGTGTTCTTCACACTAGCTTTAATCTACTAACTATTACTGTATACCTCTGTATATTTATGCCACGTCAGTATAGCTACAGCTATACCCAGACTCTACCAAGTCACTCGTAAATATATATCACACAACTGGCAGGAATAACCAGTCCAGATTCTAATTGCTAAGCTTTACTATGCAGGTCCCGGGGAAAATACTGACACATAGCTGGGTGCACATGATGACTAGTAATATGTTATACAGTTATACCATAAAGAATCAACAAGAATCAATGAATAGGGGATAACTTGAATAGATGCAAGAAGAAAAGAAAAAGAAAAGAAAAAAAAAGATAGCATGTCCTCGTTTCGATCGAGGGTCCCTTGGGTTATGAGCCCAATGCTCTTCCGCTGAGCTAACATGCTTCGATGGATACTCGGTCCATTTTTGGCTCTATGAGTCAGATCATTAAAGGTACAAAGGTACTAAATTAGTTCGAACTACCTTAACTAGTTATTCGACAGGCTTCAGTGCCTATTTTTTAGCATCAGATTTATGATAATACTACAATCTAAGAGTGTCCATCTACTAGTAGACACCGACAAAACCATTACTACCAAATACTACATAATACGCTTCCAATATACTTTGTTGTGTCTAGGAAATATTTCTAGTAGAAAAGGAAAACGAAGTAAAAGTCTATGACGAAATCGTTGCAAGTCTGTCTTGGTACGACTGCTTTCGTATGCAAAGTCAAAAAAAAAGGTCAAGAGAGTTCAAGAAAAAAAAAAATGTCCCGAAGGACAGGGCCTGGTTCTAGCCTAATGACGCATGAAACAAGTCGTAGCTCCAGAGAGAAATAAATAAACGAAGGAAAGATCTCAACTCTTCCTTGTTCTCCGGTAGCAACGTGGATATCCGTAAGCCGTGAAAATAAAAAGAAAGAAAAAAAACCAAGCCGAAACCAAGCCGAATCCCGGATTCATGCGCAAGTCTAGTTGTTTCGAAATCCAGATTCTCGTAACGCCATCGTAATGTCCATTAAAAAAAAACAGAAACCTTTTTTTCCCCAAACCCAAAGAAGTGGTGGTGGTGGCAATCTACTCAACAGCCGAGACACCATCGCCGTGGAGCACGGGGTTGATCTTGGGGTTCCACTTGAACTTGAACTCCTGGCCCAGCTCCTTGCGGACGGCGGCCTTGACGGCATCGAGGACGTGGTCGAAGACGCCGAAGCTGGCAGGGCTGTTGGGGTCGTTTTCACCGGGACCGCCCTGGAAGACGCCGGTGCGGACCAGGCAGGTGTTCCAGCCGTACATGTTGCCGCCAACGATATCCGAGGCCGGGTTGTCACCGATCATGTACACGTTCTGGGGCAGCTTGTTCTCGTTGTGGATCTGCTCCATCCATGACTTGAGCACTTCGTCGGCGTAGGTGTAGGTGGCGCGCTCGGGTTTGCCGTAGACAACACGCTCCAGGTCGACCCCGGTCAGGGCCTTGTACTGCGCCTCGATGGAGATGCGGAAGGCACCCTGGGTCAGACGCGGGGGACCCTTGTGATCGGTGGGGAAGTGCATGTCACCCTGGGAGAAGTAGACGGGGATGCGCGAGGCGACGGGGTCCTTGGCGCGGGTGAGCAGTTGGCCATCCTCGGCAAGCATGAGGTCCATGATCAGCTGCATGTCGGTGGCGTAGTCGCGCGAATCGGCAAAGACAAGCACGGCGTCGAACTTGACCTTGCTGAAGTCACGGGGGCGGGCCTGGGCACGCTCCTCCGGGGTAAATGCGCGCCAGGGCGAGATGGTGGGATCCCAGGCGAGGATGTCCTTGGGATGGACGACATTCTTGAAGCCGTAGCTCTCTGCCACCTCGCGGACCTTGAAGCCTTCACCACCGCAGACGAGGACGGTCTCGTAGTATTCGGCGAGAGCCTGCATCGGGGTGTGGGATTGGATGAACTGGTCGGTGGAGATGGGGGTCTCAAGAACCTCCGACAGCTGCTCGCAGCGGGAGATCTCGGTCTTGCCACCACCGTTTGTGAGGAGGATGTAAGGGATCTTGATGCCCAGCTCGTTGTCACCATTGAGCATCTTCAGAGCTTCGATGGCCTGGGGAATGGCCTCGTTGCCGTGGGCGAGCACACCGTCAATGTCAAAGGCGAAAGCCATGTTCTTGGCAGCGGCGACCTTCTCCTTGGACATGTCCTGGACCTGCGAGGCCAGGATATCACGCGACACGGCAGCCTGGGCAGCAGCGCTATCGGCATAGGCGACCGACGACAGGCGAGAGACCCGCGGCGAACGAGGGATGGGCAGCGAGGTACCAAAGGAGTTGCGGGAGCCACGGCGGTCTCTCATCGAGGGCGACAGACTCAAGTTGTGCATGTACTGGGCAGCATCGCTGATCGAGCTGCGAGTGGCGGGGATCTCAATTGTGTTGCCGGCGTCCCCGGGGATAGGAAGCTGGCCGGAAAGGCTCTCCCGCTGCTCCCTAGGGGAATGAGGGGGGACAGAGTCCACAGCAAAATCAGCATCCTCGAAGCGAGGCATGATGGAAAGTGATGAGATGATAGATGATAGAGGTGATGAAGATGATGAAGGTGATGGAGATGAAGATAAGACGATAGAGATGACAGAGATGAAGATAGACGACAGGGGTGGAATAGAGGAGTTGAAGAGAAGAGTGTAGGAGAAAGGGGTATCACAAGTAATCAGAAGAATAAATATACGGGCGGGCACCGGGTATATATATACACTGCAGTCACCGCGTGTAATTAGAACCGCCAACTCTCACTCCTTCCCTCTTCTCAGTTCTCCAGTGGCGGCACAAGTGACTGAAGCCAGAGACACGTCCAGCGGATGCCTCAACCTATAGGCCGTGAGCAGCAACCATGGATCCACCGCAGGGTATCATCATCCCTAGGAATTATCGTCGTCATTGGGAAATCCGCCTCTGCCCAGCGGGTATGGCGGAGTGGGTAGAGGACGCCTTGCCTTTTTGAGACTATCAGTCCCTGACTTATACGAAGACAAGTACTAGTACCTAGTAGTTACAAGTACCTAACATTCTAAAGTACATACTACCTAACATACATAGTACTACATGTACATACACTACTACATAGGTACAGATAGCTCATTGAATCGAAGAACAATCCACTTAACACCGAGGCAGGTACAGATACCTCCAGATACCCACAGATACAGATACAGCATACTAGGTACCTGGTATTCCTCATGTACTTTTTTCTATTAATTCATTTTCATTATCTTTCCCATTTTTTATTTTAAATGGGATTAATATTATTCTGCATTAATATTAATTGAATTATTATTCGGCGGGGCGGAGCGTGGAGCGGCGCTGCACGCTGAGTGGGCGGGAGGCAAGTGCACCGTCTCAACCCGGGCCGGTGATTGGCAGGATGGGCAGCTCATCCATGGACGAGCGACAGATCGATGGAGCCTATGACGATCCAGCGGGTGCCGGCGGGTCAAACACTCGCGCTGTTTCGGGCTCAACGTTCGGTTTGTTCAGTTTGCCGGTGACGAGGAGAAGAAATTATGCAGAGTTCAGGCTGATGATGTCATGGACGCATGCAGTGGATAAGGTGGATAAGGTGGATTGTGGATTATGGATTGACTGTGGATTGACTGTAGGAGGTATGTAGGATGGTGGATCGTACTCTTGGATGATAATGTGCTCGTATGGGAGTGGTTTGGGAGATCTAGGATCCTGAATCCTTGTAAAATCTAGTCGTATTGATAGGGAAGTAAGTTCGGGAGGAAGAATCCTACAGTTAAAAGTACAATCAAGAGAAGAAAATAAGAAAATAAAAAATTTAAAAAAAAAGAAGAGAGAAAAAAAAAGCTCCAGCTGTCAGGCAGGGGAGGCGATAACAAAACTGATACTGGCATCATCGACCCCTCCGTCACCGACACCCCGCCTGGATTTTGGACCTCTACGTATTGCCTACTACCTCCTACCTCCTCCTACCTAACTGCTACCTAGATACCCACCTATTATTGTGCCTTTCTCCCCAAATTCCAGTTCTTCCTTCTACCAAAAAAAAAGTACCTTGCTCTTTCTGTTCATAAGTTGACTAATTTTATTGCATCTAAACCCACCATCATGTCGGCCGGGACCTCCTTCAAGCTGTCCAACGGGGTGACCATTCCCGGTGTCGGGTTTGGTACCTTTGCCAACGAGGGATCCAAGGGAGAGACTTACAAGGCTGTCACGCATGCGCTACGGACCGGATACAGACACCTGGACTGTGCCTGGTTCTATCTCAACGAAGACGAGGTGGGCGAGGGGATTCACGACTTCCTCAAGGAGAACCCGTCGGTCAAGCGGGAGGACATCTTTGTCTGCACCAAGGTCTGGAACCATCTGCACCGCTATGAGGATGTGCTCTGGTCTGTCGAGAACTCTCTGAAGAGACTCAAGCTGGACTACGTCGATCTCTTCCTGGTTCACTGGCCCATTGCTGCCGAGAAGGAGACGCAGGAGAAGCCCAAGATTGGGTCTGACGGAAAGGTAAATTCTCACATTGATATATACGCATACTCTTGACTCTAATGCTTGACAGTACGTCATTCTCAAAGATTTGACAGAGAACCCCGAACCGACATGGCGCGCCATGGAGAAGATCTATGAGGATGGCAAGGCTCGTGCCATTGGAGTCTCCAACTGGACCATCCACGGTCTGGAGCAGCTGCTGCAGTTCGCCAAGGTGCAGCCGCACGTCAACCAGATCGAGATTCACCCTTTCCTGCCCAACAACGAGCTGGTCCAGTACTGCTTCGCCCACAACATCCTACCGGAGGCCTACTCGCCCCTCGGCTCGCAGAACCAGGTCCCCACCACCGGCGAGAGGGTCAGCGAGAACCCGACCCTGAACGCCATCGCGCAAAAGGGCGGCAACACCCTGGCTCAGGTGCTCATTGCCTGGGGTCTGCGCCGCGGCTACGTCGTCCTGCCCAAGAGCTCGAACCCGGCCCGCATCGAGTCCAACTTCAAGAGCATCACCCTCTCCGATGCCGACTTTGAAGCCGTCAACGCCGTCGCCGAGGGCCGCCACTTCCGTTTCGTCAACATGAAGGACACCTTTGGTCATGACGTCTGGCCCGAGGAGGCGCGTGCTGCCATTTCCGCTTAATCTGTCGTTTCATACGAACCAATTCAAGCAGGGTTTAACCAGCGTTTCATCCTTGAGCGTCCCTCACACAGACTGTGCTCGGACCGGTCGGGTTGATTTGATGGCTGATGGCTGATACACGGGAATTTGGAACCAATGTTGAATGCGGGTCATCATTTCGGTATTCCGTGATTGGACAGATCGCCACCACAAAATAGATCTACTACAATGGTATTCATGATTCATGATAGACTACTAGTAAATTGTATACTACGGAGTACTCTGTAAATATTCCTTGAGTAGTAACTACTACATAAAAACCATTCTGTCTGTAGTACTCTATGTAGTAGTAACTATAGCTAGCTAGTAGCTAGTCACTGATACATACTCCGTACTACATAAATCCGTAATCCATAGGCACTTCGTACTATCATGTAGTAATACTCGAGCCAACCTATCAGAACTCCAAATCCTTATTCCGCTTCATACTTCATACTCCGTACTCCGTAATCGCCGAGAATCGCCCGTCGGACTCTTACGGAATCCGCCGAGACATCGGACCATCCCGGAACACAAAAAGTCCCGGTGGACAGATCCGGAAAGGAGCCACGGCTTGATCGGGCCAAGCGCAGCACCGCCACAGCCCTAACTACTTTAGGAACACTAAGAAATGGTACCTGTCAGGTACTAAAAAATGGTACTACTACACTGCCTTCTAACTATTAGTTAACTAACTACTACATAGTCAGGTACTAGTTAACTAACTAGTTACTGTAAGATAACTACTAAGGTACAAGAAATAAGTACAGTGTCCACGGAAATTACTTTACCACTCCGTGCTTCTGCCTGTACTCCGTAGATGACGTTGTTCTCCACGAGGATTCTTTGATTGGAAGATGAATGGAGTTCTGTGCTCCGAGACTACAGATGGGTTATTGCTAGTATCTACTCCATAGTAATGAAATCGAAAGCCTAACCAGCTATAAACCACTCAATTGAAAATCATGGCTGATACTGACACTTACCATCCAAGGTATTTGCCATCTAAATTCAGAATATCTTGAATAGCAATCCGTAGTCTTCTCAAAAGTCCATGGTGACTAGAATCCATCCTCGTCACTGCTATCCTCGTCCTCTCCATCCTCCCAGAGCGTATCTGAATAGGGAGATTCGGCCCTGTAACTCACGAAAGTTCCTCGCATATATTCTTTGGTTATTCTTTTTGATCGTTTACCCCTAATTCCTAAACCGAGGATTCTTCGATCCTTGCTCATCGCTTCAGCAGCTTGTAATATACTATTTGGAGGGCGACTCACGTTGAATGTAACAACCACTTCGCTGACCTCATCCAAATAGAGAACATCGGCTCGATGGTCAGGATTATCACCCTCCTCCTCCGGAGTAACGCAGCAAATATTGTCTCTGATGACATGTATCGCCCACATCTTGGAGCGCGGTTGCTCGATAATATGAAATCCTCGCAGTCGTTTGACGTTCGTGATGTACTTTAACCCCGGGTAGGAATAATCTACGCTCCGCCTGCAAACGCGGTCAGTCGGCAGCAAGGGAATTGATTTCGAAGGCGTCCTCTTTGTGACGTTGAGTGCACCGGGAGTATTGGTTCCAACGCTCACAGTTGGCCGGTCTTTGAAGACGAATTCCATGCCTGTGATTCTGGCACGAGAAGGCAAGTCCAGCTTCTCAACGTCGCGATCTTTGACAACTGATATAGCGATCTTGACCAGAGAACGAGATACGTCTATCGAGACTGTTTGCGTCGACCAAGGGCGTGTATTATGATAGTGTTGCAGTGCTCTTCCGTCAAAGTGCAATGGCATATCCTGGGGCCCTGCCACAGTTGCGTCCCTCAGCCACCGGGAACGCTCCCATGAATGAACGGCCACGTCAAAGGCACACATGCAGGTGAGTCTGGAAGTACAGTGGTATAACAGACGCCAATCCATGCGCTGCTGGTCCTTTGCAGGGAGCTGCTCAAGCATATAATGGAGAAAGCCACGGTCCTGGTTGATGTCAAATTTTGTCCTCCAAAAGGCGGCGACGGTAAAGACAGATCCCATCGCGCGAGAGGTATAGCGGAGACTGAGGAAATCCCGGGTGGGTAGCAAGGTTGCAATCACCTCTCGAATCTCGAGTGGAAACTGGCTGAAGCAATCCGTCTGGCTGCCGTTTTCGTAGACCAGCCTTTTTAATACTTCCTCCCTTGGCTTGGGGAAATTCTTTGATTTCTGCATGAGCTGCGCTGGGGTAGGGAATCGGAAAGGTTCATATTTATCACCGAAGTTTCCTAGAAGAAGATCAGTGTTTCGGCTTGCCTATATTATAATGAGTACCAGGATGTGACCAACGTCCCAGTAGCGGCATATACTCCAATGCCTGGTAGAGCCGCTCCAAATCGACCTTCTCGCCAGTAAAATGGTCACAAAAACGGTTCCAACAGATCTCATGGAATATATAGAAATCACTGAATTCGTGCGGTGGATGGGTCAAGTAGATAAAATCAGCCCCCTCTGTGTCCCATCGCGCCGATTCATCAATCGGAACCCAGAGCTTGCACTCTCTCATCCTGCTGATTCCTGACAGTTTGACCTCCCCTTCTGGGCCACGATACACTAGATGGAGGAGGGTTCGATTACCACCTAGTCACAATCAAGAGGAGAGACTGATGGTTTGACTTCTTCCTGGGACTCACCAGCTCTGAATTGTTCTCGCCATCGCATAGAACCATCCTTTCTAACGTCAGGGGGAGAGGCATTTTCCCCACAGATAATACAGATACTATAATAAGATTCATAATCTTCATTGGGGTCATAAGAAATTCGTGGCATGATGAAGTAAAGAGGAATGGTTATTACTCCTGGATGAAGATCTCTCCAGATTGTCATATAAGAGTGAACAGAGTCATTATTACACCAACATTTTCAAGGTACCTCTGCCTTCTACAGAGAAGAATTTTCTGCCATATAATCCAGGCATCAAGGCATAAAACAGAGTAATGATTTACCGAGTTCTATAAATCTGTTCTACAGAGCAAGATAAAGCAATGTACCGGTAGTAAGGTACCTTCCTAGGACTGTAAGGAGCACTAGACGGCTTACAATATATCAAAATAGGCCAGTGAATTGAATATCTAGTCATAGGTGTTCCATTCACCTACATGGATACACTTCTCTTACTTGCCTAAAATAGTGTATGGTTGAGTGAATGAAACGAGGCAAGCGCGACTCCCTCCAACTGCCATGTCCTGTACCTTCCTTCGTTGCGGCTCGCATTTCCTCCTCCCCCCCTCCTCCTCTCTCTTCCACTTCGTGAGCTTCCAGATTCATTCCCCAGAAGAAACAGCTTATTCTACAAACTTGAATTCTCCTAAGATGGCGCTGCAGCCCACCCCCTACTACAACGAGGAGGCCCTCAACTTGTATATTTCCGATATCAAGGCTGGAGCATACGAGGCCAGCGTTGACCACTTCTGGTCAAACTTGTTAAGTTTATATTTCCCCCTTTCTAACTCCACTGTGGAAACAGAATCCTATACAGCTCTACCAGAGAGTAAAAGAAGGGCTAATATAGCTGTGACAAACATCCGTGGAGGTGTTCGTCACAAGATTATCATTGTTGAAGCTAAACGCTCCCCTACGAGTAAGTCCAAGGAGCCCGCGTACGACTGGAAAACACCCAAAAACCAGCTCAGCACGTACATGAAGGATTCGCGATCGAGGCTTGGAAACATCCAGGACATGTACGGACTAGTTGCAGTTGGTACCAAGGTACGTTTTTACCAGCTTAAGTGCGACAAGACTGAACTATCTGCTTGGCCTGGTGGAAAGAAGAATCCCGAGCCCACTTACCATCTCGAGACCGACAAAGAGATCATCCACAACCATATGTTGGAGATCAAGAAAGCGGTTGGGGATGAACAGCTTGAGGCTGAACTTCAAACAAGGAGGAAGAAAGAAGGGACAGAAGGCAGAGCAGCAAGAGCCGCTGCAAGAGCAGAAGAGCGTGAGCAGCGGAGCGTGAGCAGCAGCCGCAATTAGCGACGGCAACGGGGCTGACAGCTAAGATATCAGCAAGAATAGGGACCGATTATTCTATAATCGGGGCAGGGAGCCTCAGTTGATGGGGGAATTACCCATAATTTAGAGTCGTTGTAGATAGGTATACTGGCTTGAATTTGGAGAAAGCGGTAGACGACTAATAAACCAATTGACAATCTCTGCGTCCTGTATTTACCAGTGCTAGGCATGGAGTGGCACTGAATGAACGTGATTAGCTAGCAATTGTTCCAGTCTTAAGAGTAGTCCGTGTATATCGGTTCAGCCCTGCCGTCATGATCAAGATTCGAGCAGAGACTACTTGGTCACTGAGGAATATATCGAGTGCTAGGTGTAGTTATTGCATAAAGATAACGATGAATTGACGACTGACAAGGTATCATAGGTATCACAGTATCAATAAACCGAACAGACTCCTTGCCATAGACCCCCACGGTAATTAATAAAACAATAGAGCAAAACAGACAAGTTTTGAAAAGAAAAAAAAAACTCCTTCCGTAGCAAAGACTCAGCAACACACCTCACCTAGCACATGGGGGTAACTGATCACAAGCAGAGCGATGTTTTCAGGACCGAGCCCGGATACGCTTCGGCATCGGGGTAGACCCCGCAGTCGCCTTGAGCATACTCTTGGTCTTGATCCCCGAGGTCGTTGATGGGCGGCTCTTATTGCTGACCACAACTGTGGGCGGCGACGTCTTGGACGAAGTCCCCGGCAAGGCCGAGCTAGGCGCACGGGGCGTCAATTTCCTGCGTGGCAGCACTGATGACGATAACGACGACGAAGCTGATGATACCAAGGTCGGTTTTTGTGCAATGGTCCTTGCCTTGCTGGTAGTTGCCGGGGTGGGAAGTGCAGATGCAGAGGGCCCCAGCCGACGCACACTCTGGGCGCTAGGTGTTGCAGTAGCAGGTGCAGTAGTGGTGCAGGATGACGTTCCGGCAACGACTGTATCACAGTCTGGTGCCTGGACGCTGGGGCCGGAATTCTTGCCTTCTTTGATGCGGCTAGTGGTAGCTGCTTTCTTCTTGTCCGACTGGGTTGCCGTGGTCGTCTTTCCTGCTGTTGTAAGAACGTCATCACTCTCATCATCCCCTGCAGGCGTGGTCGTGTCGTCTCCTTCATACTCGACAAGTCGCTTGTCGTTCCACACCACCCGTTTGGCGCTTCGCTTCCGACTTGTTTTGTGGCGATGTGTGTCCGTATCGCTGCGCTCGGGAGAGGAGGACCCCTGGTCGGACTTCTGTTGCTGTTGGGCTAATGCCTGGAGGACAAACTTCGGGAACTGTGCATCACCCTTGTTGCACCGGGTGTTTTTACGAGTCGCCAACGCGATTTCCTGAGCCTGTGTCCGCTGCAGGAAAATAAACTCGTTCCCCTTCGGGCGGCGAAGAGAGATCGTCGTCCGCAGTGGGGGTTTGGACGTCCGGCTACTACGTCGGAGGGGGCTTGAGCCTTGTTCATGTTGTTCTTGTCCCTCTTTCTGATCATCTGCTTGTTTCCCCTCGGAGCCGTTGCTCAAAGCCGGCGATTCGTGGGGCACATCGGATTTGCATGGAGACAATTGTGTCTTTTGAGGAGATGGGGAATTCGCATCCAATTCTTCCAAGACACGCCGGGATCGTGGGGTGGGGAACTCCACTACCGCATCTTCCTCATCGTTGACTTGCTCTGCATCTTGCGGTGGAAGCGCTGCTTTAGCTGCGCGTTTGGCTTTTGCTTTAGATACGAAGTTGTTGAGTAGCTCCGCATCCTCATAATCCCCCTCCCCCTCCAGAGCGCTTCCCAGTGCTGATCGGACAAAATCCTGTTCTTGCGCAATGGTGTCTTCTATGGTGCTGTTTTCGACATCGACGAAAACCTTCGGACAACTCCCGTTAGTGGCTGAGGGAGTCTGTCGATCATCTGCTGTACTCGTCTCGCCAACTGTGTCACCGCCGATCCCGAGAAGAGAGACATCTTCCGAAGGCGTAAATTCCTGCGCAGTATCCTCGGACTCATTTTCGACGTGGGCGAGAGCACTATCCCCGGCATGATGGTCATCCATCTTTTCATGATCCGGACTGCCTTCCTCATTTGACTCATATGGAGATAGCGAGTCATGAACTGGTTCTGTCAATAATTGGATGGCAGGGATTGTAGTCTCTCTGTCTTCCTCCATGCCTTCGACAACGTCTGTTGCTATCGTCGTGTCTGGTTGTGATGCGGAGTTTTGGCAAACATCCTGGGACCAAGTGTTTTCGACGGGTTGCCAGTCTTTCGAAGGGATTTTGCCTGTAGAAACCCCATTAACACAGCGAACACAATTTCCACCTTAGATCCTTGACTAACGTCTTTTCCTTGCCATTTCCGACTCCCATTTTGTTTCAAGGAACGACCTTCCCCGTTCTTTGCCAACCTCAACCTCGCCTTCCGTGTCTTTCTCATTGAGACATATCCTCTTGACACCGCGTAAATAACCAGTTTGTCTGGAAAAGTTGATCTCCAGGTCAAGCTCGTCAGCCACGTCGGCCACGCAGGCATCCTCCTCCGCCACAAGCTTCTGGAGCGACTTCATGCTGTTGAATGACGACCGGAAGCGTTTCCAGAGCTTGCGAGATTTTGAGCGTGCAAGAAACGGCACCGATGCTTTGCGCTCCCAAAGTCGGGGTGCGGAGCTGGCGACTTTGACAGGTGTAAATCTAAACCTATCTTCTGCAAGAAAATTGCTGTGGTGAATTAGTATACAGCCATAAACAGTATTTAAATTAAATCTTCATCTCCGTCTGTCTCTTTCTTCTCCTTCTCTTTTTCCTTGCTCTCCCCTTATTTTCTTTGTCCTATCCTTTTCTGTTCCTAGAAAAGGGGCGGGGTGGAAAGCACCGATCTTGAGCTTCTTTCCCCCCTAACGTAATCCTGACGCGTGGTTTCTGCCCCTTCGATATCGACGGTTTGGAACTGACGTATCTTCCAACGAGAAAGTGTGATCACCTACCATGCTGGAGATAATAGACCTGTGGTCGCTGCAGGAGCAGCATTGTTGTTGTGCATCATTTCTTATTGGCGACGCGCAGGGCGAGGAATGTTTTGGTTTGATCGCAGGTGACGTCAGGTGGTCGAGCTCAGAAGGTCGATACAGGCCAAATGTACCAGGCCAGCAACTAAGTTGGAAAAAAATATTTGAGAATAAATTAGTCGGTTATCACGGTGTTTTATAATTAATATGGCCGGGCGAGGCGTGTCTGTTGTGTGTTGTGGAGGACTCTGAAGGTCCATTAGAGTATTCGGGTCGCACCACCCGTTCGAAAGAAGCCTTCCACCGCTTACAGGCGTTGCCGGGCCAACGACCTCGATCAGCCACGAGGCAGAGTATCTCGTGTCTGGGCTACGATTAGTTCCTCTGTATAGTTCGCTAGGATAATGATTGGTTATCGACTTGAGATATTGATAAATTATACTCCTGGTGTATAGCATGCGGTCGAAGTGGGGTCAGAAGAAGGGCATGAATGTGCTGGAAAGCTTGCTCGACCTTCGTATAAAGATATTTTCACCCATAATCCCTTGACTCTTCTCAATATGAGTATGGCGGAGGCTTTCCATGACACGGTTGCTAGGATATTCCAAGACGGAGCTGAGCATCGAGTAGAGGGAGTTGCCAAAGAGTAAATACTCCCTAGAAGCTAGTGAGGTGGCAGCATATCACTCACAAGGTCATATCACTCATTATCGAGACCCATAGTTTGCCTGGAGATGTGGGAGTGGCCTGGATGACCTCACTGCATATAATCATCTCCCTGAGTAAACAATTCCGGATGGTGTGATGCTTCTTGTTCAAGTAAGACTAAACTTTCGGTTGATTTGTCTAGCCATATTTCAAGAGAAATATGATAGGCATCACTGGGGCCGCTTTGGATACCTAGGATCTCGCGGGGTAAGAAGCCACCTTGATCATATTTTCCATTTCCCGGTGAACCCACTTGCTTGCTCACAGTAACTTCTCGGACATGTCACTTTCATCAAATATGTCGCCAAACTCATCTAGAATCAAGAAATCGAGTCGTTAGCCTCGAGTATGGGTGCACAGGTAAAAGCTGGCCCTTACTCAGACTCAGATCCCTGTCTATCACGTACTCCCAGGCCCGCTGGTACTCCTCTTCCGCACGTTTGGTCATCCAACTGGCCCCCAGCTGCTCTTCTTGTGTTGCAGATCCTGAAGTAGCAGCACCGATTATCTTCCCAAAGCTCGTCTCGGTGTTCGATTCCCCAGAGGCCTGTGTCTGCGAGCCGGGCGGGGAGAGCTCCGACGCTGCGAAGCCAGGGCGTATCTTGGTGGGTGTACGGGAGTCAGGTCCAGAGTCATCTGAGAGAACATTGTCGGATTCAGAGGATGAAGCCATCTCGGAGTCGCCGTCGGGATCTATTCGACGTGTCAGTGGCTGGACGTCAGAGGGTCGATCGCAGCTTCTACCTGCAGTAGGGAAAGGCAGAACAGAGAAGAATAGCAGAGCAACTTACCTGCAGCCATTTTATATTATATCGAGACACGAACAGTCTTAAATACTAGAGAAAATAAGATGAACACTGTGAATTCACCTCTGGATATTCTTCCCCGCAAGCAACAGTGATAGTTAAGGTCCAGTGCGCCAATCTGGTTAGCGGCTGAGGGGCGGGCCAGCAGCCACTTAAAAGGGCCTGAGGTCCGCCTGGTAATGATTCTGCAATAATCTGAACTTCACTTACACCGATAGAGTGAGCCATAGAGACTGGGGCTGGCACATATTAAGACATATTAATACATGTTGATATACTGATAATACTGCTCTATCATTATCTGCTTATAATTTTGAAGAGTGCTTTATTGGCCATGAGCAGCACAAAACCTTCTATGGACTCCTCCCCAGATGCGTGGGAAGACAATTGGGAAAGTCAAGCAGATGTATGTGGTGTCGCGCGAGTGCCTTGATATCCTGTGATTTGGAAAGCTCATTGGTTGGTCCTCGAAACAGAAACTAGATGCTCAGCCGACTTCGCTGCCGGAGAAGAAGGTCTCCTCCAAGGTGACCAAGGCACAGCGAAGAGCACAGCAGGCAGAGTTCAACCGACAATTGTGGGCAGATGCGTACGTTTCCTCTTCAACCAAGCCGTATTGTTTTGTTGCCACCCGGATCGCAGACGATACTAATAGCAAGAAACAGGGAATCACCGCAGACATTTCACTATCTGGAAACTCGATCCAGTGTTCCCCTCAAGCAGGATATCAAACAAACAGTCACGGTTTTAAGCCGTAGACCACAGCTGGTAACGCGGGAACCAGGATCGTCGGCTTCAGTCGACGCGAGCGTGGACGGAATACGGGCTTTGGGCATCAACGGCGCCGACTACGAATCCGATGATGAAGGTAATGGCAAGCGACAGGAGATGACTCCGCAGGAGCGCCATGCGAAAGCCCTGCGTGACCGGGAAGAGAAACAGCGCAGATATGAAGAAGCGCGTGAACGCTTGTTCGGGAGCCCCTCGGCGAATGGATCCGGTACATCATCGCCTGGAAGTACTACTCCACCAAGGCAATACAGCAACGGTGGCGGCGGCGGTGAGGGCCGAGGGAAAGGACGACACCGTGGAGGCGGCGGTGGCAGCGGCAGGGACAACAGAGAGAAGAGAGACTCGTCCGCTACGTCAGGCAGATCGTCAAGACAGCTCTACGACCCAGGATACTCGGTGAAGCCATCACAGAAACGCGACCGGCAGCAGAAGGGCGACCGCCAAGATGATGAACAGCAGCAGGCAGTCCAGCAACCATTACGAAGCCCCCGCGGCCCTGATGGCAGTGGAAGAGGTGGGTTTGGGTTTGCCAACAGAGGAGCTAGAGCTACATGACCTTTCTACATCGAAGTCCACGAACAGGTGGAATCTTGCCCATATTTTGTGATCAAGGTTTCATTTCTTCATTTTTTCCAGCATCTGAAGGCCTAGCAATGACTCAGACACCAGGCGGAAGGACTGAAATTTGATGATAGCATCACGGCAGACCGCTCCCTGAATTGATAGCATTCGCAACTTGGGAAGTGTTGGGTCGGTTTTCTACACCAAAAAAAAGTTTTATATCAGTGCCTGCATTACACAGGGGGAACCAAAACTACCACTTACGGGCGTATCGTTCATAGCTATCCAGATACAGCTCGTCACAACTAGTTGTCGCCTGAACGTGCTCGTTGGATTCGATTGCGCTGACCCACGCAGCCCAGCGGCTCCCAACCTCAGGGTCGGGCCATCCACGATAAGGCTTGAGGACGCGGCTCAACCGGATTATCCAGGGCGTGATCTGAACGTCGACAAATGAGATTTGTGGGCCAAGGAAAAAGGGGCCCTGGGGATGTGCAGCCTGGACCAGCTGCTCGAGCTTGTCGCGCAGCTCCTGGCCTGCAGAAATCTGTTGCTGCCGGTCTTGCTCCTGAAGAACGCGGTAAAAGTTCGGTACTATGTGGCGGTTGATCTGTTTCCATCAGCGGATGCCTCGAGGAGAGAGAGAGAGAGAGAGAAAACACAAGACGAAAAAAGGACTTACATGGTCTGCCCAAAGCCGGCAATGAGCCCGGAGTTTTGGGTCCCCAGGTGGAAGCAGGGGTGTGCCGGTGTTCAGGTCCTCAAGCTGGAATAATCAGAAACAAAAACATGTGAGATGTTCTTTTTCAGGGAGATTTTCTGCATACGTATTCCAACAAGACGGTGCTCTCGTAGCACCCCCAATCCCCGTGTCGCAGCGCAGGGACAAGGCCTCGCGGGTTTACGGCGAGCAGTGATTCTGGCTTCTTGTACGGGTCGATCTCGATGTACTGGTACGGGATATCCTTGAGTTCTAGCGCGACCCAGACGCGCTGCACGAAGGGACTACCGTCAATTAGCCGGATGCCGAAATGGACAGAACACTGGGTATGCAATGACTGACCAGAAACAACTCCCGTATAGTTTCAAATCCGCGTCCTTGGAATGATTCTTAACGGTCAATGCAGCCAGCCCAGTGGCTTTGGTGTGATATGTTTTTTGCTGTGGCAGGTTAGACATGATGATCTTGATATCTTAAAAAAATTGATAAGAGAATAGTTCAATTCTGTAAGTTGAGTTCTCATGAAAATGTAGAAAAAGTCCCAGTGACGTAGGTTTGCGGGGGTGTGAATAAGCCCCCCCAGCCAAATTGGTTCTACTGCAGGATACCAAGTACATTTGTACACAAGGGGCCATTGAATATATCTGACGATAGGTGAAGAAAAGAAAGGAATAGGACGTACTGTTTTCTTCTTCTGCTGCTTGACACTGTTCATTAGATAGCGCTGGACGCTATTCTTCTTGACACGATCACTCTCTTCCAAGGTATGACGGTGGCCGCCGCCAACCCCATCATTCTTGCCATTGCCATTGTTCCCGTTCACCCGCTGGACGGTGAAGTACCGCTCGCCTTTGGCGCCGGGATGCCCTGCTGGGAGGGCCGGGTTGGGGGTGAGGATGCCGAACGGTTGTGTTTCTCTCGCGAGATCATTTGTAAAAAGGCCTGAGGCGTTGTTGATAAGGGTAGCATCTGCGGCAAATTCGTCTGAAGAGAATCCTGCGCCAGGAAAGTACTCGGTGATCTTGATCTTGACGTCGCACAGGTCTCGCTGTCGGGCGGTGCGTTTGCGCTTCCTCTTGTTCGGGTCATTGGATTTCGGGGTACCCGGCGGTCGCCCCTTGAGCCGGCAGTCCCAATAATGCGAGATGAAGGGTTTACGCTTATATTTTTGCGTCGAACGATGTGAGTAGACGTTGTCCACGTGGGGGAAGTAGGTTTGGAATCTATGAGGATGTTAAGAAGAAAGAATACCACAGGTCTCGAAGATGACAGGCTATTTGGTCCATACTGCTCTTCGCTAAGTATAATCGTCTCGTTCACATCAAACAATCTCTTCCTCCATTCCTCTAGGTCCGGCGGGTCGGGGACCAGTCTCATTGTCGTCCCAGAGTACTCGTCCGACACTGCGCCGGAGGCCTGTTGCAGAGCTTGCTCAGACGACTGTAGAGTATCAAACGGATGTCCCTCCATTGCTGTCGGCAGGCCATCAGGCTGCGGTACGTCCGAACCCAGAGCATTGCCTAAATCAACGCCCGCGGACGATGCAATGGAAAATTGTGTCTGGCCATCCTCACCTCTCAAGTCATGAATCTCTGGACCACCACTAGCTGACGACGGCTGGTCTCCGTGCGGTGGCTGCTCTGCATGATGGTGAGAATCATGCTGCTGCTGCTGTCGTGGATGTGGCTGCAGCCGCTGGATAAATTGATTGTTTGCTGGTTCCCCCGGGCGCGGAGGACGAATAAAGGCCGGTGTGATTTTGCTTGATGGTATCCCCGCTGGTTGCAGGTGGCCTATGGATTCGAGATCCGCGATGCTCGGTTGAAACGACTGGAAGGGCGGCGCATCGCTTGGTTCGAAGGGAGCTCCGATCTCGTGCTGGCTTGTCAGCCGGGACGCTTCGTCGGCGAGGGCGGGGAGGTGTGCGGACTGGAGGCTGCGTGTGTTGACAGGGACAGGAAGCTGCTGGGCATCTACAGTGTCCATTTCTTGGAATTTATTGACAGCTGGGCACGAGATATAACGATATGCGGGGGAGATCTTTGGCCGCTGCTTTTGCAGGAGAGGGGATGGATGGTTGAAGCGGCATGGAATTTGGTTGGTTTTGTAGATGCCTTGGTGCCTTACATACAAGGCTGCAATATACTGAATTATATGGCATCTCTACCTGCAATATCTTGAACAGTCCTACTATTTTTATATTTATCCCATGGGTGAATCAATTGCCCTTTACATTATATGATAACAAAAGACTCTAAATACTAGACTCTAGTTACCTGACATCTCCAGCAGCTACAACCGTTTCGAGTGCTTTTTATCAGCCTCCGAATTCTTGAACGGAAATCCAGCTGTCCTCTTATCTGCGCCTGTCCTGCGACTAATTCTCCCATCACTGCTGGCAAAAAGCACACACCAGAGCCCGACCGAGGCTATGACCGAGGAGACCACCATCCCTATCGCAAAGGTCGTCTGCGACGAGCTGAGCCACCAGGTATAGGCGTAGAACGCCGAGATCGCATGGTAGATAGACGTCACCGTTAAGGTTGGCACTGCGTAGGGGGCTTTGGGGTCAGATTCCTCGCTTGTTACGGGCTCCGCCATCATTGGGGTGAGCGGGATCGAGCCCGTGAGCATGATCGTGAGCACGCCGAGAGTCAACAGACTGAAACCAAAACAGCGGGCAAAATACACCTCGAGAGCTGTATTGAATTGAGTGTCAGCAGAACGGACAGATGAAACCGGTCTTATCTCGACAAACTATCACAACTCACCTGAGGGTGGCCGATTCTCGTTCAGCAACATCGTCGCAATCATCCGCGGCATGACAGCCAGCGAGATGCCCTGAAGGCCAAGCCATCCGGCTGTAGAATATGTATATGTGTAGAATACCTGTTGAAACATAATCAGCTAAGGCTATCAATCTTCGATATCGGATCAGGAAGTTGATGTCGTACGTCCATGTCTCGCGCCGTATCGCACAAGAGCTAAAACAATTCTCCACTGGAAGAAAGGCTTGTTTCAATTAGACTAATTATAGACAGGGCAGGGTTCCAATGGCGGAGTCCAGTGGCTCAGGTAGATCTGAGATCAAAGTCGTGCAAAAGGACGGTTGAGTTGGCAGATAAAATACTGGGGTGTAGCTATGACATCATACACCAGTGCCTAAAGGTAGCAATGCAAAAGTATAGAAACTTTTATGCAAATTACAAACAAAGGTACACTCAGTACCTTAGTACTAGGTATACTTTTAAGTACCTAAAGGTATTGGCTGTGTCGTCAATGGTCTCTTGAATCTATATAAAGCTTTATAGCTGTAAAGAATCGCTCAACGCACACCATATAGCAGTAGTAATTCATGAGAAGAGGCTGATTACTAGATACATTGAGAGCTTTGAGTTATGCCAGAGCGCCTGGATGGGAAATAGCTTGATATCTTCATTAAATAGTATGATCTATTGTTTTTGTCGGGTCCCCGGTTAGCGTTGCCCGCGAAGGTATCTTGTAAAGCTGTGGTCTTGATCCGAGGGACCGGATTGGGAATCGGACAGTGCCTGTTTGTATCGTTGTGACAGCCCATCGCTGTCTCCTGCACTGGGGGCGGCGTAGTCCTCATCACTGTCATCATCGTCGTCATCATCATTTTCACCGAGCTGTTTGGCTGCATCTTCTTCCTCGGCCTCACTAACGGTCTCGGCTTCGGTCTCGTTGGCCTTTCCCTTTGCGGGCCTGGAAACACTCATATCTTTCATCAACTTGCCCAGTTCTAGCTCGCGCTGCGCAGCTTTAGTCTCCTCGCGTTCCTTCTTCTTGCGCTCCAATTCTGGTTTATAATCCCGCTCGAACTCCTGGCGCTTCTCCTCTACCGCAGTGAAAAACTCCTCAATCCCATCTCCCGTCATGGAGCTGACACCCACAATGCTGAGATGGCGGTAGAACTCCTCTAGCATTAGACTCATGCTGTTCAACAGAGATCCCATGTATCCGCTGCCGGATCCGAAGCCACCGGGGCCGCCCTCGCCACCAAAGGCACCTTGTTCCTCCTCCTCTCGCAACGCTTGCTGGAAAGCATCGAAATCAGTCATCCACTCCTTCGCAAAGTCCGCATCCTTGACATCCGTCTTGTTGAACACGAGAATCATCGGCAGCTTCGTCTTGTATAGAATACTGCAGGCATAGAGCATGTTGCTCATGAACGTGCTGGTCGAGCTGGCCCGCGGCGTGTCAATCACGTAGGCAATCACTGTCGGGAAGGATGAAGCGAGGGTCTCAAGAAGGATACTGCCGGATGCACTCCAAACAAATACTTCGATCTGACCCGGGGTATCGACCAGGATATGTTCGATCGGCTTCGCGGAGGGGTTGCTTGGGTTCGGACTCGTGCGTTTCTCCAGCAACGCGATGATCTGATCAACTTTGGTGGCGAAGAGGTTGAGCGAGGTCAAGATCCCGCCGTTAGGTCCCAGGTTGTATTGTTTCATGACCTCCTTGTAGTTGATCGAGTCTCGGATATCGATGTTACTCTCGAACGGTACCGAGTGGACGGCAGGATCGAGGTTCAGCACGTAGGGCGCTGTCTTCTTTGAATGCAAGTACGAGTTGATCCGCTGCATAAACGTGGTCTTTCCAGAGCCTGTGACCCAGATAATCAAGTTAGAAGCTCATTCTCTTCTGCATCACCGAGGGAAAGTGGCAGCTCACCAGCCATGCCAACGCAGACGACGGACACAGGTGTTGTCGCCATGGCGGGAGATATGACAAGAGGTGATTGTAATCAGGGCTGATTGAAGAATCGGACAGATGTAATGACTATCTGCAGTATTCAAGTAGTAAAGGATCTATCTTGAAGAGATGAGTGGAGTGTAACTTTTTTTCACAGTCGCGGGGAGAAGATCTGGTGGGTGGAGTCTGGACCAAACGTCATCCGCTGAGGCTTCTATATCTCACCGGTTAACTAAATTGTAAGATAAGGCAAGAAATAATTAGAATATTCATACTTCCAAGTGAGATCAGAGCAACCTGCAAGCTCTATAAGAAAACATAATGTCTCCCACTAACCAAAGTTGGGGGGAAAAATACCATTATCATTCAATACAAATAATTGCACTGTATTTTTCAGCTTTTTTTCCCGCCAAGCCGCCAATCACCTGGTCTGGACCAGCAGACGTCATTTCCTCAAGCAGTGTTTTTGACAAGTTGACTCTCTGTCACCGGTGAATAAACCACAGCATCATGACACTCGAGGACTTCGAAAAATCCCTTGCTGAGGACCGGGAGCGACGGCACGAGAGGAGCGATCGTGATCGGCATCGCGACCGGGATAGAGACCGCAGCAAGGATCGCTCTTCCAGACATCACCATCACTCTTCGCGCCATCACCGCCGCCATTCGTCGAGATCGAGGGACCGAGGAACTGAACGGAGCGAAGCAACCGGACACCGACATAAGCGGTCACGCCATTCGGATCGCAAAGACGACCATGACCATGACCATGACCACAAGCGTCGACATCGGCGCGAACGTACAAGCAAAGACCAGGAGGAGCCACAAGTGACGAGACAGGTCGTACAGGAGGAGCCGAGTCAGTTGAAGCGAGATTCATGGATGGAGGGTCCATCGGCGCTGGACATCGATTACGTGCACCGACGTCAATCCACACGTCTCGAGGAGGAACCCAAGCCGACGATGCTGCAAGCCGATTTTGAACTGAAGATCCACCAGCGGGAGCTGAATGACCACCTACGAGACCTGCGGGATGGGAAATCTGCCGAGAACGTGGAAGATGAGCCGGCGCAACATGAAGTTGACTATACGTTTGGCGATGCGGGCTCTCAATGGAGAATGACCAAGCTCAAGGCTGTGTATCGAGAGGCAGATGAAAGTGGACGATCGGTCGAGGAGATTGCCGTCGAGCGCTTTGGCGATTTACGTTCTTTTGATGACGCTCGAGAGGAGGAGGTTGAGCTTGATCGCCGAGAGAGGTACGGAGAAGACTACGTCGGCAAGGTGAAGCCGTCTGGGGAGCTCTTTCAAGAACGGAAGTTGAAAGAGGGTATGCGCCGGCAACCAGGCGAGCATACACGAAGCCCGGAGAAGGAGTTAGAGACGCAAGGGCAGGGCTCCATCATGGAGACGGAGGCTCCGCAGAGGACCACGCAGCATCTTGACCTGACAGCTCTCAACAAAATGAAGGCAGAGATGATGAAGGCGAAGCTGAGGCGCGCCCCGAATGCTACTGAGCTTGAAGACCGGTACAATGCTGCGGCTGCCGCCATGGCCAACCGCAAGGAGTCCGATGTGGTAGTCCTCGGAGTGATGGAGAATCGGATGCTGTCTGGCAAACGCAATGAAGTCAAGCCTGTCGAGACTAAGAGAGGTCGGGAACGAGGCCAGGTCGAAGAGAATGAAGATATGAGTATCGAAGACATGGTTCGAGAGGAAAGACGGACGCGCGGTCAGATGGGAGGGGATGGTCAACGGTTTGCTGAGAGGATCGCTCGAGATGCTAAATTCGAGGTAGACCACTCTCGTTGATTTTTTTTCCTTTCCTTGAGACATACTGACGGATTTCAGAATGATCTTGAATACATGGATGATAATGCATCCAAACTGGCCCGGCGAGTCCAGCGATCGGAAGTCAACATCAAAAACGCCACCATCAGCGAGTTCCAGAAAATGAACCGCATACTCGACAACTGTCCTCTATGCCACCATGAAGACACTAACACGCCTCCAATTGCGCCAGTCGTCTCACTTGCAACTCGGACCTACCTGACTCTACCTACGGAGCCCGAGCTCAGCGAAGGGAGCGCCAGCATCATCCCCATCCAGCATCGGGCCAATCTGATGGAATGTGACGACGACGAGTGGGAGGAGATTCGCAACTTCATGAAAAGTCTTACACGCATGTACCACGACCAAGGGCGGGATGTTATTTTCTACGAAAACGCTGCGCAGCCGCAACGCAAGAAACACGCTTCCATGGAAGCCGTGCCGCTTCCGTACAGTCTTGGGGAGACATCTCCCGCGTTCTTTAAGGAGGCAATCCTGGCGGCCGACTCGGAGTGGACGCAGCACCGCAAGCTCATCGACACCCTGGCCAAGGCTAGGCAAGGGCTGGGCCGGAACGCTTTCCGCCGCACGCTGGTGAAGGAGATGCCCTACTTCCACGTCTGGTTTGAGCTAGACGGCGGGCTTGGCCACGTTGTCGAAGACGAGCACCGTTGGCCGCGCGGCGACCTCTTCGCCCGGGAGGTCATCGGCGGCATGTTGGATCTCGCGCCGGACGTGATCAAGCGCCAGGGACGCTGGAACCGCGGCGGCGATCGTCGGGTTGACGGGTTCAGGAAGCGATGGAGGAAGTTTGACTGGACTAGGGTTTTGGTCGAGGGGTAATCTATCATGTATATATGATGTTTTTCATTAATGATACTCCGTGCTCCATCTTATTCCCTTTTTCGAAGCAATGCAACTCTATAGATTGTCCAATTTCCACCATCTTGGTCTATCTCGCTGATATCATATCGCTCGTATCTCGGGGATCCTCCGATACCCCGCGGGAATGATAGGCGAAGTCATTCATCGGATGTATGACCTACTCTGTACATGCTGCTGTCTTATTATAGACATGATATGTTACTATGCTTCGTATTATTCTGTACTATGAACTCATTGGGGCTAGAAGAGTACTGATCTCCAGTCTGATCTGTGACGTTGATACCAACAACCCAGTACCTGAGTAACCAAAATATATAACCAGCGATCTACAGGGCAGCGAAATTACACGAGGCGAAGCCGTTCACCTGGCTCCATGGCCTTTCTAATAAGCTGCTTCCCATCCCCGAGTACAAAATACCCAGTGAAACCCTGTGGTACGAGTTGTTCCGTCTCGCTGACAATGTCTTGCTTTGAAATATGTCGGCCGAGACAGGCTGGTCAGGGATTCATGGTTTTTCCGCCTATCACAATTCCTCATTCTAGATAACAGTAATAATATCCATGGAGAGCGAGCCTAGGAAGTTGTCAATAAGCAGAAAACCTTTTTAATCTATCATTTTAGATGTCTTTAGTTATAGTAAAGGGGTGTCGGCCGAGATTTTTAGCAATAGCATCATCTTATCTATCTTGGTGTCGGAGCGGAACTAGCATGTTTATCTAAAGATTAAAGAGGATTGTCTCTCTCCATAAATATCTCACTGTCCTTAGGTTTGTTCCTCTTATCTAGAAGTTACCTATCTTTCTAGGTATATCCTGACTCATCTCTCCTCTTACAAATAGACCAAAAGTGATTACCCCGCTCTACATAACGCACACTTCTTGCGAATCCCAACACCGTTCACTCGACATTGACAATTAGAATAATGGGTTCCAACGCCCCGAAGCCCAAGATTCTCCTCCTTGGTCGGATCCTTCAGTATGTCTCAGGCTGCAGAGCGTATCCCGCCAAGGTAGATCGCAGTTAACACAAGTCCCTCACTCCAGTGCGTCCAAGAAGTGGGAGGCCCTCGGTGGACTCGCCGAGCTGGTCGAGCCTACAGCCACAAACCGCGAGGAATTCATCCAGGAATGCCGCGATGGCAAATTCGACGGCGTCGTGGCCGTATACCGGACGTTCCCCTCGGTTAGCATCACGGGCATGATCGACGAGGAATTGGTGCAGGTGCTGCCCAAGTCTCTGGAATACATGGCGCACTGCGGTATGGTTTTTTTTTCTTCCCTCTCCTATTTCTTGGAAAACATCGAACTTATACAGTGTAAGGCGCCGGCTATGACCAGATCGACGTGCACGCCTGCACCGCACGCAACCCCCCAATCCGCGTGTCGAATGTCCCCACGGCGGTCGACGACGCCACCGCAGACGTGAACATGTTCCTGATTATCGGGGCGCTGCGCAACTTCAACACCAGTATGATTGCCCTCCGTGAAGGGAAATGGCGTGGTGACCCTGTTCCCGCGCTCGGCCACGACCCCGAGGGTAAGACGCTCGGTATCCTCGGCATGGGCGGCATCGGACGCAACCTCAAGAAGAAGGCCGAGGCGTTCGGTATGAAGGTTATCTACTATAATCGCCGGCAGCTGAGCGAGGAGCTCTCGGCGGGGGCTCAGTATGTCACCTTTGACGAGCTGCTGGCGACCAGTGACGTGATCAGTCTTAACCTCCCGTTAAACAACCACACCCGCCACATCATCGGCAAACCAGAGTTCGCCAAGATGAAAGACGGCGTTGTGATCGTCAACACTGCCCGCGGCGCCGTCATCGATGAGGCTGCTCTCGTCGACGCCCTCGACTCCGGTAAGGTCCTCTCCGCCGGCCTGGACGTCTTCGAGGAGGAGCCCAAGATTCACCCGGGTCTCCTCCGGAACCCTAACGTAATGCTTGTCCCTCACATGGGCACATGGACCATCGAGGTAAGTATCTAAATGATATCCCCGCCCCCCTCCCCTCCTCTAGTCTTTGGTCTTAACTTAATTGTATACTAATTTTCAAAGACGCAAACTGCCATGGAGGAATGGGCAATCGAAAACGTCCGCCTGGCGCTTGAAACGGGGAAGCTCAAGAGTCCTGTGTTTGAACAGGCAGATTTGTAGCCATGTAAATATGATATCTTGCATTCGTAAATAGCGGGAAGAAACAAACTAGAATAGAATAGAAATAACTAAACCTGGTAGTTCGTATTCGTTGATAGTACTCTTTCTTTCTCATAATATTAATAAGCATCATTGGTCTAGTGGTAGAATTCATCGTTGCCATCGATGAGGCCCGTGTTCGATTCACGGATGATGCATTCTTTTTTTTTTTTTCGATCTTGAGTCGACTTGATATTTTTTGGAATAGTTAATACTTGGCTAGTACCTAGGTACGTACAATTTACTGAACTTAAGCATATCAATAAGCGGAGGAAAAGAAACCAACAGGGATTGCCTCAGTAACGGCGAGTGAAGCGGCAAGAGCTCAAATTTGAAATCTCAATGCTTTCAATATTTTACAAATACTAACATGATAGTAGTATGGCATCATCATATTCAAATATCAACAGGTAATAATCGTGACCCGAGTCCTGTATTTGGAGTCAAGGCATCCATCCGGAACGCCCTAAGTGCTGCCGTGGCCCAACTCCAACCGCCAGAAAGCTGAACTGAACTCCTTGGCCTCCCATGTGAAAGAGAAGAAAATAAAAGAAGAGATCCAAGGCAGCCGCATCTTTTGTAGAGAGGGCTCCCCATAAGGAAAGAAGAAAGAAATTTAGTCACACAATCAAGCTAAGAGTCATGAGATGAAAGAGAAACGCTTTTTGTTACACTGTAAGGCAAGGAAAAGATGCAGATGTAGGTCGAAGGAAAAGGAAATCAAAAAGAGCTCGCTCTCCTCTCTCTCTCTCTGTCTACTCCCGCGACACGATCCACGACCGAATTACCATGCCGCAGACACGCTTGATGACCTGGGTTGTACCTTTACCTGATGCCTCCTGCTCGAGGAACCTCTGCGCCACGAAAAGCTTCGCACCCGCATCCTTCTCATTGGTCGTGATTGGGTGTGGGAGACTGCGTGGAAAGTCGGCCCAACGTTGTCCGAGGTGCCGCGCGATGGCGATGGAATAGATCACGTCGCGATTCTCGTAGGTATCTAGTAGGGTCCGGCACCGGCCTAAGGTATCGTCGATCTCTTTCCCGGAGCTCGCTTCGTTGTCATGGAGAGTTAGGAAGTGACCGATGCAGTTCCAGAAGTCTAGGATGCGCTGATGTAACTGGTCCGGTAGAGAAGGTGGGTTGCTTGACGGCTCGTGTACGAGCTCTTCCAACGGGTTCAGGTCCAGATGCTCTCCCGTGATCAGAGCTTCGATCACATCCAGTCGGGTTGAGGCCGCAAGATGGTCGGGATCTTGCTCGTGATTCCCGTTAAAGAGGTTGGGCACACGGCGACAGATATCCATGGTGCTCCAGACGATCGAGGCCTCGAAGCTTTCCAGGCGCGCAACGACGTTGGGGTCGGTCAGATTGCGATCGTTGAACGCGTCGATCAAGGCGGAATATTCGGCCACGAGCTGCGAGTTTGCCATTAAATGATGAAGAGCCTTTTCCTGAAACCAGCGCGTTTCTAAGAACCGGTCAATGGCGGGGGCATACGTCGCGAGGAAGACGGCTTGGATCTCCTCCGAACGAGTCTGGGCGATGGCGACGATAGGGTGGGGAGGCGGAGGAGCAATTCCTCTCAGTGCAAGGAGATCGTGGATCCGGCATTGTTTCACTAATCCGACCAGGTCAGCTCCTCATCATTCAATTCCACAGTATTTAGGAGGGGGGAAAGACCAACCTCGGTAGAGACCAGAATCGGACAGGGGGGTAGTGCCTGTAGCTCCATTATCCACGGGGGGCTGTAGATTCCCGCCCGACACGTTCTGGAGGCTCGCCATGTTTGAGGAATTGTTGGTATTAGTGTTGTTGGTAGTGTTGTTAATAGTGCTGTTGTTTCCGTCGAGCGAGGACTCAATGGCCCCTCCGTAGTCAAACTGTTCGGTCGATGGCGCCGGAGATTCAGAATGCAGCGAGGGTGCAAACGGCTGCGACGCAGCGGGCATATACCCCGGAGGAGCCGACGAGTAATTTGCGGAGGGGTCTTGAGGGTTGACGACCAGCGACGGGGGGGGATTGGGAGCTGGTTGTATAGCGGAAGGTGTAGTGGGCTGTTGGCGAAAGACAGGGTCGTAGCCCAAGCACTCACGCTTGCTCTTTACACAGTTTCGGCAGACAGGATGCCCCTCATCACACTAAAAAAAAGTAATGACAGTCAGTCAACGTAGAAGCAGCAACAAATTGCTAAAGTTATTGATTTTTAATTTCATATATTTTTTTGAGGTGGTTCAGATATGAGAGCAGCAGGGGAAGGGGATAGCGGGGTTCGGATCCTAAGCGACAGCGTGTAGCGAGGAACATCCCGCTGCGGCCGCACCCACAACTCTCTTTCTGCGCGCGCAATGCCACTAGGCAGGTGGAAGGTCAATATACATACCTTGATTCTTCGCTTTCGACATGTTAAACAGCCAGTCTTTGTTCTGCGCTTGACTTCCTTCTTGTGCCTCCCGCCTGCGAGTAATTTACTAGGGTCTCCCGGGATCTGATAGCGCATCTGCATGTTCGACGCCATACCGGGCTGCGCCATGTTGTTCGGATAGCCCTGCATATACTGACCCATGGATGCCATGGGGGGCATGGGCGAGCCGATCGGTGCCTGTGGAACCTGCCCTGAGTGATTATCCATCGTGTGCATCGGCGGGCCATTCATCTGTCCAGAGGCCGGCGGGGGATTGTGGTACATATCGTGGTTTTGCTGGGCCGGCTGTTGCGACTGCTGCTGATGTAAGGGCTGCGAATACTGCTGATACGTGCCGTTTGGGGCGGGCGAATGCGAATACTGCGGCTGAGAGCCCGGTGTATAGGAACCCTGCTGTCTCGATTGATCCGTGTCGCCCGTAGCCGCGGGGACTGGAATTGGCTCGTCTCCAGAACCAGGCACTTGAAACGGAGTTGACATTGCGTCCGACGATTTAAGAGCTTCATCGGGAAACGGCTGATTTGGTTCGCCGAACGAGTGTTCAGACCCTGTCGTCGGCAGCGTAGTGTCGAAGGTTGGCATGGATGTATCGATAGACGGCAGTGCGGGTATCGTCGACTCGATGGCAGGCAGCGTGGTATCTATAGGTGGCAAAGACGTATCGATATGCGGTAGCGTTGTGTCAATGTGAGGCAGCTCCGTATCGACCGCGACTGAGGTTGACGACTCCACCAAGGCAGGAAGTGAGGTATCTGCATCTTCTGCTGGCGCTGGCGTCGCTGTAGAAGGTAGAATGGGCTGATCTGTTTCTGAATTGGGAGGATTGGCTATTCCGGCCGAAGGATTGACCGACTCTGACACCTCGGCCATCTTGACGTCGAATGCCCCCGTAAAAGCTCAATCACCTCTTGATTTCTCTCAATAGATTGACGAGCAGAAAGTCGTCGAAACCGCCTGAGAGCACAAGAAGCAGTCAAGAGAATTCACAGGCTAGCCACTCAGTGAAAATCTTCGCACAGAATATAGGATGGGGCGGTTGAGGTTCATTGATTTCCAGCAACCTATCTCATAGAGAAATTGTTAGTAGGAAGCATAAAATCATAGATCAGTATTAAGTGCCACAAATCTGCACCATCAATAGATGAAATCAATATGAGAAACAAAATAAAAAAAATAGAAGAGGTCATTGTTCTCCGCATTATTTATGCAGGAACCAGGGCAAATTCATGCCGAGGGAGTGGGCATCTCATGTCGCAGAGGAGCGCGCAAGCGCAAGTGACCCGACAAGAACGAGAATCCAGCTCAATGGGTACACAAACATCGCGAGACATTCCCTCTGACGCAGCTGAGATTTATTTCCATCCCGGCTGCCCCTGTTCCCATCCAGCGGTGGAAGGTATTATCCCAGTCGCGACCGCGCGGACCAGCGCAAAAAGCGCATTCACGACGGAGCCTCTCTTTTTCTGACCCAACCGGGCGAGAAGCTGACCGAATTGGCTGGGAACAGGGAGCCTTGAGGGATACATGATCGTAGCGAGAACATGTGGTCTGAGGGAGACTGAGAAGGTGAGGATGGGAGGGGGAAGGGTGCAGAACAAAAAATAGCGTTCACAGCGAAGAGTCGAGGCTTTCGCCTACTTACCCAGTAAAACTGGCCTAGATAAGCGAGAAGTAGCGAGCCGAGAAGGCTATTTCACCAGAAAGAGTCGCGGTGCTGAGGGAGGAAAGGGCTGTGTGCTGATCGTGTGGAGGACTGGGCAATGTTGGCGGTGTTGCGCGATAGCCACTTTCGAGCAAAGGTGAGCTTGCGGGTGCCGTTAGAGGAACGAACGCCCCAGGCGCGGAGGTGAAGTTGCAAACAGTATGTAGTGGCAATAACAGCAGACAGAAATGAATTCCAACACCCACCAGTAATATTATTCACTACACAGCACAATTCACTTGATATGTCATAACATATTGAATTATATATTGCATTTTTAGACAGTCTAGATGTGATTGGATAGTATGAATCGTAAAAGAATCCCAAGGTAACTAACTAGCCAATATTCTACTACTTTGCCGAAAGCAATTGGATTCAACTCTGGCCATCATTTTTTTTCTGATATTTTTTTCCATATCTATGGATTTTTCTGGAGATATAGCTGATTAATTTGACAAATATCTTCTATCCTCCTTCCTATAGAAGTGCTCCTAAGGGTGTGTGCATTGCAGACTGGGGCTTAAATCTGATATGGCAGAGGGACTAATTCAAGAGTTAGAAATAATACCATAGCCCCATCAAAGAACACAGAGCATAGAAAAAGCCCATTGGGAGAAATGGGATACTTTTTTAAATGCTCAGGCTTCACTTCCTGGGCAAGGGAGTTCAAGACGGGGATCTCAATGACCTCATCCATGTTGACTCCGGTGGCCAGCCCTCCGGTGGCCAGCCTCGTGGTCCCGTACTGTACCCTCGGAATAGACTGGTGAACCAGAAGATGCCTCCCCTCAGTAAGGATAAGCCATTGCAGTCAGACGGATGTCATATCTTAGGCTTCATCGAGGTTGATGGTATATGGCGAAGAATATAGGGTGGGTATCGTTTGGAATTTCAAGCGAGTAGTCTGGGCAGAGGTATCATTTCCGCATGGCCTTCGGCTTGCGTTTCTTGAAGACAACGCCCGGTGGTACTTCATCGGGATCTTCTTTGGGCGCAGGATTCTCGATCGGATTTTCTTCGGTCTTTATTGGCGGCTGCGTGGCATCCGTGTTTGCAGCAGCAGTAATATCCTTTTCTGTTCGAGTAACAAAAGAAAAAGGTGTGGCAGGTTTTTCCTCCTTCACTGGCTCAGACTCAGGCATCTTGGCTTTCCCAATATCCTTCGTAGATGCTAGGAGGGTATCCAAATCGTCATCGTCCTCATCCTGCTCGCCAGGGTACTGTCGCGTTCTCGCACCCCATCCTTTGCTGGTAGCCTTCTGCATGATATCCTCCTCGTCGCTTCCATCGCCTTCATGCTTGCGTTTCCGTACGCCGACAGCACCGGACGGTCCTAGTTCATTTTCACTTGCAACCGCTCTCTCAGAAACCGTCTGCCACTCGCCCGCCAACGCCAACTCGCCCCGGTACTCGTCCGGGATAGCCACCCCCATCTCTGCTAGCTGGGAAATCTGCTTCTTCCTATCCTCAGCTGTAGGCGCTCGTCCCGTCTGCTGTGTCGCCACAGGGTCTTTTTTCCAGGGAGGGACATTGCCGCTGCTGCCACTGCCGTCCTTGCCCCCAGCGACAACCTGTTTCAGTCTCTCTACCTCACTTTTCGCTCGCTGAGTCTCCCTTGTCTGCCGCTCGTTGTCCCGGTGTATATCACGTAAGAATCTCTTGAGGTTTCCCTGATGTTTTGGGCTGGCTTCGTGTTGGGTCTTTTCAAAAGGCGTGTCGCGGATATATATCTTGCATTGCTTGCACCAGAACCTAGGCTAAAGAACTGTCAGAATCAAATGTACACAAGAAAAAAAACTCCCATTCTTATGGATCTGACTTACTGCCGATTTCCAATATTCCGCCATGATTGTGGATGTTGTGCAACTGGGTTCTTCTCGTCTGTTGTTGGAATTGTTCATTCCATCATGCGGAAGACCGTCGCGAGGCTAGACCCGATCGGGAAGGAACTGCTACATGCGCGGATCAACATCGCGGATTGGAACGACAACCATTTCATCATTTATACGATACAATTCTGAGTAAATCTACTATCATTTCATATATTCGTAATACCACTGCTGTGTCTGTTTATAATAGCCGATCAATCCTGATTATCACCTCGTTCAGACCATCCTGAAACAAGAACCCAATGTCTCTGGTCGAATCAGCCAGCTCGATTTCTCTCCTTATATACTTGGATTTGCTTTCCATGCTCTTCACCGAGGTAAGATCCGCAGCGTGAATGTCACCGTCATCTTGGTCGCTGTCCCATTCGTCCTCATCCGTGATTTGCTTACTAACAGGATCCCATTCGTCGGTCTCCCATACTAGTTTGAACGAATATGGCGTAAGTTTGAAAAGGCGGGAGACAAGAGCTTTGACCTGGTATGTATCGTAGCCTCGCGGGATTTGTTGTACCTTTGTATCATGACTAGTCTGTAAATCACGATCATCAACTGGTGGTGAGGATGGCAACTTGAATGTCATTGTCAGGAGCCGGGCTGCCACAGATCGTGGATTCACAGCCCCTTCATTGATTGACTCGCTCGCTCTGGTAATTGTGGGTTCTCCGTATTGGTCACAAAGCTCCTGGTAGCGAGGATGGGTAGCCAGTATCTTGGGTTCCGACGCTGCTGGCGAAGCAGAGAGTTCCTTGCCGATGAGGGATAAATAGTATAGTTCCCCGTTTGTTCTATCCGTCGGCGCGATCTTGCTGAAATTCAAGAGCTGTAAACGGCCCAAGCGGGATAGGGTGAGAATAAAGACCTCGTCGACAGTCATCGGCCTCTCCTGCAACCCTGTTACTGCAGACGACGCGACAGGCTGGTTATACAGAGGATTTCCCGTAATGCGAAGATTGTCAAGACCAGGAAATACGTCCGCGAGCTTGTTCACAAAAAGCCATGAGTTTATCTTGTTGTACGATAGATCAACTGATTTGAGAGTGTCTGAGAACCGTAGAGGCCTGTCTCTGACCTCCGAGTCTGTGTCATAAACTGTAGAGATGGAATTTCCTTTCAGGGACAGTTGCTCAAGTTTCGGCAATGCAGTGAGGTCACAGAGAGCCGCCAATGAGTCGAAATCATTGTGCTCCAGCTTCAAAGTGGTGATGGTATTGGTGAGAGGTCCTGTGGTGAGAGATAGCTGGTTTGCAAATGCTGACAAGGACGTCAGCGACGGAAACTGACGCGTCAAGGAGGAAACCTGCAGCATTTAGAACAATCCGAGAAAGAAATGTGCTCATGGTCCCCGAATCTTACCTCGTTCCAGTCTAGCAAGGTATCATTTAAGTGCAGTTCGGTGACGTCTCCAAAGTTCAGGTCCTTTTCAATAGGACCAAACCGATTTCCACTAATTGTGTCAGCCTTTTAACCCATCTTGCATTATAAGATGAAGTCAGATATTTACTCTAGTTTTAGTATCCTGAGGAAATGCAATGAATCGCATATATCTTTCACATCAGTCCAGCGAGTAAGCAGATTACGACTGAGATCCAGCTCGGTGATCTTCGGACACGTCTTTTGAACCGCTTCTCGTTCCTGCTCTCTTCGATCTGCTGGGACTTCTTTTTCCAGCAGACCTGCCATCAACAGACCATCCAGAATCACGATCTTCAGCTCATGGAGCTCTGCAAGTTTCTTGCGGATCTTTTCGAAGCCAACTTCCTCGGCGATCTTGCCGTTGAACCGGATAGTGTCCTGAGTGGACACAGAGCCTGAGGACGTAGAGTCCTGCCCTGCAAGGTCTTCTTCAAAGCCAGAAGCATATTTGCCGCGCAGCGCTTCAAGAAACCCCCGAGGCTTGTCCGCTGGTCGAGACGGGCGAACGAACGAAGCGGGGGTGAACAGCTTCTTTTTGCCTACTCAGGTATCAGTAAATGGACCAAACACGTCTTTACCCAAAAGGCAGACTCTAAAAACAACCGGAAACACCGACATGTAAAATACCTCACCCCCTTATGCTCTCCAGAGTGCTTCCCTCTTGATGGATCATCCCACTCGACGCCTAACCAGTCGCCCGTAGTTCCCTCGACATGGCCAACATAGCGAATGGTACACAGCTGGCCGCCGAACGACCGCCGCTGGCCTACCTGAGGATCTGTTATCATTTCGTAGGCCTTACATTCATTTCTCGACCCACTGGACCATTTATTATTGTTGATCGCCAAATGAAATCGAACATGGTGTAGCATCAAGCCAATGGCAGAGAGACACTGCCGTGGCCGGGATGCTTATGTAATGAATTACAAAGGATCTTTATCACCGCCAACTTCGCCGCGATAGTATTTTGGAGCAGACACCCTATCTCTCAGCGCTGACTACCGATCACCATGGATTACCAGGTACTTTGAAAACGTGATTTGAGCCCCTTTTGAAGAAGAACAATGACTGACCTGGACAGAATCGAGCAGGGTCCAAGTTCGGTGGCGGCGGTGTCGCATCCCACTCGGCGACCAATGCAGACCGACGCGAACGACTGCGCAAGCTCGCGCTGGAGACGATCGATCTCGACAAGGACCCGTACTTCTTCAAGAACCATGTGGGCAGCTTCGAATGCCGGCTGTGTCTGACCGTACACCAGAATGATGGCTCGTATCTCGCACATACACAGGGCCGCAAGCACCAGACGAATCTGGCGCGGCGAGCTGCACGAGAGCAGAAGGAAGGCAAGAACCAGGACTCATCGATGGTGCCTGGAGCGATGGGCGTGCAAGTCAAGAAGCAGATGATTAAGATCGGGCGGCCAGGGTACAAGATCACCAAGATCCGCGATCCGCTGACGCGCCAGCTCGGTCTACTCTTCCAGCTGCAGTATCAGGAGATCACGCCTGGCGTGACACCGCGGGTGCGGTTCATGTCTGCGTTTGAGCAGAAGGTCGAGGAGCCCCCGGACAAGAACTTCCAGTACCTGGTTGTCGCTGCCGAGCCGTACCAGTCCTGCGGGTTCAAGCTACAGGCGAGAGAAATCGATCGCCGCGAAGGACGCTATTGGACCTGGTTCGACGAGGATAGCAAGGAGTTTTGGGTTCAGATCATGTTCAAGACCGAGCGGGAGGAAAGATATAGTGGCGTTCCGGGTCTCGCACCGATGCGGACCTAACCGGGGAAGATCCATGCCCTATGTAATATTTACTAGCACTTCGGCGTTTTGGGTTCAGATGCATGGAATTATCTTCTATTAAAAGGGGGTCTCGACAATTGCCTTATGGAAACACTCATGTTCCTTTTTTGCTTCGGAATCATCTTCCTGCACTTTTTGAAGCTTTTGATAGCAACTAGACTGAACTGTAATTCCATTTATACTGGTCTTGTCTAGGACATCAAGCCCTAATGAACAATACACTCGCTTAGAAATAAAAGCATATGCACAGCGATATGGAGTGTTTTTCGCCAGAAATTGATAGACGGCTGCGGTATGCCGACTTGCGACATAAATCCAAACAGATGCAAAGATGCTCAGGTCATGATTTCAGAGTATGCTTTATGATTTCCGATAGAAAATAAGGGGGGAAAATGAACAGAAAGAATAGCAGAAAAGGGGAGGTTAAAACAACGAGTTCAGACCTGGTGAGCCGTTGAAAAAGACATAGATGCAAGCCTGCCCGCTTTCTTTTTGACTCCCTAAGACGGTTCACTCTTAGTCCAGGGAACTCGAGTGCTCTTGAAACGCCTTCCGAAACATCTAATTGTTCTGGAATGCATTGAATGCCTTGTAGGTGTAGCCAATGAAGGGCAGACTCATCTCAGCCTCCTGTTCATCTGGCATGGCACGAGCCTGCGCGCGGTGGATGGCGCTGGTATCCTCTTGCGGAATCTCATCAATGGGGAAGTATGATACATCCACATTCGAGCTGAGCTTGGGCTCGAACGGAGCACGGATCCTGCGCAGTTGCTCCCAGACCACGCCGCGGAAGAAGGGGTGGTTTTTGATCTGTGTAGCACCGCCGTGTTGGCCACCCTCACTGCCGATACGGTGCTCTGCATCACACAAAAAGCTGCAATGAAGGATCAGTATCACAGTGAAATTTCATTTGGGAAGAGAGGGAAATACCTGCGAATGAGATGCTCGGAATCACGCGACAGGGTAAGCTCCTCAGGGAAATAGAGACATTCGCGCCAGTTCACAATCTTCCGGTAGGTGTCGGTCGTGTCCTCAGCGCAGAAGGGAGGCCAGCCCACCAGACATTCGAACATGATGGCGCCAACTGACCACCAATCGCATAAGTATGTGTAGCCTTGACCATTGAAGATTTCCGGGGCGATGTAGTCTGGAGTGCCGACCGTCGAGTAGGCCATGGCTCTCCGAGACTTTCTCCAGGTATTGATCTGTCCACGGTTCGATACAGTAAGGTTGATCGCATCGCTGAAGTAGCCAGAGTTGCGGTTCTTGTCCTTTGATGTCGAGTTCTTGAGAAGGTTTTGATAGTACGCATTGTCGTGTGTCTTTTTGCCGCCTGTCGAAAGACCGAAATCGGTAAGCTTGATATGACCACCTCGGTCAAGCAAGATGTTGTCAGGTTTTATGTCACTGTTGCAGGGTTAGCAGGCTGCATATTTCAACAAGAGAAGACCTTGAAGCGTAGTGTTTGTCACTAACCGATGGAGGAAGCCTAGCTTGTGAACCGCTTCAATGGCCATGACAATCTCTGCCATGTAGAATCGTGTAATATCCTCCGAGAAAATTTCATATTTGATAAGCATGGTCATTAGATCACCGCCAGGCAAAAACTCCATCAGCAGATAGAGGTAAGCGTTATCCTGAAATGAGGCGTGCAGCTTCACGAGCCATGGGTTATCCTTGGAGTCTGCCAGAATGTCACGCTCGGCGCGAACATGGGCCAGCTGGTCTTTCTTGAACATCTCCGACTTGATTAACGACTTCAAAGCGTAGATCTTCCCGTCTGTCTTTCTCTGCACCAGTTTGACCTCACCGAAGGCACCCTTGCCGATGACCTTGATCGTCTGGAAATTGGCCGGGGTCTCTTTGGTTCTCAGGAACCGGAGGAAGGTCGACTCCCTTCTGGCAGTGGCCTCAGCATCCTGACGCTTCTTGTCCACGGGGACGCTGGGGTCACGGATCAACTTGTCGAGTTCGGTAGACCTGATACGAAACGGGAATCAGCATTGATTGATACGAGGATGTTCCTATCGCTACCAACAAGACTTACCGCATGTTGCGATCCCGCGCTCGCTCGATGTTCTCATGGAAGAAGACGTTTACCAGTTCCTTGGCCGCTTTGCCGCGCTTATGAACATTCTCCGAGTAACGTTCTGGGAACCGCTGCAGTTCCTCGCCCTCAGGGACGGTTCTGGGGCTGCGCGGCATGGGAGGAACCAGATGCCCGGCCTGCTGACCGGGGGGGGCAGGAGAGCCGCCCGCGGTCCGAGGACGCTGCCCCGGCGAGGCCGAGCGGCCCATGAGACCCGAACGGTTCGCATTCAGGTCCTGATTCGAGAACTGCTGGACCAGCCCGTTGGTACCGTCATTGGTACTGTATCCCAAGCGTGTCTGGTAGGTGGGCTGTGGGGACTGTAGGGCATGTTGGCCATAGTGAGGTTGAGCATAGGTCGCCTGCTGAGGGTAGGGGTTGTTCATGTAGTATCCTTGGCCATACGCTCCGTTCTGCAGGCTCTGGGCGTCCATGTAGTCCTGAGGGCTCTGGTTCTGGTAGATCGGCTGCGGGAAGGCGGAGGGCGTGGTGGGATATGCGCGATTGTTGGCTGAATTGTACGCCCGATCGTTGTACCCGAAATTCAGGTGCGGACGGTTGTTATTCGGATCCATGGTGAATTGTTCTCCAGTTATCCGCTGCCTCGAGAGAAAATGAATGAGGATAGTAGTGTTGGGAGAAAGAGGGGGTGTAGTTTAAAAGGGTGGCCGTTCAGCGAAAGGAGCGGTGGCTTTTCAGGAGGGTCGGGGCGATACAGAAACCACCACACACGATCTCCCGTACGGTTACCCCACGGTCAGACAACAGACAGGTCGAGGACGAGGACCAGACAGATGCGAGAACCGGAGGAGAGGGCGAGGAGGACCGAACGAACGAAGGGGAAGGGCGATTGCAGGAAAGGAGTTGGCTGTTTCACAGTTTCACACGTCCCTTTTTTCTATAGGGAGTCCAGACTCTGGCCTGCGCGTAGTTGACGTTGCCCACAGACAGCAGTCACAATAATAATATTTAATAATAGAGGGCAGCATAACTCGATAATGAATTCTTCTGGTCTGCCCAATTACCTAAGTATTAATTCCTCTATTAAACTAGTCGTAAATAGCCAGTAACTCTATCTAGACAGCTATAATTCCTGTCATCCAAGTAATCGAGGTACTTCGCCAGTACCTCCTACTAGGTTTGGCGCCCAATTTTGAGAATCGCCGTAGAGTCTATTAGTACCTGTTACTCCGTATTAGTATCGTCTTACCTCGCTTGATACAGTCGACTAACTCCACACCAGGGGGCATGTACATTAGGTAGAGAGAGAAGTAGCACAGAGAACATGGAATTCGCGAGTTGGTATTTGCAGCTGCCAATAACTACATAGAAGTATGAAACTGTGGCAAAGTCATTATTAGGAGGTACCTATTCAGGTACGTTCAGTGGGTAACTACTAGGTAGTAGGTACTAGGTAGTTAATTAGTTAGTACCTACCTGGTACTCCGTACCAGGACTTGGTATTATATTTCATACCCGGTAACAAAATTACGTATCCGGATCAACAAAGTTCCGACAGGCTTCCCGATATCAACTTTTTTGGAGCAGTCAGCAGTGCGTTGGAGTGCTTAACTTGCATTGACGTGTGTTACGGGACAAATTCATAATGACAGAGGCCCCTAATACTGCGGCCGCAGGCTCTGCGTCTGCAAAGGCTGCTCCCAAGCAGAATCCTGCTTTTCGAATGATGGGTATGCTACAACCCCGGTATTGCTCTGCTCTGCTTGCTAATGGAGATACCTTCAAGGAATGCCCAATCTCCGCTTTAAGCTGCCGTCTCGCAACTGGATGATCTTTTTCACCATTACCGGTTCCTTCACCACTGCACTGATCTATGACCGCAGAGAGAAACGACGTGCTCAGCAGAAATGGTGCGACCTGGTCGCTCATCTTTCCAAAGAGCCACTCCCAATCGACCAAACGCGGCGAAAGCTCACGATCTATTTGTCTGCTCCTCCCGGCGATGGGTTGAGGATTGCGCGCGACTATTTCAAGGAATACGTCAAGCCGGTGCTGGTGGCCGCTGCGATGGATTACAGTGTTGTTGAAGGGCGGCGGGAAGGCGACGTCCGAGCCGGCACGGCGGAGCGTATTCGGAAACTCAGACGAAAAGCAGGAGAGCCGAGCACAGTGGTAGAGGAGCAGGGAGTTGAAGACATCATCGCCGATGCAAGAACACGCATCGGCGTTGTTGACGAGCCGGGACCCAAGGGCGACTTGGTCATTGGGCGACACACTTGGAGAGAGTACGTTCGCGGCCTTCATGAAGGCTGGCTGGGTCCGTTAGACCCCCCTCCTCCGCCACCAGAACCTACTCCCGAAATCTCTGAAGCGTCGGAGTCGGTTAGCTCGGATGCAGGACCGACTACTCCCGAGACCGAGACCCCGGAGAACAAAGAGGCAGAGAAGAAGGATGAAGAAAAGAAGGAAGAAAAGCCCAAGCCGAAAGGCCCAACACCCTCATATATCGCACCTACCGATTACTCCTCCCAAGCCATTCCGCGAACGTTCCCGCAGTCTCTCGACAGCTCTGTCCCGATTCCTTTCCCACACATCCTTGGGTTCCTCAACACGCCGATTCGCCTGTACCGGTACTTGACGCAGCGGTATCTCGCTGACAGTGTGGGCCGCGATGTTGCTGCGATCGTTCTAGCCTGCGCCACCAGACCGTACGAGGAGGGTACCTTCCCCAGCGCAGACGCTGGCGGGGACGCTTCTCCCACCAACACTTCCTCCACATCGTACCTTGAGCAGCAGACACTCCTCGATCACGAAGAGAAAGAATGGCACAAATCTGTCTTCAAGCGCGACGAGTCCGCCCCGGACGCCGAGCGCGAGTGGCTCGACGACATCGTCCTCGACCCCCGTCTTGCGTCGCGAATGTCGCGGTACATCATGTCGCCTGAGGAGGAGGCGCGCGCAGAGCGCATCGCAGAGGGCCAGGAATACATCATCGGCCAGGAGAGGCCAACACCTGTCCCCTTCTGGCAGCAGATGTGGATTAAATACGGATATGGCGAGGACGAGGAAACCATCAGACGGAAGCCCATCCTCGGCAATCTGGACGACGAGTGAAGAGGGACAAGCAATTGGCCCCATCATATACATACCATCAACCATCAGAACTCGCTTCTCGCATGTACATTATAATCATATAATAGACTTGGTCACTTCTGCGCTTAGCATAACTAACTATTTCCTCTGTATCTCTTTCTAGAAGTGACTAGCATCTCGTCATATCTTTTTATGTAGCTCTAGGTTGGTCCTCTAACTAATCGCCTCCTGTGGTATCTTTAATCTTACATCCTATCCTAAATTGAGCACAGGCATTCTAGAAATTGTTTTTCCTGGACCTCCCTCTACCTGCTCGGAGAAGTTAAACTAGATCGACAGCTGCTGGAGAGAGAAGAAAAAGTTGAAAGAACCGACATGCGCCCGTTGGACAGAAGGAATTGTTCCGGTTCAGGCCTTGACGAGCTTCGAGGAGAGCTGCTCCAATTCGGAGTTGACGACCTCAGCTACTTGCGCGGGCAGCGGCTCAGGAAGGGTCTCAAGCGCCTTTTTGAATCGCGCAAGCTGCTGCTGTAACGCAGGGTTGGCAGCGTCGATGGAATGAGCGGCTTCAAGACACTTGAGTGCCGGGACAAATTTACCTAATGTATTTCATTAGCTCGGGTTTCACCTTCGAGTTTAGTAGGGAAACTTTTCTTACCCCGTCTCAGGTAGACCTCGAAGCCGAGGCTTTGCGCTTCAAAGTTCTGCGGGTTGAATTCCAGCAGGGGAGTCAGAAACTTGGTGGCGTCCTTGAGCGGGTCTTGTGTCTGGACGAGTTTGTTGCCAAGCGGGTCGGGATCCTCTTTCTTGACCTCGCCGTCGGCCGACTTTGCGTTCGCCTTGCGGGCTTCGCGCTTTTCGGCCTCGATCTTCTCCAGACGAAGCTGCTCCTTCTTTGCCTTCTTCAAGGCCTTCTTTCGCTCGGCACCATCAAGGTCATCAAGACTGCTCGCGGGTATAGGTCCGTGGACCAGATCCGGTTCGTCATGGAGGAGGATGTAGGTCTTGATAGCATCAATGGCCACTCGGGAGTAGAAAGGATGGTCACGCAGACGGTCCTCCCACCGGACCATGTCGACATACGCTCTGATCATACCCTTGCGGAGAGAAAAGCTGTGGAAATCAAACTGGTCTTCCTGCCAGACGTCGAAGATGTTATAGACGGCGTGGAAGCGCTTGAGAGCAAGAGCCAGCTTTTTCTGCCGGAGATAGGACTCGCCATCCTCGGTCAGGTACCAGACGCACTGCATCTCATGAAGGTCTCCGAGGGCGCCGCCGACGGTCTCGTTGCGTGTGAATTTGCTCATGTTGTCGAGCGCCTTGTCGTTCTCGTCATTGCGCAGTTGGTACTTGGCAGCCTTGGAGTTGATATACCGGTCCTTCTCGTCCAACAAACGAGCCTGCTCCATAGTCTCAGCCGCCTTGCCCAGGTCACCTTGGTGCTTCCATATCCTGGCCTTGGTCATCAGGTACTCCACGCTCTTGGGGGTCAACTCGATTGCCTTATCCACGTATTCCGTAGCCTTCGTCAGATCACGGCTGAGATGGTAGTTGTAGTGCTGCGCAAGGAAGTAGTAGGTTGATGCCTCAAAGTATTTGTTGTCCCCGTTTGCTTGCTTGTCGGCAGATCCGTTGGATTGAAGCTCAACGTTTCCAGAAGCATAGCCTTCCACAAGCTCCTGTACGATGTCCCGCTTGGACGGGTTGGCGTACAGTGTCTTGATGTTCGCAAACAGAGAGGGAACGCCCTTCCGAAGCATACGCTGAAGATAGGTATCGGCGGCTTGCTTGAAATCGTCGCCTTCAAGGAAGTCCAGCGGGATCCTTCGAGGGGCGTCACCGCGAGGGTTCTTGTCCACCCAGGAATCATACACGGCCTTCAGTGCCTTGTGGTCATCCTTAGGGATACCCTTTACCCGGATGAGCGCATCGTAGTACACGGAGTTTTCAGGGTTCCGCTCAATGAGCGCCGTGTAGGCTGCGTCGGCTTCCTCGGTCCGTCCTAGTCGCAGGAGGTAATCAGCCTTCATCTCCATCACAGCGAGGACATCGCTGATCCGGTGACCGACCGACTCCAAGTGCTCGAGGGCCCGCTCAAGGTTTCCCGACTCGGCGATGATTGTGTTCTTGTAGAGGACGGCTTCGGAATGTTCCATGTCGGAGAGCGGCGGCGGGGTCTTCAAAGTCTCTTCATATGTCGTCAACACTTTCTCTGCCTCCTCCAGATCGCCAGACAGGTGGTGTGCAATAGCAAGAGCGGTCCAATTCTGTCTGATACCCGGCCGAGCCTGCAGCATAGCGCTCCGGCTCTGAATATAACCTGGATAATCGCGCATTTGCATCTGGAGGAGGGCCAAATCGCGCTGAATCGGTTGGGACTCCGGCTCGATCTTTAAGGCAAATCGGTATGCTTTAATGGCCTCTTCGTAGTTCTTGTCTTGACGGTAGAGTAACCCATAGACGTGCCAGCAGACATGCGACCGCATGTCGTTCTTGAGTGCCTCCTTGGCCAGCACGAAGGCCTCTTCCTGCTGTCCGAGGTTGCTCATGATCAGAGCCTTCATCGCTTGCGTGTCACCATGGTTGGGGGTCTTGCGCAGAATCTGTTCTGCAGCTTTGATGCCTGTTCGTCACATATTTGCAGTCAGCTCTCCGGCCGAGTCCAGGACCAAATCCAATCCAGGGACTCTCAACCCACCCTTCTTGTATTGCTTGTTTTCATAGAAGCGAACAACTTGACGGAACAAGGAAGAATCCTTGGAGCTCAATTGTTGAGGCATGGCGGGCGTGGTGCTAGGACTCCGTGAGGGCTGACAGAGTGGGAAGGCCAGCCGCCGGTGACTGTGCGTGGATGAAGCTTTTGATGTGTGCGGGGAACAACTCCTCCGAAATGGCAGGGCCGATATAGAGCGAGCACTTCACGGAATTATCGAGACCACATGGAGTATTTTCATTTAAAAAAATACTTTTCTATATAATATGGGTACTGAAGCCAACTCGGTACTGAATATTTAGGGCTGCTTCTTCGAAACCCGAACACCACCCACAAGTATTATAGGGTAGTCATCAAAGAATCTCATGCTTTTTATTTCATCATGGGCTCTTGGAGAGCGAGAAGAGACAGCAAGAAGCAACTTGATATACACAAAGAAAATCCAATTGCGCCAGTCATGCATCTATCTTACAACCATTCTGCACTGCTGGAGATATTTAATGGCTATATTCAAGCCGTGTTATAGACCAAGGGCACAGAACGAATGACGCTGGGATCGGAGGACTGACCATGTGTGTTGGATGAATACATAGCCACTGTGTGTCCAGCCATGAGGCGCCCAATATGGTCGAACATATGGGGTCACCTTTGCTGTCGCTCTCGCCAATTGTTCAGAGCTTTTTCCCAACTCGTCGATTCGTTGCATCTCTCGTTCACTAAGCCCCATGTTCTGAAACGGATGATTTCTTCCACGGTGCGTTCATTACGAATCAAATTCGCTAGAGACTCGGTCCGCGCTTCTCGAGGGAAGAACCGGGCCGAATATGGATCCAATCGTTCGTCAACCACTCGCTCCCTATCTTTGGCGGATTCTGTTTCTCGGAGTATCAGGTCGGGGTCATCCGGATCGGGGCTCGTGGCGACACCAGCGCAGTAGTTTAGAACATCTGATCTGGTCTGCCAAGCTGGGAAGAGTACATCATCCTTGAATTTCTGGCAGGCGGCCGGGTCAACAGACAACCTGAATTTGGAATCTGTCTGACGGTTTGCCGTCGAGGAAGGGTCAAACCCGCGTTGGGCGGGCGTCAGCAACGCGTTAAGATTCTGAGTGATAGAATCATCGATTGTGGACCTGGAAAGTCGGAGGAAGTCTATGCGGAATAATATTACACTGATCAGCTTGAATTCCCATAGTGTCCGGAGGGGGGCGATTCTCTAGGAAACATTTGCCCCAAACGTACCTCGGAGCACCCGTTCATTGAAACAAAATTGAGGAGTCAGCGTCGGAGCTGAGGTCGACGCTGTCTGTGACATCCTCTGCCTCTCCAGCACCTCCCCGTTCCGGCCTGGCCCAGGTGTAGCAGTCCAGAACAAGTCCAGTTTGACGGATGGGGCGGCGATCCTGGTGGGGCGGAAGTAGGAGTCGATGCAGTCAGTCTTTCGTTCAAATCCCTCCTCGGTTCTAGCACCGAATAGTAGCAAAGGGGTACTAATACGGTGTGTTGTGATGCTGAAATGGGAAAATCCGAAGACAGCACGTCACTGTTGCTGGTTCCGCTCTTTGAAGTTCTAACATCATAAAGTCCCGAGCTTTGCCATATTTGGACCTTGATCATCGATAGACATGTCACATGATCTCGTGTCTGCTGACTCACGCCTCAACGACGCGTTATTTTACGTGTCGAGGCTGATTGATACGGAGTAGGAGATATCGATAACTGCCTGTAATTAAGGAGGCAAACTGCAGGTAACCAACGATTCTCAAACAGCTAGCCATCAACAGGGTTTCAAGAACTTATCAAATTTGGTTTGATTTGAATATTGTGATTCTTGAATTCTTCCCCCCTCCAAAGAATCCATTCCTAATCAGTCAGCCAGGTTACAATTCATCATGCCCGAGTTAGCGGAAGTCTCGCGCATTGTTCATTTCATACGCCAGCATCTCGTTGGGAAGACACTCTCCAGAGTACAGGCGCAACACGATGACATCGTGTACGGCAAAGTGGGGACTAGTGCCGATGAGTTTGAGAAGGCAATGCAGGGCAAGACAGTCGTTGGAGCCGGGCAACAGGGCAAATACTTTTGGATCACAATGTCATCGCCGCCACATGCAGTGATGCACTTTGGAATGGCTGGGTGGCTGAAAATAAAAGACGCCGATACATACTACTATCGTACAGACAAGCCCCAGGATAAAGAATGGCCGCCAAAGTATTGGAAGTTCCTGCTAGAGACGGACGGGAACCCAAAGACCGAGGCTGCGTTCGTTGATTTTCGGAGGCTGGCCAGAATCAGACTCGTGGATTGTCCGGCGGACGAGATCCGCAAGTACACTCCTCTCAAGGAAAACGGGCCTGACCCGGTCGCGGACCCAGAACTGGTGACAGAGAAGTGGTTAACGGAACTGGTGACACGAAAGAAAGCGCCTATCAAGGCTGTCCTTCTTGACCAGGCCAATATCAGTGGTATCGGGAACTGGATGGGGTAGGTATTCTATTTTTTCTCTGTGTGGTAATCTGAGCGTGGATCCTGACTCCTTTAGCGACGAGATTTTATATCAAGGAAAAATCCACCCAGAGCAGTACAGCAATACGCTGAATGATGAGCAAATCCAAGATCTACACAAGGCTCTTCATTATGTTTGTTCAACCTCTGTGGAATTGCTAGCAGACTCGGAAAAATTCCCAGAGCACTGGCTATTCAAGCACCGATGGGGAAAAGGGAAGAAAAATCAAACAGCGAAATTACCCAATGGAGACAAGATCATTTTTCTCACCGTTGGTGGACGAACCAGTGCGGTTGTGCCATCAGTACAGAAGAAGACCGGCCCAATTACTAAAGATGTCACTGAAGACGAAACCAAAGAGTCACATCCCAGCTCCAAGAGGAAGCGAGAGACCCCATTGAAAGAAGAGAGCGACTCAGATCCCGAGATAGAGAAAGTATCAAAGAAGTCAGGGCCAAGCAAGGGAACTGGTCGAGGTGTGAAGCTCGAGGATAGCGAGAAGAAGGCGAGTCCAGAAACCAGTGGCCGAAGACGTTCTACACGACTGAGAACAAAATAATCTGGCCTCCAGTCAGAGAATCAGTCTGGTATTTGCACACCTAGAAGTGTATGAAGCTGTGAAATATGAATCTGCTACATTCAAGTATAACAAGTAAATGAAATCAACAAATAGACATCAAAGTAAAAAGCACCCGAATCAGTCAAACTGTAAGCCCATCTAAAGCCTCCTGATAAATACTTATACCATTCTTATTCCGTCCGCCCGTGATAGCAAAGTATATCCCTTCCCATCGACAACTGAATTCCGGTTCCTGCAAGACTTCTTTCCAGCACTGGGCAGAGTCTTGGAGGGGGTGCTTGTAATGGCCGCACCCGAATGCACCTACCACCAAATATCGATGACTGTTTACTGCTGCAATAGAAAGAGTCAAACGAATCTGACTCTTCATTTGGTCTCTTTCAACAGGGTCCAGATACTTGGTTCTTCCACTGTCGGTTTTTGGGGCATATATCGCAGCCATGCTGATGACGCTAATAGAGGGCAGGGTTTCCGGTCTTGTAACGTCGAACAATTTATGTTGCGAAGCAAAGTTCTCTCGGATCACTAGGACTTCAGTCGAATATATCGCATCCTCGTAACGTAGCGGATAGAACTTTTTATTCAGAGTCAAATGAAGGCTGGTTCGACGGCAGATATCTTCTTCTTGAGCTATAACACCGGAACGCCAGGCTGAGCCTGGATTGGTTTCATTGGCGAAATTGAGGATACAGACTCGCTTAGTATTGCAATTCTTGAGAATATCGAGTGCTGCGTCGACAGTGTCCTTATTGATCACTTGGACTTTCATTGGCTGCAGGGTTTGGTCTTTCGAATTCAACTTGATGGGTGGCATGAAGCCAGTTCCCTTGCCCTTTTTGTCTTTCCGTTCTGTCAATGAATACAGAACACCTTTCACATTGGCTGTGGGCGTGAGCTTCAGGAGCTCAGTAACAATTTTATCTGTCTCGTCAGCGATCCGCACCAGCCAAGGTCCGTCATTTTCCTTCCCCCGAGGTGGAGAGAGCCAATCGAGTATCCACTGATAGTCTTTCGTCATTTCCAAAGTAGGTAGGAAAGGGGATTGTTTTAATTGCTCGGTATGACAGGCTCAGATTCGTTGATCACTGTCTGGTTGATTCTCTTCCAAAGTAGGTATCAGAGCGCGACCGGGCAATCTGGTGCAGCCTAATACTCCTACTTATACACGGTGGTACCCTCGAGCGTATCCATGGCCGTTGATCGAGTTCTTTGTTTGCTACCCCTGGAGATCTCTGTTTTCGTAAGGGGAGTTTACAAAGAGCTCAATGAGGTTCCCCGCACTAGGAAGGCGGTCAGCTTATCGTATGGCGGGGGGTTTTCTTCTTTCGCCACTGCGATATCGCCGCAGCTGACAAAGCGATGGAACCAACTGCGCTGTGCCCTTGCGACTATCTTTTTTCTTTATCATCACTGTGATGTGCGATCTAATTTTAAACTCTTGAAAGAGATTTTGATTAACTTTCACCACTCACTTCCAAGCAGTCGAGAATACCTCCCACGCTCTGGCGCCACAGAGATACCCCTGGAGGGGCTTGGAATAGTGCTCCGAACGTCCAAACCAGCGAACCTAAAGAGAAGAAAGACTCCGAGTATTCGCCATGAGTGCGATCTTGTCCGCAGATGACCTGAACGATTTCATATCTCCAGGTGTCGCCTGTATTAAGCCCGTCGAAACGCTTCCGCAGAAATCGGCTCAGAGTTCCGAGGTTTGTACTTCGATCGATGTTACATGGGTATCAACCAATGGACGCTTTCTAATTTGCAATCCGGAACAGAACCCCTACGAGGTGACGACGGAGGACAAAGTGCAGCCGGAAAACGCCCCTCCAGCTCAGATATCGTTAACCGACTGCCTGGCATGCTCTGGCTGCGTTACCTCTGCTGAGGCGGTCTTAATCTCGCTCCAGTCGCATACGGAAGTCTTGAACGCCCTCGATACTTATCCCGAGGAAGATCTATCGCACCATACGGATGAAGGCACGTCATTGGAAAATGGAACGCACAATGGAGGCAAGAAGATATTTGTCGCTAGTGTTAGCCCGCAGGTCCGATCCGGTCTCGCCGCCACCTACGGGATTTCTGAACGGGAAGCCTCTTTCATGATCGATCAGTTTCTGAGAGGTCCTCAAGGGCTGCGAGCCGGTGGAAAGCATGGCAGTGGTTTTACCTGGGTGGTGGACACTAACGCGATTCGCGAGGCTGTGCTGGTGCTTTCGGCGGATGAGGTTGCAGAGTCGTTGAACACCTCGGAACTGGGAGCAGGCGATTCCCCCAAACGCCCTATCTTGTCATCCGCGTGCCCCGGCTGGATATGTTATGCTGAAAAGACGCACCCTTTTATTCTTCCCCATCTTTCACGCTTGAAGTCACCTCAGGCGTTGACGGGTACTTTCCTGAAAACTGTCCTTAGCAAGGCATATGGCGTTTCGCCATCTCAGATATGGCACTTAGCCATAATGCCATGCTTTGACAAGAAGCTCGAAGCCAGTCGTGCGGAGCTCACGGACGCCTCATGGAGAGGATTCGATGACCCTATGCAGCATATACCTGTTCGTGACGTCGACTGTGTCATCACTACCCGTGAGCTTCTGTCATTGGCTTCATCAAGAGGCATTGTCCTTTCGAAATTACCATTGAAGGCACCGCCGTCGAATTTCACCCCCAGTTTTCCCGAAAAAACCTTGAACTCATTCCTTTTCTCGGGTAATTTCCAGTCCCGACAGACGCTTGCATCAGGAACATCCGGCGGCTATCTCTACTATGTCCTTTTGAGCTTTCAGTCACGACACCCGAACAGCGAGATAGTCATTCAACGTGGACGCAATGCGGATGTTGTTGAATATCAAGTTGTATCCCCAACAGGTGAAGTCTTACTCAAGGCTGCTCGGTACTACGGTTTCAGGAACATCCAGAACCTGGTCCGGAAGCTAAAGCCTGCACGGATATCAAGACTTCCGGGTGGTCGGAATGGACCTGCTGCCTCTGGAGCCAGCCGAAGACTTCCAGCAGCACGAGCTGGCGGTTCGTCAACCGGATCAGCAAACGACTACGCCTATGTTGAGGTCATGGCCTGCCCAGGTGGTTGCACAAATGGTGGCGGACAGATTCGCATTGAAGATGCTAAACAGATCACAGCAGATCCATCCACGGATACTGTTTTAGATGGTGCTTCTGGTGAAACAAACAAAGCATCACCACACGAGCAACGGGCCTGGCTTGCCCGTATCGATGAGGCATATTATTCCGCTGAGTCTGATACAGACAATCCCCCGGGAAAGACACTGCCGATTCAAGATAAAGAGGCTCAAGTTCGCCAGAGCCTGCAATACTGGGCTAATTATCTAGACATTCCTCTCCCAAAGCTTGTCTATACTACCTATCGCGAGGTAGAAAGCGACGTTGGCAAGCCAAAGGACGTGGGTGCTGATACTGCTCGAGTCGTTGAGCTTGCCGGAAAGATCGGCGGCGGTTGGTAATGCCATCTATGTTTATGGTATTGATGAGGTTTTCACCTTTCTCTGCATTTCTTTTAATGATACCAATTTTCTATCCTGCTGGAATCTACTATTTGCATACTAGCCAGGCAAGGTCATGGAGTTCTGTCGAATTCGGATGTTATTCTTTGCTCTTTGATGTTTAGATGTGACAAGACACAGGCTAGCTATAGAAATTTATATAATATATATAAGAGGCTAGACTTAAAATTCTGTATAGTGACATCTGATGATCAATGTAAAAGAATTGGTTTACTGATATGTAGCGCACTATACCAAATCAGGCTAGACTGTAGCTGGTTAGCTGGGGTCATTCAGATGCTTATCTAACGTCTCAACGTCGAAAAAAGATCTAACGAATCATCGCAGATCACAACACCTTCTTCCTTCTTGAAAACGCATCCTTTTGTTCATCGGTTTCATCGAGTCCCTAGATTCTCTAGCCAAATCATCCAATCATGTCTCGAGAAGCTTACCAAGTACCCAACCTCGGCGCCCAGAACGCTTTCGGCGACGGCATGGGCGCTGGCTCGATGGAAAGCCCTGCCGTGTCATACCTTTGTGGCGAGTGCAATTCTCGCGTGTCGCTGAAGCGAGGAGACCAGATCCGATGCAAGGAGTGTGGGCATCGTGTTCTGTACAAGGAACGTACGAAGAGGTGAGTCTTCTGTTCATATATTAGAAAAAATAAAAGAAAGGTACTGATGAGATTCCTTTCCTTAGAATGGTCCAGTTCGAAGCCCGATAAATACAACATGAAATATGATATGGAGAGACATGTTTCATATCTAAAGGCTTGATGTGGTTGCGTTTGCTGCTTATCACTCATCGACATTTAGATATCTTTACACTTAGCGAGAATTCTTATGGTTGTGATGACGTTTCAATAAACAATGGCGCTTTGGGAGTCTATTCAGGATTTCGAAAGAGCAAGGTTAAAATGGTTGAGGAGAGAATTTGCAGAGAGTCTACAGGATTTTTTTTTCAAAGGATTATGTATAAAATCTACTTTATACCTAAATTTTTGATAGCGCCTTTTCAGGGCCTAATAGATTATTTGGAAAAATCTAGATATCATCTAAATGTCGTCTATTATATAATTTCTTCCTTTTTATCATTGGTATCATTCTTTGTTCATGACCAACATTTTGCCCAAATCCTGACTCTGGTAGAGAAAGTCGACCGAAATGTGGAATTTGATGTAATAAAACGAGGTTTTCTCCCCTGTACGTTCAGGATGTTGCTTCCTGTATAGTTTTGACCCCACTAAAATTGGTTGGTCACCTCAATGAACTTCTCGAAATTCTTGAGCGCTTCCCCGCTTTCAATGGCCCAGCGGGCGCGGCGAAGGCCTTCCTTCCAGCGTCTACCACCAGGGCCACGCTCAGTGACGACCTTTCCGTCATCCCCTGGACCCATATTGCTTGTGTCTGCCTCACAGACTCCAGAGGTGACGAACAAGGCGGCCACGTTCATGAGAACAAAGTGGAGGATCGGGTCATCACGTGGAAGCTCATTGCGGAGGATGCTCATGAGTTTCGCGGCGTTGTCCTTGGGGTACTTCCTTCCATAGACCTCACTGAGCGGGTGGGTTGGAAGACCGAAATCCGACGGCTTAATCTGGAACATCTGCATCTTGACAAGAGCCTTGGGGTTGGACTCCTCGTCACTGGAGCAGTCATCATTGTAGGAGGGGTTGTCATATTCCGATAGCTCCCAGCAATTAGTCGGCCCGGCACAGCTGATCTCATCCATGTCTTCTTCTCCGCAAACCACAAGTGCTTTCTTAGCCCCAGTTTGGCGCAGGGCCTCAACGAAAACGGGGCCGAGGCTTTGGTAAGCCACACCAACGACACGAGCCTCCAGGGCCCAGTTGACGGGATTAGCGAGCGGACCCATGAGGTTAAAGATCGTGCGCAGACCGAGAGCACGACGGACAGTGCCAGCATATTTCATGCCTGGGTGAAAGTTGGGAGCGAAGAGAAAGGCATAGTTGGTTTTTTCGTACACCCGAACCAGGTTCTCCGCATAAATGTCCGAGATCTTAGGAGAAACTGGTTCAATTGCATTCAAGACGTCTGCAGAGCCCGATAAGGAGGTCTGGGCACGGTTTCCATGCTTGGCAATCAAGAGTAGTGACGATGCGATGATCGAAGAGGTTGTAGAAATGTTGAAAGTCGAATGCGAATCTCCGCCCGTGCCAACAATGTCGCACTAGAAGAAGAGGAAGATTTAATTAGCCGACTCTTAAGACGTAGATAGCCCATTGCGTGAGGTGCCCACCACTCCACCATAGTAGTTTCCTTCCTTTCTCCCCCGAGTCTCAATGACCTGGCTCAATGAGGCCTTGTCGACAGAGGTTGCGGCATCTCTCATACGTTGTGAACATTTCGCAATGACTTCTGCGTCCCGATCACGTCCCGTGGAATGAAGTAGTGTGAGGAGAGCTGCTGCCTGAATGTCGGACAGCCGATTCTCAAATATCAGGGCAAAGGCCGAGGCAATCTCCCCTGCGCTCACTTCGACTTGAGCTGTCGCGGGGTATGCAAGCCTCTGAAGGAGGGGCGTGATGGAAACCGATTCCGGCTTCTGTTGATCAGCGGAAGTCGACATCTTGGTAGATCGGTATTGGACTCAATGGCAGGTCCTGCAAAATACTTGTCAGACCCCTGAGTTCCCGTCCGATCGAGAGTCGAAGACTATAAGTGAGTCAGAGGGGTATGTTTTCCTGCGTCCCTGGCCGGCAGCACCGACGGCAGAACGTTTACCGCCCCAGAAACCGACCATGCCGTTTTTAGAAAACTCGAAATCTCCCAAATTTCCGCAGCGCCTCGGACGTTATTGGGAAGTTGTATTCCACGAATTGTTTGGCTAAACTTGACTCGGAGGTCGAGCTAGCTGAATATCTACCGAGCGTTTGTTTTGAACTTCTACACACATATTTATCTCACCACAATGCCGCCGAGATTACGGGTTCCCAGCGAACGGGTGTCACAGTTGTTCCTACGCCCCAGAGTCCTCTGTCAGTATGAGGCTTCTACCATCTGCAGGAGGAGCGTGAGCGCGGCAGCAGCATCTGCTGTGGCGCCGGCCGCATCAATAGAGCTGGCGAAGGCCCCAAATGCATCGATTTCGAAGTACCCGCAGTCCCAACCTCACTCCTACCGTCGCCCTGAAAACCGCAGGTCCCAGCTCCTCAGACAATACGCTTCTTTGATCCGGACCTCGCCGCTTATGGTTATGTTTCAACACAACAACCTCAAGGCTGTGGAATGGCTGGCTATCCGACGGGAGCTGAATAAGGCGCTGCAAAAAGTCGATGAGCAGATGGCCGCCGAGGGCCGTAACGTTCCTCCGATTGCTTCCAACATCAAGCTTCAAATCATCCGGACGAGCATTTTTGACGTTGCTCTGCGTGTTGTGGAGTACTTCAAGCCGATAAAGACACCCGGTAGCGAGCACTGGAGCGATGGGACATCGACACCACACGATCTTTCCCACGAGGTCCACGATGCCGTGTTCCCCATGAAAGGCAAGCACGAGCTTTCGGCAATCTTGCTCGGTCCCGTTGCGGTGCTTTCGATTCCTGTGGTCTCCCCCGAATATATGAAGGCCGCGCTGTCAGTGCTAGTGCCCAAGGATCTCGGCTTGACCCCCCCGTCGCGCAAGGCAAACCCTACCTGGCACGAGCCTACGGTGCAGAACGGTCTGCAGAAACTGACTTTGCTCGCGGCGCGGGTTGACGGGAAGCTGTTGGACACCGACGAGACCGTTTGGGTCAGCAAGATCGAAGGCGGTATGGACGGTTTGCGCGCTCAGCTTGTTCGGTCGCTGGAAAGCGTCGGGGCCAGTGTCACGAGTGCGCTGGAGGGTGCTGGAAAGAGTCTCTATCTTACACTTGAAAGCAGGCGGAGCGTTCTCGAAGAGGAGCAGAAGGGTCCGGCCGATGAAAAGAGCGAACCCTGAATTTGAATTTGTTGTACTACATATGTATTATAATCGTTTTATATTCAATCTAGCATGTCCAATTTTACATACCTTTATCATAATAAGTCATATTGACAAACATGAATCATGTATTATCTCTAATTAATTATTACCGAAATCCTTTATTTAAGTGTCGACTAATCTACCCCCTCGATCTCAGCTTCGCATTCATGCCAACAATACATCTCACGAGATCCCAATCACCATTCCGGCCAACCCAGTCCGTGACCAGAATGCCCGTGGACCAGTCGCCGTCTTCCTTTTCGCTGTGCTTGCGGCACAGATAGTCCACGGTGGCCGGGTTAAGCTTTGCAGCAATTTCCTCGGGCCAGGTGCTGACGTTCCAGAAGTTGCTTGCGCTGAGGAAGTTGATGAAGAACGGGTGGTGCTGGTGACCGCTGCCTGCAGTCAAGTGAAGGTGTTGCTGCTTCTGCAAGTTGTACGGATACCTAGTGATGCCGGAGCGGCCAAGGTGTTCACAAACATATTCGATCTTCTTGGTGATGATCTCCGTCTTCAGCACCTCATAGAAGTCCTGGATACAAATCTGCCCGCTGGGACAGGTGGCGTGCGGGGTGTTGTCTGCCCAGCTGCTCGCGTCGATGCCCCAACCGAGACCATCGTGCTCGTCGTGCAGGCTCTCCTCAAGGTCGAAGCGGCGTACGAGGACGATCTGGCCTCGGACTTCGCCCAAGGTCGGGACTCTGGGGGCGGTGTACCAGCGACTGCCGGGCCCGGCGTAGTGATCATATAAAATGCGGCTAAGCTGTTGATCGGTGTGCTTTCCGGGTCCTTCGCGTTTCACCGAAACGATCAACGTCTCGGACGGGTTGAGCTCGAGAAACTCGTTGACCTCGTACATCAGATCCCGGAAGTACTTGCTTCCTGTGAGAGAGATGGGAAAAACGCTGTGCACCAGAATTAGCTCCTCTCTTGCCGGGTCATCTGGGCATTGTGGCTGCACGCGGATGTCGAAGAAGCGCACGCCGTTCTCCAGTTGTTCGCGGGGACTGACGGCCTGGCAGCGCACGGAGGGGGGCGCGACATGGCACGTCGGCGAGTTGTGGGTGCCTGGGATCGACAGCGAGGATAGCAAGGTCTCGTCCCGGAGCTCTTGCATCCACGCGTTCATCTTCGCCGACGAGTAGACCGCCAGATGCGACTCGGGCGTGATGTAGATCCCCGTGAACTCGAAGCGTGGCTGGTCGCATAGCGCCTTCATCGTCGCCGACTCAGAGGTTGGCACGGGCGTCTGGATCTGGTGTCGCTCTCCTTCTGCCTCAATTACTAACCGCAGTCGCTCCCTTTCGTCCTGCACAACCACCCGCAGCTCTGTCTGGACCGTCTGGAAGGGCTCGACTCGCACATCGACCTCCTGAGTAATGAACGGCTGCGCGTCAGGCTCGATAACGGCTACCGGCTCGCTTGCCCGCGTGATAGCTCTGGTGAAATTGCGAGCCATTGTATAGAAGCCATTGTGCTGGTGCCCGTAGGGGAAGAACCGGTCGATCTGCTTTAACGCAATTGGCGTCGGGGTGAGATTGCGGATCGTCAAGAACTCGGCAACCATTGCTTGGCCGCTTCTTCTAAGTCGTCGACGTGTCAAGTGTTTAATTATTCTCGTGGCGAGGAAGGGAGCGAAGGGGAGACGAGAGAGGATGGCGCCGGATTTTTGAGAGTCGATAGAACGTGCATATCATCTTGGCGTGCGTATTGAGAGGAACAAGAAATCAACAGTTTCCAGGCCTATATAACGATTTTATCTGTGAGATTCCCCAGGTTTCTGTTGGCAAATCCTGACTAAATCATATGTTAAATGATATCAGTAGATCAAAGTGATCACCTTTAGTACTAGATATCTAGCACTTTCAGATATTATCTAGCCAGTACCTTAGTAGATACTAGATAGCTTGAGAGGAGGAAGTAGATACTAATAACTCCACTAAGAGAACTAGTGAATATGTCGTGTATGGAGTAGGCCACCATTGAAATCACTTCAACCCACTGGAATTAAAGATATAATAATTATTCAAAACTGATCTTGAGAACTGCCAAACGTCATCCATGAAAATGCGGAGGTGGATGGACGCGGGGTTACAGCGGCTATCGTCGGCCATCAGCCCAGGGCCCTTGTTGATTGATACTGGCAACTCTTAATAGAGGCCTTTCCGCGGGCATTCTTTTAATTTCTCATTCTATCCATGGTCTAAGCTGTCCCCCGTCGCTCAAGATGAGTCTATTACGCAGCAGTGGAAGCGTTTTGTGGGCTCTGCGGCCGCAAAGACCGCAGAGTGCCCGGGCAATTGTACCTCCTCTCGTCTCCCTGGCTCGAAAGAACTTCCACGCTGCTGCGTCGCTCTTTGCCGTCCGGTCTCAAGTGTTGAAGGATGTGGGAGAGGGTGAGTTTTGTGTCCTTGGTTTTTTAAATGTCTTCTAAGGGATCGTCTTCTAACTGCGTCCTCGTTGCTAGGGATCACCGAGGTCCAGATCATTCAATGGTACGTCGAGGAGGGCGCCCATGTCGAGGAATGGAAGCCGCTTTGCCAGTATCAGTCAGATAAGGCGGTAGATGATGTGAGTCAGGAGCTTCTGCTAATATGGCTGTGTAATGATGATAGTGAATGGCTGACGTGAAGTAGATCACATCACGGTACGAGGGTATCATCAAGAAATTACACTTTCAGGCCGATGACACGGTCCCGACAGGAAAGGTATTGATTGCTTCGTCTATAAAATCGATTCTAAAGGTTAACTTACTGCCATAGGCCCTCTGTGATATCGAGGTCGAGGAGGGAAAGTATCCTGACGATCACTCGCATCCTGCGCTGGCACCGGAGGTCACACTGAGCATGAGTAGCGTTGATACGATATCACCACCACCACCTCCACCACCATCAACACCCATAGAAGAGATATCACCTACCCCAACGCCGGTAGAGCCTGTTGTAGAGGCCCCGCGATCACGATACGCGTCGCTGGCCACGCCTGCCGTTCGAGGGCTGCTCAGGAGCCTCAACGTCAACATCCTGGATGTCAAGGGGACCGGCAAGGATGGCCGCGTGCTCAAGGAGGATGTGCACAACTTCGTATCGAAGCGAAATGCAACAGCAGAAGCTGCAATAGCAGAGCCAGCAGCGTCTCCCTCCCTAGATCAACATGCTAGGGTGGCTATAACACTTAGTACAGAACAGTCAGAAACTCCCACCAACCTGACGCCCATCCAGTCGCAGATGTTCAAGACGATGACCAAGTCGTTGAACATCCCGCACTTTCTCTTCGCAGACGAAGTCCGGGTCGATACCATTTCCACCATCCGGAAAAAACTGGCCGAGAATACTCGGGACCCGCGCAAAATCACCCTCCTGCCCTTTGTCATCAAGGCTGTGTCGCTCGCTCTGGAGGAATACCCCTTGCTGAATGCGCGTGTGGACACATCGACGGATCCGACGAAACCAAAGATTATCATGCGGTCCAAGCACAACATCGGCATCGCAATGGACACCCCTCAGGGTCTGGTGGTGCCCAACATCAAAGACGTCGCCGGCCGGTCCATCCTGGAGATTGCAGCTGAGGTGGTGCGACTCAGTTCGCTCGGTAAACAGGGCAAACTCATGCCCGCCGACCTCAGCGGCGGAACTATCACCGTCTCCAACATCGGGAACATTGGGGGCACATATGTCTCGCCGGTGCTAGTCCCCACAGAGGTCGCCATACTGGGCATCGGGAAAACCAAGGCGACGCCCGTATTCGACGCCGCAGGAGAGGTTGCCCGCGCGGAAGTCGCCAATTTCAGCTGGAGCGCAGATCACCGCGTGGTCGACGGGGCGACGATGGCGCGGATGGCGACGAGGATCCAGGAGTTGATTGAATCGCCAGAGTTGATGCTCTTGAATCTTAGATAGATGGGTTCATTTTTCACATAGATTCTCCAAAAAACAAACCAAATAAAAATAAAAAAAACCATTGCACCTAATTTTTTCTCAACAGTCATAATCGTTTCATTTTCTTTCTGACAAGGTATCTTATTATAATATAGCAAGATAGACGAGATCCAAACCTGTAACTCCATATGTAGCGACGCTGTATGATAACCCCCGAGGGAAAAAAAAGCAATGCAAAAATGTCAAAAGATCTGACATGGAAAAGGAAATATCGCAAACTCTATACACGGACGCCCTGTTCGGCCAATTTGGCCGCGACAAGTTCCGAGACCTTCTTCTGGACGGTGTCAGGCGGTCCATCGACCAGAACGGTGAGAGCGTCCCACTCGCCCTGCGGCTCCTCAAGGGCCTGCAGCTGCGAGTGCACCATGCCGCTCTTCATGTAGTGTGCCTTGCGGTTCGCGACGCGCTTGAGGAGCACGCTCTCGTCGACCTTGAGGTAGATGAAGTGGATCTGGACGTTGGGGGCGCCGTAGGCGGCGATGCGCATGACGTCGCGGTATTTCTGCTTCAGGGCGGAGCAGGCGACAACCACGCCCGAGGGAGATTGGTAACCGTTTGCCTCGGAGGGAGAGAGCAGGTCAATCGCCGCTTTGCGCAGCGAAATGAGCCAGTCCCAGCGGTCTTCGTCGGTGAGAGGGATCCCGTTGGCCATCTTGTCCTTGTTCGACTGCGGGTGAAACTAGAAAAACCGGCCAGGTCAGTCTCTTTTTTCAATCTATTTTTTCTCTTCACAGATATAATCCTACGTCATCTCCCTCAATGAAGGGAACGTTCAATTCCTCCTTCAGCCGGAATCCAACGGTACTCTTTCCACACCCTGCAGGGCCTGTGATAATCCAGATATGCTGGGTGGTGTTAGGGGATTGGTGCGCCGCAGAGCCGTTAAGCGAAGAGAGACCCGCGTTCATGCCGCGCACATCGAGCGAAGGTTGCTGGCCGGTGGACAACATGGTGGGAAGATTAGGATGATGATCTAGATGACTTTGGATGAGTCAAACACCAGACAGTAAGCCCAAGAACTTCTGGTTGTCAGTTAGAAGACTCAATTCTAGAGGCAAAAAATAATATATGTATAGCAATAGGGTGCAATGGAAGAGAGCTCAAGCGTTCAGGATTCAGGGCGGAAACGTGAAGCCGAGCAGAGCACAGAGTCGATTTCAAGAGTATATATACTCCTTCCTACTAACGCAGGGAGAAAAAGCAACAGGGAGACAGGCGGGTCTCCCCAACGAGCGCCGAACAGCCTGGAAGGCCGACGGTCCCAAACAACGGGATTCTCGCTAGCGAAGGCGTTGTTTGCGGTGCCAGAAAAGGTTTCTTTGAGTCAAGTCACCATTAACCGGCCAGGAACGAATGACCGAGTGGAGAGCGGTAATAAATCCTCGTTCCCCGTACATTAATTCCATACCGGCGGTCCGGTTGTTAGCGGCCGATCTTATCTTAAAATTGGGCCGAGTCGATTATGTAGTATGTAGTCATACCAAAGTCACCCCAGAAGTGTATTATATATAAATATATATTTGAATATACTACAAATATATATATATATATATTATATATATAAATTACACCCCTTATTTTTCCTAGCTAGGTAGGTAGAAAGTTTCGAAAATTCAGATCCATTACGCACCCTTACGTCGGCGAGATAGTCATACGCTGCCTTCAGCATGATGTCACCAGGGGAAAGCGTGCCGTGGCCTCGGGACGGTAGGCAAAATACGAAAGTACGTTACTCCCGTTACCGACTCTGTATCACATACGAAATCTTTGTATTTTACAGTCCGGAACAATTAGCCCCCACACTAGGCAGATGCCGACACGTTTAAGGGAAAACTCACCGCCTCATAGCAAACTTCGGAGTGTCACTTGACCTGTCAGAAGAAATCGGCCTGATTTCTACCCAAATGCCTTAAAGACTACTCCGTATTGTACACAGTATTATGTACAGAGTACAGAGTTGTACAGTTTAGGGTATAATTGCTTATTTCCCACCTGCTGACGCGCATGAAATCTCAAGTGTCAATAGCCGCTTATGGAGCGATAGATAATCCGGGGAAGTGACAGCTCATACGAACATGCAGAATCAGGTTTCTACATCTTGGGTCATTCTACTCTATACCTCTCTATACTAAATTTTACGTTTGGTTATGCAGTCTTCTAATGACTCGGTAACAGTTGTCTACTAGTTAGTATCAATCCCTCTCCGAGACAGACAGACAGGATATTGCTTACGAGTATCTAGGTTACCTTTGTAGGAACCTTCCCCTCTCTGTGGCCCGAAACAAAAGCAACATGGATGCAGGTGACGAATCAATATACTGTGCATAGCCTTGTTGTAATCTAGCGTTCTACTTGCCAATCGGACGATCCGGAGGGAATAGTATATAGTACTGGTCCAAAATGGTGTGAAAACTTGGCCAAGTAACCATTCCAACGCAGTAGAAACACCATCACCGTGACATCTCCACTTACTAGGTGGCTGAATGAAACCAATCCACCGAATAACAACCAGATAGCCATCTGCGTCTTTCTTGACCCCTGTGCTAAGCAGACCATACGGCCGTGGAAGGGTCAAACCCCGTCAGAGCCCATTGCGAATCGGTACAAAACACGTACCACAGACTCTACGGCGCTTTGCAAAGGACCTAGTTAGTCTAGTTGGAGGCTCTCCCTCTTATCACTATACTACATACTACATAGAAGCTCGAAGGAGACCTCAGGCCAAAGTCCGGTTTTGATCAGTCATATATTATGTAATCATTCGATGCGGCGGGATCGCCGGGCAACCTCTCAGGCGATAACGGGCGATTCTGGACCCAAACAGAGTGCGGCGCAACCATGCCAATGGCTTGCTAGAGTACAGAAATAAAACAGATCTATCGAGCGAAATCTCTATCGATCAGAATGACATCCCTGTTTTTCTCAACCCCTGTCGACATCGACGTCGTGCTCGAGGATACCGATGAGCGCCAGACAGTCGACGTCAAGCTCGACAAGGACCACAAAGAGCGAGTCCCTCTCTACATGGATGGCGAGTCGGTCAAGGGCGCAGTGACTGTCAGACCCAAGGATGGAAAACGATTAGAGCACACAGGCATCAAAGTTCAATTTATTGGCACGATTGGTATGTGTGGCATCTCCCGGGGGATGATTGTGGGTGTTGTTGGCATAGGTGGCAGGATAAAATGCAAGGAAAAAGCCATACTGATGATATATATTTCTTCTTTCTACCAGAGATGTTCTACGACCGTGGCAGCCATTACGAATTTCTTTCGCTCGTCCAGGAACTCGCAGCGCCCGGCGAACTGCAGCATCCTCAGACGTTTCCCTTCAACTTCAAGAACGTCGAGAAGCAATATGAATCATACAACGGCATCAACGTCAAGCTCCGGTACTTTGTGCGAGTGACTGTCTCACGGCGCATGGCCGATGTGATCCGTGAGAAGGACCTCTGGGTCTACTCATACCGCATGCCACCGGAGACGAACAGCCCTATAAAGATGGACGTCGGTATCGAGGACTGCCTCCACATCGAATTCGAATACTCCAAATCTAAATACCATCTCAAAGATGTCATCGTGGGGCGCATCTATTTCCTGCTCGTACGGTTGAAGATCAAACACATGGAGCTCTCCATCATCAGACGGGAAACTACCGGCACACCCCCGAACCAGTATAACGAAAGTGAGACGTTGGTGCGCTTCGAGGTATGTTTCATCCATCTTCAGATGCTTTGAAACCACTCCAAGATATGCCTGGTTCACTGCTAATGTTGTTCTGATGCAGATCATGGACGGCTCTCCATCACGAGGTGAGTTCCAATTCCAGCCTAGGCCAGGAAGCAGAGCCGCTTAAAACAGCCGCCGAAACTCTCTGCAAATGGCTTTTTGCTGATGAAGATCAGGTGAAACGATTCCAATTCGTCTGTTCCTCGGTGGGTTCGATCTCACTCCCACGTTCCGAGACGTCAATAAGAAGTACTCCACGCGGTATTACCTTAGCCTGGTCCTGATCGATGAAGGTAAGTTTTCTATACCCAGTTTTGTTTGTTTCAGTTTTCGTATGGTCGAACGTGTTGTGTTTGTTTGTTACATGCATTCGACTCGGCCCTCTGCAAAACTGCCTAACCGGGTCAATAGCCGACGGCTTTTGACCTGGTGTTAAGGGGGTGGCCTGCTGTACCCCCACGCTAGTCCGCTCCAGGCATCGTCATCGTGTGGCGGCCCCACATTCCCGATTTCTTTCTCTTGTTACAAGCCCCGCAGCCCCATTACATACCTGACATACATACATGCATTGCATACGGTTCCAGGGAAAAAAAAAAAAACTGACTTGTGGTACCTATAATCTAGACGCCCGTCGTTACTTCAAACAATCCGAAATCGTCTTGTACCGCCAGGCCCCCGAAATCGCACCAACACCGCAAGTCGCGCAGCAGCAGCAGATTCAACAGCAACAACTTCTTGAACAGCAGCAGCAAGCGCAGCATCTGCCCGGTGCCGCCTCCGTTGGTCCTGGCCGCGGCGCCGCATATCATCAAGGCGTGGCCGCCTCTGTGGCATAGGCCAAGTACATGTACAGAAACTTGGAGTAATGATAATGCATCATCATATTCTCACCCGTTCTCCTTCTCCCACCTTCATGCCTTTGCTAGAAGTCGTCCTTCTATACCCTTCGTTTTCCCTTCTTGTCCATATCCAGGGAATAAAAAATCATGTTCAATTTCATTCGCTTGGACTTGAACAGGAACCAAAGCAACATGGTAAATACTAAGTAGTAAGCGGCGCATCACTGCTTGTAGTCATCTGATATCAATTCTCGGAGTAGAGAATACGTTTGCAAGTTCTAGGTACATAGAAATTACTCGTTCATGATAGGTATGTATGGCATGCAAATCACATCCAATAGTAACGCCTGATGTATATATATATTCATGATTTAAAAGCAAGCTATCGATTGACAAGAACCAGCTCGTCAATGTTCACCTCGCGAATCTCAGACATGAGATCTACCCATTTCAAGGAGTAGTTTCCCTAGCGCCTGGAGAACCTGACCGTCGTCCTTCTCTCTCCCGGCCACTTGCACTGCTTTCACGACAAGGGGATACATCCACTCGATATGCTTAATTTGGTCGTCTTCGTTTCCGGCGAATTTGAACGTGGATACGGAGCTTGGCAGCTCCGGAACAGCAGCAGGATCGGTCCGTAGCTCCACCATCCTCTGAAGTAGATGTAGAAGCGCCTTGCGAGAAGGTGTCGGTTGAGGCATTAGGCCGCGGAGCGGCTGGTCGGCGATGTAGGATCTCAAAGACACGGCGCACCGGAGGATCAGGTATGGTGAAATTGACCGTGCTATGGACGTATAAGCACAAGAAGAGCTCTCTTTGCTTTCTGCCGTTCGCTTCGGTGACTTGGGGTGGGACTCATGAGAAATAGACGCAAGTTCGCAGAATGTGTCTATGAGAAGATATGCCATTCTTGAGCGTTGGGTCGGTGCTGGGTCGAAAGTTCGTCCTGATCTCACATCGTACAGACCATGCAGGGGATTCTGCTCGATTTGCCCGGTGGGAAGATCGCCTCGTAATGGAGCGTAAAGAAAGGACTGATATAGGAGGGCGCAAGCAAAATCCCGGCGGATACCATCTGGGATCATGGAAGCTCCTAGAGATGGGATGATGACTGTCTTTAATTTCGTGAATGCATCAATATCAAAGGATTCATCCGCAAGAATTTTAGAGAAAGGTAGATTTCGAGCTTCATATCCTTTGGCAGATACGATTCCTCGAGCTATATCCACCACACATTTCCAGAAGCGTGTTATCTCGGACTGATTCGATTCAGAGTAATGCGTTTCCACATATGGGACCACAACTTTCAGGATATTCAACGACGCGGTAGTAGATGTCTTCCAAATCTGAGGTTCGCGGTCCTTGCCTTGCCACTCGTATTTTTCTTTAACCGGGCTGGCGAGATGCTCTAGAGCAGTCGTTACAGAGCCGTTGGTGAAGATATCTTTTTTAATCCCAAAGTCTTGGATGTACCAATTGAGGAGATCAATCGCATCCTTAGAGAATGCGACAAAAGTGGGTCTTCTGCTATCTGTATTAGGGGACCATCTAGATAGTGCAGAGTCCACGAATTCTGCAAGACAGAGGATTATCTCTGACTGTGAACTATCTTTGTCTTGACAGAGAGTCTTGATACAGCTGATGACCAATGCCTGTAGTTTCGACGAGCGATCCGTGTCTGGGGAGTATCGCGGAGAGACAGAATTCCAAACCAGGAGCTGCAGATGCTCAAGGATCTGGCTGACATCATGTTTAGTGATCTCATCTTTATATAGACGATATATTTGTCCGAAAGCTGTCAGATATGCTAGAGCTGCATCCTGGTTCGAGATATCAATATTCAATAAGTCTTCAGTGCGCGAAGGATGACCGGCCAACCACAGCGACCAGGTCAGGCTCAAAGCTCGTTTGCTGAAGGTTCCTTGCACTTGAAGAAGAATATCCGATAAGCTAGAGAATGCTGCCTCGCAAAGTTTCAAGCTACCCAATTTGTTCAGATCTCGAAGGTAGCGCAAAAGCCGCTCCCATGACTCGTCAAATTCCTCGTCCTGGACAATGGGCTCGAAGAAGTTGGTTATCAGATCAGATAACCCTTTAATAGTGACGACAGTCGTGTCAATCCATGCCTTGAAGCTGCCAGACTCGTCGGCTTCTTGGTCTGAAGTACCTTCCAGGAGCTTGGCCTCTATTTCCCCGACCATGCGAAAGAGAACTCTGTTCAAACATAAGCGCCAGGCTTTGGGAGACAATTGCTGGCCATATGCATCGAAAATCCTCAAAAGAGTACGGACAGCACTATTTCTGATTTCTGGTCTCTCATCAGTGGTAATGTCAACGATCCTGAGCAGCATCAACAGCCATAAAGAATTCCTGGAAACGGAGGCATCGCTGTCACGAGAAAGATCGGCGAGCGTTTTCTCGCTGACCAAAGTATCAACGTTATCTTCTATGGAGAAACGTTCTATTTGCCCCTGTAAGAAGTCTGACACATTCCAGAAAAAAGAGGTTGTAGTGAGAGAAATATTAAAGTCTTGCTGCTGTGAGGCGAAACTCGAGAATGAGTCGACTAGACTCAACAGACAGGACGGCGGAAGTAAAGCAAGAAAATCGGAAGCAACCAACTGCAGAGACTGGTACGCAGCACGCATAAGACGCGGTGAGACTGAGAACTGTGTTGCTGACATTTTGCGCTGTTGATTACTTTCCGTATTGGCCGGTTTGCCGAAAACTGTTGAGATAAGGTGAAAAACAAGATGCCATTCTTCGTCGAAAGACTCCGCATATTGCTCTAGAATATTCTTTAGAACTTCCAGGCATTGTTCGTGGATTTCCCCAAGAGCGATTGATTGGGGCCCGGATAGATCAAGCTCCGAATCGTATATTGATTCAATCTGTGCTTTCAATGTTTCCAGGTTCCTCCTCTGCACTCCATTGCCCACAGATATAGTATTACTCTTTGGTGATCCCATGGTTCGAAATACAAGGTCAGTGAGCACCCCGTTGGCTTTGAGGCAGAGATTGAGCGACACATTTTTGTTCTTTGTAGTGGATATAAGCCTCTGAGCCAAAATATCCCACGCTTTCCGATCACCTTCATCTGTTGATGAGAGTCGTTCCAGATTTGCTCTGGCTATCTCACTTGTTCTGTCCAAAACAAATTTCAATTCTTCATCAAGCATCCTTGTTCTGCCCATTGTGAGAGACACACGGTGATAATTCTGATGAAGTTTGCCTAGCCGTTTTGCAGATTGCGGTGATCCCGGTATCCCAGATATATCATCCGTTGTGTCATCTTCGGCAGTATCTTGGGTGCTGTCAGCAAGGTTTAAGAGGGCCACCAAGATATTCTGGAACGGTTCACTAGCATATTCACTGGTACTCTGGAACAGCTTTAAGGAAGCTGACTGCACAGCAATGATCTCGGTACCGAGGTTCACTTTGAGAACGTCAACGACTGAAGTAGTTCCAGCATCACCAACATTAGTTGTCCCAGTGCTAGCCTTGGACGCGATCAAAGACGAGGCCCCAATGACCAAATCTGTATCTCGAAGAGCCGCGAGAATAATAGACCAGGCCGACTGATCTAGAGTGGGGCCCAAAGCAATACCAAGGTTCAATAGAGCACGCAGGCATAGAAGATTCCTCGTGTTCAATGACCCAGATGAACTTTCCGGGGACAAGGAAGAAGTGTCGATCGTGACCAACTTGGCTGATATTCTGCTGCCTTTCCGCTTTTCAGCGGATTCATTTGGTTGAGCCTCGGAAAGAGACGTTGATGATGGGGAGCTTGTGACTTTGACATTGGTTGTGTCTGTTGGGATAGCAGCTTTACCAAGGGTTGTTAAGAAGGCGTCTCTAGGAACAGAGAGCCTGAGGAGGCCTGCGACATGGGCTAACTTTTGAAAAGACCGAACAAGATTGTGGTAGAAATCGTCATCCAAAGATGCATACAAGAAGGTCGAACACGTCGCAAGGATAGCAGGCCAACATGTTTCAATGATCCCAGCACAAATTTTGATCGCCGGAAGTTGCGCATGGCCTTCCAGCTCGAGAGGATTGATTGGGATAGAAAATTTCCTCGAAGCTGAAGTTTCCGATCTACTTAAAGAATCGGTCCTCCGAAGTTCCCCGGGCCCAATAGGACTGTCGGGTTCTTGATCAGAAGTCGCGATGCGCGCCTTACGCTTCTGTTTCAGATCGGGGACCGTCAGTGGAAGAATGAACTTAGCCAGCCCTTCGGAGAAGGTGCTGATGCAGGTAATAATGATGCTGTAAACATAAGTATCTGGAGGCGAGGGCGCATCGGACTTATCAAGTAAATCGATGTAAGGAGTACGGACAGTACTCCACTGACTACTGATGCCTGATACATTAGTGTCAGAGGACACTGTGGTACCGATGACTCCAGCGACACCGCCAGCTTCGAGTGTGATCTGCTCCTCGGTCGCAGACCTCAAGTGCCGAGCACTTGAGGGCATAGTAGACTGATTACTGAGACCAATCAATGCAGGTTTCTCAGAAGCCAGACGAACGAAGGAAGCCATGTGATCCTTGAGAATATTTTTCCGTCCTTCATCCGCATCGTACAATGAGTAAATCAGCCGTACGAGTCCTGGTTCAGCATATAATCCGCGGAAGATCTCCATACAAAGTACCCGCCTCCAAGGTGCATTGCCATCCGGTTCAAGTGAGTGGGTTAGTAGCCCGAGGGCCATCTCACATTCTTCAACCAGCAACGACATGTGGCGCTTCAAAAGAACTAGAAGGACTCGAGCGATCCGCACAGTCTGAGAAAAGCCGTGACGCTCAGAAAAATACCTCACAGTCAAAGGCATAAGTCGAATCCTGAGTACCTGCGTAAGTTCTGGATGATGAGAAAAGAGCTGGTCACTGTTTATCAAGATGTTCTCAATCAGCTCCAGAACAAAGCTCGGCGCCAACGACTTGAGTCGCAGGAATTGCAGTTGTTCGCCTTCTACCAGGCGGCAGAGATCATCCAAGACCTTCAAGGTTGTCAGTTTCATCATAATCGCATCGGAGAAGATGAGACAAGATGAGCACTTACAAGTAGCGCATCGTACGCGAAGTTTCCTACTTTGACAGGTTGGCCGTCAATTGAGAGCATCGTTGTAGAGTCAGATGGGCTTTTCGTTTCTACAGGACAAGAATTAGCACAAATCCACATGTGGATATTCCTGTACTGACTATCTTCGGTTGAGACTCTCTCAAATATAGAAACCATCAGTTGCTGCAACGTTGCAGTTGCAGTGCTGGACACAGCTATCGTCTTGCTTCCTTGCAATGTTGCGCATATTTCTATAGTGGTTCCAAGCAATTCCCCCGTAAGCGTATTGGAATAATTTTGCAAGAGAGAAGGTAAAGACTGCAGGATTTTGAGTTGAACATCTAGGCCTAGGCTGAGTTAGTAATTTCCACGACAAGGCCTGAAATGGTAACCAACCCAGATGCACTGTCTCTCGCAGTCCGCCGAGAGCGTCCTTCAAACGGTCAGGTGGCAATGCTCCAGATGCCACAATCCGTTGCAGACAAACAACGCCAATGCCAGCGAGCTTCGCATGCCGGCTGTGACAAGCAAGAATAAACGGATCGGCAAATTTTGGTTTGCGAACAAGATCTTGATGCCTTGATTAGTACTGGTCTAGATAACAGTGATACTGTAGAAACATACCTGCTGTTATTTGTGCTTCAGAGGTAGACGGTAATGCTCTGAGGTCGCTGAGCGACTGTTCGGCAGCCTATATCTAGTCAGCTCTATAGAATTACTAATTTGTCTCTGGATGAAAAAAGAAGCCAGACATTTCGAAGATCAGTATTTTTCCTCTTCGACTCTTGAATCAGATTCAAGAGCTCTGACTGTAGGAGTTGGGAGGACATCGCAGATTATCTATGCCATCCACGTCGTGGCTGACGCTACTATACCTGCGGTTCTGGCGATCTCTCCCGCTGTAGTATCAACAAGGTCGGTAAAGCAGAACAAATTGCTCATAGGACGATCTGCTCCTCTGTTTCGAATAACCAGACAATTCTCGAACTTCAACAGTCAGCTGCAATCGAACTAGAAGTAAGATCCGTTGCAGCGATCGTGATTCTCGCCCAGGCGTTCCTCGTAGCCTGCAACGGTGAGCTTCTGGCGTGGCCTCTCCAGGCGCGCCAAGCAACCAGCTCCAAGCTTAATGCACGTGATGACGAACCGTGCATAACACGTGACAGCGCGCCAGCTGCTCTCGTGCCTTGATTCCTCAGGCTGCGAACCGGGCGGTGGTGGGATGAAAGTAGTCACAGAGAGCCAGCCCCTCTTCTCCTGCCCATATACCATTCCTCCCACTCTGGCGAACAACCCTCGTATTTCCCACGCTACAGGCTCTTCTATTGCTATCTTCATCGTTTTTCAAAATGGCGGCCAAAATGCCAAGAAACTTCAGACTTCTCGAGGAGCTCGAGAAGGGTGAGAAGGGCCAGGGAGCAGGTGAGTTGGGTGTCATGATTGTTTGTCGGATAGACGGAGTAGCTGAAGTATTCTTTCTTGTCAAAATTTTTAGAGGCATGCTCGTATGGTCTCGCCGACGGAGAGGATATGATGATGAGCAACTGGAACGGAACCATCCTTGGCCCCCCTCATGTACGTGTTATTCACGACCTATACATGTTCGATCGCAGGTCTAATATAGTCGGCGCAGAGTGTCCACGAGAACCGTATCTACAGTGTCAATATTCATTGCGGGCCCGATTATCCCGACAACCCCCCTACTATACAATTCGTTTCCAAAGTGAACATTCCTTGCGTTGACCCACGGTCAGGAAAGGTGCGCAACTCGAGGAACCTAGGTGCCTTGGTCAAGTTACATCTCATTAACCTTTATCTATATAGGTTGATCCGACCAAACTGCCTTGCCTTGCGCAATGGAAACGTGATTATACCATGGAAACGGTCCTGATTGAGATCAGAAGGTGTGTTCCTGACAAGACCAATAGCCTTACACCTATCACTGACTGGATTTTCTAGATATATGGCTCTTCCACAACACAAGAAGCTGCCGCAGCCTCCCGAGGGTTCCAACTTTTGAGCTTTGATATCTTCTGTATTGATCAGAATATGCAAACCGGAGTACCAAGGTTGGCTTTTTATGAGTTGATGTCCTTTTCCTCTTTATTTCTAGATTGTGTATAGCCATGCATAACAAAAAGCATCAGCGGCGCGTCAGTAAAACATTAAATCGGTTTCTCAAAACCCCCTGGAGCTGGTATGATTCATTGTAACGCATCGATCATTTTTATAGTATTATTATCAACCCAAACACGTGACTCGGCGGAAAGTGACCTCCGGAGAGTCGGATCTTCAAAGACGGTCCCCTGTCCGAATTCCTTCCTGCAGCTGCAGCTTGGTGATCTTGTTTCTGCAAAGACCAATCGTGGTTTTTAAAGATGCATCGGCTTGTTGTACCAAAATTATCTAGCGTTCATCGGTTTGCCTGTAAGTCTCCAGGATACACCTCAGCTCAGCTCCATGGTCACTAATTAGGAAGCGCGTAGGCCTGGCACTCTATCGAGCTCTGTTACGACAAGCCGGAAAAGTGAATCAGGGTGCTCCAGCCCTTCAAGCTATCAAGCCAACCATACAACAGAACTTCAAGAGGTATAAAAAGTTGCAGAGTCCAACCCAGACCGCGAATGCCTTAAGGGCTGGGTATGAGGTAACGATCAGTTTACGAATCCACTAGCTTAAGCCAAGCTGATCTTTCTATTCGGAGGTGACAGGCCCTCGATATGTTACACGCTGCTTCACAAGGACATGAAAGAAGTATCAACACCGTTTCACAGCTTATTGCGGAAAGCCAAGATATTAAAGAAAGAAACCGCCAGAGGCAGCGACAGCTCTCGAAATTTTCACGGCCAAAACCTCTCTCTCGCATAGAATTGAAGAGGATGGAATCTCGTCGGTTTCAACAAAAAACAGCCGCGCGCCATCCAGATGCGACGCCTATCCTGTCCAGACCCCGACCCGTCGTGACCGGAAAGCGCCGAATCCCCGTACTTGTTACCGCCCGAGGAGTCCCTTTTCTACGCATCAAGAAGCCTCAGCCCAGGTTCCTCAGCGAAATAATCAAAGCGAAACTAAAGAAACGTTGGGGGTTGATCGAGCGCCGCGACAGATTACAGAATGAGTTGCTGTTTGCCCAAGAGGAAGATGAATGGGATCAATTGACGAACCAGAGCGATGATTCGGTCACATGGGATCTGGCGCTCACGACTTGCATACAAGAGACGGACGATAGTTTGACGTCCCTTGATGAGAAAAATCTCCAGCTAGCAGAGGAAATGTGGAAGGTCGTTCTGGCAGAACGAGAGCTTGCTGCTGTAGAAGAGCGCAAGCTACAGAAGGGCTGAGGAATAAGGGAACATGGGTGAATCATCTACTCATTCCCCTGGCTTCCATATTCTGCCAGATGTTTTTTTGGATGTCCCTGCTTCCAAGTATATTTGGACCGCTCCGCCTTTCTCCGGGATATCTAATGATCTTCGAGAAACCGAATCCGGCTAGCAATTCGGGCAGCATGCGTTACAACACTCCGGGGACAAAACTGAGATATACGGTTTCAGAAGATTTTGGTCCTCGAAGGGACAATGGATCAAAAACATCCCATCCTCCCAAATTTCGCCCTTGACCAAACGCCGGTTAAGAGAGCCTCACCTTAATTCAACTTCTCACCTTGCCACACTGCCCGGTATGAAACAAGGAATACCAACTGCAAGCGCCTCTTGGGGGACCTTTACTGCCATATTTGGGGGGAGGGGTTTACCTGTTTCGGCTCGGAGTCAAAAGGCCATTTGTCGGAAAAGTGGAAAATATATCCACGCAAGCAAGAGACACCATTCTGAAGCCAAACATAGCAAAGTTTCTTCTTCTATATATATTGTTAGACTATGTTCGAAAGAACCTGGCTTGTTTTTGTAAATTGCTCCGTCTTGCTTTAGTCCGATAGATAGCACGGTTGATGGTATATAAATTTTAAGTTCCGTCTTTAATGCAAAGAGTGGGCGCACTTTATCATGCAGCTATCTTGACTTTGTCCACAGCTGCCGGAAGAGCCTCATCATCATCTTCTTCATCTTCGTCACCTTTCCCGGCCAGACCTCTCTCCCATAATTGTTTACCCGTCAGCTTCTTCTCTTCCTTCGCCGAGGGCTTCTTGAATTTCTTCTCTTCCGCCTCCTTCACTTCTCGTTGCCTCTGTTCTTCTTCCTCCATCTCCTGCTTGAATTTTTCGCTCCACTCTAAGAAAGTCTCTCGCGTGACGGGGGTTCCCTGGAACTTGCGGTTTTCTTCCTCTTCGGCCTTGGCAGCGGCCATCTCCTTCTCTGCTTGAACGGCGTTCGCGCGCTCCGACATGAGAAGCTCTGCGCTTTCCTTCAAGCTGCTCACCAGGGAGAAGACCATAGCCATGCCCAGATTCTCTTCAATTGTTGGCTGCAATGCTTCGATGAGCCGGTCGCGGTCCTCTTGGATATCCAAACGAGGGTGCTTCGGGGCATTAGGCGGGGCGCTTAGTTCTAAGTTGGGAGCCACATCGGGGTAATCTGCTGGATAGGAAACTTCTAGTATCAGGACTGGCGGCTCTGCTTCTTCGACATCATTTTCAGGGGCATCGAGAGTAATCGATATTCTATATGCTGTCTCGGATATATCTGCCCTCGGATGCGGGTGTCAGCGAGAACGACCTGAGGATTTGACTGCGTCGCAAGGCAAGAAAGATCCAACCTGTAATCTCCTCTGGAAAAATTGAATCAAGAACTTCACGTTCCTCGACCTGATCTTCGCGGCCCATCTTTGCAGATCAATCAGCTGCGAACCGCGGGGGTAGAAATATGCCTGCTGGGTTTGCGAAAGAAGCTATGATCCGAATTGGCGAATTATTTTAAATAAACCCCACAACTTCGGGATCCTGAAGAAACAAGAAATAAAAATAAAAAGCTCTCCAATATGAGAGTGCAAATGTAAGCCTGTTGAAATAGTCTGTACAAGTCCTGCTTGTTCTTAGCACACTGGTGAGGCCTGGTGTACTGGTCCCGCATGCAAACCGAGCAAACAGATAAGAAAAAGTGCCCGAATTTTCGAGTCCAGAAAGGGAAAATTCCCCCTCAGGACTCTGCTAACCTGTGGCCTTACATTGCCAGAGGGCGTCTGCGATACTTCAACGAGCGACGTGACGCTTTGACGAGACTCTCCTTTCTCAAAGAACGACCAGATCATGGGAAAGCCCAGGCAAAACAAGAAAAAAACATCCAAATCACGCGAAAAGTCGGTCCTCGGCCCCGGAAAGTCGGTATCGAAACGCAAGATGAACGAAGATCCAGCCACCCTGCTGGAGCAGGCCACTGTCTTTCTACAGACCGGCCAGCCGGATGCAGCATTGCCGCTGGCACAACAAGCTCTTGTGCTTGCACCTGCGAACTCTCCCCATCAATTGTCCGCGCTGAACACCGTTGCGGAAACATATGTGGAACTCGGAGACATTACAGCGGCTAAAGAGCATTTCCAACGTGCAGTGGATTTGGACCCGGAGGGAACGATACCCGAGTCGCAGGGGGGTGGTGCAGAGAAGTTCCTGTGGCTTGCTCAACTGAGCGAAGAGGGGGGAGCGGACAGCGTTGCTTGGTTTGAGAAGGGCGTCTCCGCATTGAGGCATATCATCCAGACCTTGGAAGGGAAGACCAGCGCGGGGGATGTCGCTTTGGCCGACGAGAAGAAAAAGAAGATGGCCAACGCTCTTTGTGCCGTTTCCGAAATCTATATGACTGACCTTTCGTAAGTGACCGGTCTCGCCTGGTGTTGTGGGGATTTCGTGACAACTAATCAGAGACCCAGATGGGAGGAGGATGCAGAAAGCCGGTGTGAGGCTCTAGTTACAGAGGCCCTTCATGTGACACCCGATTCCCCTGAAGTACTCCAGACGCTGGCATCCATCCGGATATCACAACTTCGGCTAGACGATGCTCGCGCCGCTCTCTCTCGGAGTATCGAACTATGGAGGGATTTGGCTCCAGAAGACACGCGAATTCCCGACTTCGCAACACGGATCAGTCTGTCCCGTCTCTTAATGGAGGTGACCATGGAGCTTGAGGCTCTAGAGGTGCTGGAGCGCTTGATCCTGGAGGACGATCACAGCGTGGAAGCGTGGTATCTGGGAGGGTGGTGCCTTCACCTTCTAGCCGAAAATCAACAGGCACCGGCAGATGCAGAAGGTGAGGACTCTCCCGAGGCCAAACGACATGCCTCGCTTGTTGCGAGTCGAGAATGGCTTAAACAAAGCCTGAAGCTCTACGAGGTCTTGGAGTACGAGGACGAGAGGTTAAGAGACCACGCGATGGAGCTTGTCCAGGAAATGAATAAAGAGCTGGGCGAAGACATGGACGATGAAGAAGACGGGGAAGGCGAGGACCAGGAGGGTGAGGACGACCTGGACGAGGAAATCGAGGCTGAGTCGGACGAAGACGACGAGATGGCCGACTCGTGAACAACGACCCTTCTGTTTTGGAGACTACATTTTAATTATGAAAAGCTGCCATGATACCAATGATAGACCCATCCTAGACTTGATCTACTGCGTATATTGATGATTGTTGTACTCTGTACTAACCAACTACATAGTAACCACTCACTAATCACTTACTACGACCGCCCACGTGCCGTCGGCATAAACCGGATCCGGATTAATGGGGTCCCGACATTTTTTCTCAGGGACATCTAGCGGCGGACGACCCAGAAATTTGCCCGCGGACAGCGACAAGTGTGGCGAATAGCTCAATGTGAGAGACGGAGACCGGGCTGTTGGAACTGTTGTGTCCCATCTTCGTGCTCAAGATGGACCTGGTGCCAGCGCCAGACCGGGAGGGCTCGTCGTTCAAGACTCCGGTGATTGAGGTGGCAGCCGTCGACATGTCCGCCGCCGGCGCAGAGGCGGGAGCACCGCCCGCCCATGTGGAGGAGGAGGCGGCCGTGCTGGAGAACGAGGCGTCGCAGTCGGAGTTGGAGACGGACAGCGACGCCTCCGAGGATGATTGGGAGACCCATTCCGTTTATGAAGATGCTCTTCAGTTCATACGTGATGATCAGCTGCGCGATGGAGGTATGTATACGCTATATACTACTGTTCTTTGTTCTCAATGCCTTGCTAATCCGATATTATGTAGTCGTGCCTGATGCCTGTTCGCTGGACGAAGCACTCGCGTTTCGCCAACGGTTACATGAGATAGGCAAGGCGGCGTTCGTTGAAGAAACAATTGTGCAGGAGTCCATCAGTGCGAAGAAACTATGCACTGCTTTCGGCATATTGCCACCGCCGTTCCTTGAAGGTGCGCCAGATCAGGCGTATCACCCTCTTTTGGCGATAGCGATCTCGCGGGAGTTCTCGCGACGCCAAAAGCTTCCGCAGTACAATACGGTGGAAGATGCCGTGAAGCTGTTGAAGGAGTCAAAGAATATTGTTGTCTTGACCGGCGCAGGTGTATGTCGACCGTCTTGCCGGTGGTGTGAAGACTTTGTCCCGCTGACCTGTCTACTTTAGATCTCCACCAGTCTTGGAATACCCGACTTTCGTTCCAAAGATACTGGCCTGTATTCCAAACTTGCGCACCTCGGTCTGAGCGACCCGCAGGAGGTTTTTGACATTCACATCTTTCATGAAGACCCAAGCATATTTTTCTCTGTCGCAAAGGATATCCTGCCCACCGAGAAGAAATTCTCGCCCACTCACGCGTTTATTCGTCTTTTACAGGAGAAAGGTAAACTTCTGACGAACTACACCCAGAACATTGACAACATCGAAGCCAATGCGGGGGTATCTCCTGACAAGATCGTTCAGTGTCATGGCTCCTTTGCCAATGCCACTTGCATCAAATGCCAGTACAAGGTCCCGGGGGAAGCAATCTATGAAGACATCAGAAATGGTGTCATCCCCGAATGCCCGGCTTGCAAGAAACAGATCTCGGAGGAGGCGTTGAAGCCACACGGTCTTAAGCGCAAACGCAGCTCCAATGGGGTTCATAAGAAGCGCAAAAACAACGATCAGGACGATAGCTCCTCTGACGAGGACTATGACATTCCTACCCCTGGAGTAATGAAGGTAAGCCTTCCTCTCGTTTTCTTCTCGTTTCTTGGCCACGCTAAACCTACCTGTTCAGCCTGATATCACATTTTTCGGAGAGGACTTGCCCGATGAGTTTGGCCGCCGTCTGATCGAGCATGACCGTGAAAGGGTCGATCTGGTCATCGTCATCGGGACCTCTTTGAAGGTAGCCCCCGTAGCAGAAGTGCCGGGCGTACTACCGCGCCACATCCCACAAATCTACATTTCTCGCACTGTAAGCCCCAAACCTTGATTCGGAGAGCCCAAGTCCCTCGCTAACTATTATGTTCAGCCCGTCTCTCATATCGGGTTCGATATCGACCTCCTTGGGGACTGCGACGTCGTTGTCTCTGAGCTTAGTCGTCGAGCCGGGTGGGATCTGAAACATGACATGATCCCTCCGGACGAGAAAGTAGAGGTCACTTCGGAAGAAGGATACGATTCACGACATTCATTCAAAGTTGTCAGGGCATAGCGGTGGAGTTGGGATGGCTATTCAATCGTTCGTTGCTTTGGTTTGCTGTTATTAATGTTACTTCCTTGGACAATTGACGAGTCGCTTTATGTTTGCACATTTATTCGCTTCTGTCGGTCTGCTTCTCCTCGACTTTTGATTCCCATATTAATCAAATAGATAATAAAGTGTATACAAGAGTGCTTACAGCTGTGATTCAGCCTGGGTATGTGGAATATCATAGAAAAAATATTTCTTAAGAGCCAAACTTTTATAACTCCAATCTGGGATTATTTCCACTGCGGGATCCTACCAAAGTCACCTCCACCATTGGTTCCCAACCCATTAACCTTTCCAATTCACGTCTCTCTCTAGCCACTGAATAATTCGAATAAGTTGACCCTTGGTGGAGTTTTTCAAAAGGACTACTTGGTAATCTGTCTACTCCTCCGTATCGATTTTTGCGCTGGTGGATTGATTGAGGGGGTGGGCACCACCGAAAGAAAAAAAAAAAATGGAATACCTCATCCGCTTCGCACAGGTGCACGAGACGTTTCGACGGCCAGAGCTCGAGGCCTTGGCCACGGTTACAGGCGTTGATCTCGAGATCATTCACTACAGTCAATATGTATGTAGGAGATGAGTCCTTCCCCCTCCCCCGCATTTAATTTTAAAGTACTACTAGTAGTACTTAACTAACCGGGGCCAGTCGCCATACTGCCTGGTGAGGCTCCCAGATGAGGCGGCAGCTCGGGCTCTGATCTCGCGGTGTATACTGGCCAAGGACATCTACGAGCTCTGGGGCCAAGGGGCCAACTATGAGGAAGTGTACGCCGACGTCCGCCGGCGGACACAGGCGCGATGGGCTGAGTATCGGGATGTTTCGTTTCGGTTCGCCGTGGACTGCTTTGCGGGGAAACGCTCCCAGGCCGCCAAGACAGATATCATTCAGTCGTTTTCGTTTCTTGGCTTTGAGGGTCCTATCCGGATGAAGGATGTTGATGAAGAATTCGCCGTGCTGGAGGAGTATGTCTCGGACGTCGAGGCAAAGGCCCCAACAGCGACAACCACCACCACTACGGAGCCGAGTCCCATTCCTGTAGACGAGGGCCAAGAGCCCAAGAAGATCTACTTTGGTCGGTGGGTGGCGCTGAGCGGTCGCCACGCGATCAGCAAGTACGACCTCAAGAAGCGGCGATACATCAGCACGACGTCCATGGACGCGGAGCTGAGCCTGGTCACGGCGAACATGGCCCTAGCCGCGCCAGGAAAGGTCTTCTTCGACCCCTTCGTTGGCACGGGAAGTTTCTGCGTTGCGGCTGCTCACTTTGGCGCCCTGACGCTCGGCTCCGATATCGATGGCCGCAGTTTTCGAGGTCGAGATCCAGCTCCAGGAAAGCCCACAGGGGTGATGCTCAACTTCGAGCAGTATGGTTTGAAGAGCAAGTTCATGGACACGTTTACCTCTGATTTGACGCATACGCCGCTGCTGAACCGTCCCATCCTGGACGGGATCATTTGCGATCCGCCCTACGGCGTGCGCGAGGGACTGCGAGTCCTAGGAACGCGTGACGGACGGCCTCGAGAGCCACGGTTCGTCGACGGTGTCCCAGCACACCAGTATGTAATAACCGGACATTAGCGAGTAAAAAGGGAAATCCAACGCTGATTCTTTTCTTTTCTAGACTGCCGGGGTTCGTCGCACCACGGAAACCCTACGGCTTTGAAGCAATGCTGAACGATATCCTCAACTTTGCCGCGCGCAGTCTCGTCACGGACGGGCGGTTATCCATGTGGATGCCCACTGCCAGTGACGAAGACGGCGAGCTGGCCATCCCAAAACATCCGAATCTTGAAGTGATCAGCGTGAGCGTACAGTCGTTCGGCAATTGTATGTTTTATCAACATCCTAGACTAGCCGAATTGCATGCAGAGCAGAGCTGACTTTCGCTTTCAGGGTCCCGCCGTCTGATCACATATAAAAGACTCCCAGAGGGTTTCGTCTCAGACATGACGGTTCGACGGCAGAAGGTTGACGACGAGGGCGTCAACGCAGATGACTTGAATGCATTTAGAAGAATGGTTAGTTTGCCAACTTTCCTTCCCCCCTTGATATATAACTAATTAGTTAACGTTGCAATGTATTTAGTACTTCACGAGGAATAAAGGAGGTGAAAACTAGGGTAGCCTTGATACATGAAAAATTTAGAAGAACCATCATGTCAATCTCCATTATTCTCCCCAAGATCATAATTTCAACTTCCTAGGATCCTCCAAGTCAATACCTTCAACTTCTCGAACCATCTGCTCCCGAATCGCGGCAGCTAACGTCTTACCCTCCTCATCGTCTAACTCGTCTCTCTGCCCGCGCCCAAACATAACGAAACTCGGCATGAGTCTCTGATCGGAGTTGAGAGGTGGCCGGGGGATGACATGGAAGTGGAGATGAGGTACTTGCTGCGCTGCTCTGTAGCCTACATCATTGACTTAGTTATAGATCAAACAACAAAACAACAAACAACAAACAAATAACCTGTATAGGGCAGCTGCATGGAGTATAAAAGAACCCCTCATCAAATACAAATGAAATAAAAGATTGCATTGCATTGCAGCAGATCTATTGAATAGAGGGATCTAGTACTCCGCATTAGGGAGATGCTTTTTCGCTTACCATTATTCTGCACCACATTCCAATGATGCTGCTCCTCGTCCTCTCCAAAGAGAGTGATCATCACCGCTCTCGAAACGATGGGTAACCATTTTCCAATCTAGATCTTAACCTAAACTCTGAACTCGAACTACCGCTATATTGCGTGAAACTACAGATGGGGGGGGTGTTTGCTAGGCTGCTCACCTCCTTGCTGACTTCGATATCTATATCACTTAATTTCTCGAAATGGTGACGTGTCGTGATCAGGACGTGACCACGGGTCAAGGGCATGATATCTAGGAAGGCCAAAAGGTGTTGTGTCGAGAGGATAATGTGGGCGGGACTGGTAGAGGAGAATGATGATGAAGATGAAGCAGAAGAAGATTCTGGTCCATCCTTGCGTGATGCAGGAAAGTGGGCGGCGATATTGCAGAAGGGACATGCAGGTGGATTTGTCAGTTTATTCATTATTGTTATTATAAGAGCCAGTACGGTGTAGAGGATGGAGGGTTAGTAGGGAAATTGGGTAGAAAGACAGCTTGAGAATGATGGAAGATGTCAGACCGATTGAACCTCGGCTGAGGAGTACAACCAATATCAAGCAACCAAATTGATTGCCACTACCCCCTGTAAAAACTATGATTTCTCTAGATTAATCATGTCTTATAGTAATATGTGTCAATATGAGGGGGAAGTAGGTACTAAAAAGAAAATTGAAACGGACCAAGATGGAAAGTCCTACAAGTTCTACATCTCGTACATACAACCAAAGGAAATACCTTTGCTTGGATTGCAATCAGAAAATAGACGGTAGATATCGTTGAGATCGATATTCCAGAATGAAGTTGCCCACCGCTCTGATCCCAGTAACTACAGTAGTCTTTCTATAGTTACCTCAGTTACATTTCATGCTTCAAGTAGAGAGAGAATCATAGAGGATGAGGCAGATCAATCTACATGAACAAATGGCTCGTCCTTAAAGCATAGATTATTTGCCAAAGACACAATTATCAAGTCACCATCGCTATCGTCGCTGAAACCGAACCTTGCCTACTTAACTCAAAGAGAACCATCCGCCGTAAGTCCCTTCGTCTGGTCCACGCGACTATGACACCGAAAGTGGCCATCTACATACGATCCCGAAACACCGCCAGCTCACGAAATTAAAAGCGCCTTCACCGTCGTCAGGACGCCATGATGCATGTCGCCGAGATATGAAGTGTGACCACATATCGACGCCCAGTCAACGCCAGCAAAACGGTGTTTTAAACCAAAAAAAAAAGAGGAAGAAGGGGAAGTGAAGTGAAGATCAACGACTGCCAAGAAGAAAATTCCGACCCAGAAAGTTTCCGACGCCTTCGATAAGCACTGGGGAAGGGGGTAAGAGTGGTCAGGAGGAGAATGTAGAGGTATCAGAAAGAATAAAAAAAAGGGCCCCTAAGAAAGGTAGAAGAGAAGCAGAGTAATGGAAACGAAGAAGCGCCAGACACCTTCTGAATTAAACAGCGATGCAAACCCGCAAAACACACACAGAGAAAATTTCGAAAATGCCATCGTAACATATGCAAAGGGTGCCTGATGTCGTCACAACGAAAAGAAATACCCGGAAGTCCTACTCATGCAGCCCGAGCTAGCCTGAGGTTTACGAAACTGTCCGTTACTATTCGTCGTCTTTGAGATAGTTGTATGGTTCCGTGAGGGCACTCTCGATATACAGGTGGTGATATTTCTTGGCCCATTGGCGAGTGAGGATCGAGGCTATTTTCAGGTGAGCAAGTTGGCCAGGCCAAAGAGAGATGGATACGCTGATCTTACCCTTGAGGAATTTCTTGCTGGCATATTTCTTGAAGAATGCCTCGTGGCAGACCGGGCGGTGAAGATAGTCAATCATCAATCTGAAGACAGGATCGATCTCCTCCTCAGTATACCCAGCATAGTGTGCGAGAGTCGCATCCTGGAAGCATTCGGTCAGTCTTGTCAAAAAAAAAAAAAAAAAAGGGAGACATGTGTTGCGCGAATAAGCTTACCCAAGGTCCACGCTCCAAGATGAGGCGGGCAAGGTACATCGCAGCAGCACTGATGTGGCTTTGAGGATAGGACATGAAGCGGTGGTCCAGAAGACTGATTTCCATGAGGTACTTGCCCAGGGTCCGGGTTTGGATATCGTAGTTGTCTGCCTTGGAGATTCTGCGCAAGAAGTTCATGGGGTTGGGGAAGCTCATGTTATAGTCAAGGGTGGCGAGAACGTGACGTTCGGCATCCAGGATTTCCTTGTCCGAGAAGGTCTCGTCGGCGACATGGCTGAAGTTGGCGACGTGGGGAGAGAGAACTTCTTCGTACTTGGAGGCAATGAACATGGCCGTAACACCAACAAGTTGCAGGCGGTCAAGCGCCACAACTTCGGCTGACAGGAAGCGGTCGATGATGTTGACGGCCAGGAATAGGGTCTCTGGCAGCAGACGGAAACGGGTGTGAACTTCAATGAGCCAGTCGACAAGGATCCCACGCATCTTCCACTCCAGGTCCGGTTGGTGATCGATATAATCCGGGTTTGGCATCGTCTCCAATTCGAGGTCTCTCAAGTAGTCGAATATCTCCACGACGTATTCGGCAGCCATCAGCGGGTCGTCGAGGTCCTCTGTGTCGAGATCATCCGGCACATCTTCGAGCCTCGCGGCCTTGTCCGTCTCAAAAACAGGCTCTTCTTGGATGGTGGGCGCCTTGACGGGAGCGGCCTTTTCAACCTCGACCTTCTTCCGCGGCCGTTCCTCGGTTTCCTCCTTGATCGATTTTGTGCTGGCTGTCCGCTTGATTTTCTGTGCACTCCCATTGCCACTTCCCGGGCGCTTCACCTCAGCAGTCGCTTTCTTCGAAACCGTGTCCTTGACCCCCGAAGCGGTCCGTGATGAGTTAGTGCGGCTGAGCTTCTGGACGCCACCAGGTTGGCTTGCGGTTTTGGAGTTGAGGGCGGTCTTAGTTGCCAGAGGCTTCTTCCCGTCCTTGGCGTCTCCATTGTCGTTTTTGGTCACGTTGCTGACATCTCCCAGGGCAGCGCGACGTTTAGCGGGGCCGTTGGTCGTTGTGTTGACAGCAGCCTTCTTGGTCTGCAGAGGCTTCTTGGCAGCAGCATTTGACACAGCAGCGTCACCTCCTGACAAAGCCGCGGCCTTCGCACGGGTCAGTCGCGTCGACGGGCCGTTCTCGTCGTTCTCATTCATGGCACCCCTGGTGCGGAGGCTGCGAGCCTGAATGAACGTCAACGAGAGGAACATTAAGGGATATCGAAGGGCAGTTCAAGTAAATCCTTCGTTGGCTGGAAAACGAAAGTGGACGCGTCTGGGGGAATCAATTGAAGCTTACCGGAGGCATGACGGAACAAAAAGCAACCGCGTGCTAAACAAGTTTTGTTTTCTTTTTCGGAAGAACAGGTATTATAATCAACCAGCTAATGCTAGGTAGCACTGTTGCACATTCCGTTAGAAGTTACCCCGGTAGATGAAGAATATCTGAGCATTCTTCCTCAAGGTAGAGACAGGTGCACGTACCACGCGTAAAAATGTCGCCAATCCCAAAAGATACCCTTCGATGCAAGGACTTTTGGATGAACGACAAGAAAAGAATAAAGGATGGTTGAATCGGTTGTTAATATGTTGTCAAACACATATAACAGCAGTAAGTTGCCTTTGTTTATAGAAGCCGACAGGAAACACCTCACGTAGTGTCGACGGCGCGTCAAGAATCAGCAGAATCTAGACGGGTAGGAGCGCGTAATGAGGCGTGAAGAGTCCAACAGAAAACGGGATGATCAACTTTCAGTTCCAAGACAGTCAGTCGCTCACACTCGTCACTAGCAACAGCTGTTGACGAAGACAGTGGGTAGTAGTAGTAGATGGGGGAGGTCAGAGTTGACAGGACACTGGTGATGTTTGGCCCTACTCCTTAGCGTGAAAAATGGCCAAGCTGGTTGATGCCCCACAACAGAGGCTGACCCGACGAGTCGCGCGGATTAAATACGGACGTATGTGCGAATGGTAGCAACCTTTCAAGAAAAGTCGCTCAGTGATATGTACGGAAATTAAAGAAAAGAGAAAAAAAGGGAGTCTATGACAGCGACACGCGATGGAGCAAGAGAGCACAAAATGGGAAGCCAAAAGTGCAGACGAGAGGTATGCTGAGACGCGGCACCACACCGGGGGAAAGAAGGGGAGGAAGGGAAGGCAGGGAAGGGAAGAAAAGAAAGCAGCGGAGCAGCAGTAGAAAGAGGTAAAATCAGCAAGCACACAGAAGAAAGTAATCGTACCGTCACAGACGAGATAATTCGCGGTGGTGGAGAGCGCGGAGTGGGTTTTCGTAGGTTTTTCCTTGCGTACGGCAATACCAAGTGAGGGTGTCGCGAGTTACGAGCTGCGAGTTGGTTACGTGAGGGCGACGAGGCGCGGCCAGCAACAGGAAAAAGCGTTTCGTTGTCCCGGCAACGGAGCCTTGGCGCGAGGCTCCTCGTGACGTGCATCATGCGCCACAGAGCCGGGTGTGGCAGTGACAATATAGTCACGTGATTGACATGCACCAGCCACACCCGTATTCCGAAGCTGCGGGAAGAATCAGAAATCGTGCTCCGGCCTGCTTGAAACTTGAAAGGCGTGCCTCGACCTCCAGCGATTGGGTACGGGGTTGCTATTTCCATTGCGGTACCGAAATCGTTTCGGCTTTTCACTGGACAGTTACACGGATTGATCCGACACCCATTGGTTGTGTGGCTTTGTCGTGTCCCGGGACTTTCACTCCCGCTGCGGTGAAAAAGATCTCGACCGGTATCTGCAGCCCCCGTGGGTTGAATTGCTTCGCTGTTGCCGTCGTGGTCCACCTGTCCGCGTTGAATCTACCTACGATGTTGCAGCCGCGGCTGGCCCTGAGGGCTATCCAGCTTCCTTTCCGATGTCTGTCGTCGCTCTCGACTCGATCATACGCTACTGCCGTTCATGAACCCGAACAGCCCCTGGCCGCCGAGTCCTCCAGCTTCGACCCCGGTTCTGCCTTTGCTTCACCCCCGGCTCGCAATGACTCCGGCACGCTAGTGCGGACGTACAAGCCGCGTACTCCTGGTGTTCGACACCTGCGGCGGCCGGTCAACGACCACCTCTGGAAGGGTCGTCCAGAACACAAGTTGACTTTCCCCAAGAAGGGTCACGCCAAGGGTGGACGTAACAACACCGGTCGAGTCACTGTTAGGCACCATGGTGGTGGCCACAAACGCCGGATACGTATGGTGGATTTCTTTCGAGCTGCGCCGGGGCCTCACGTTGTCGAGAGAATCGAACGGGACCCTGGCCGCAGTGCTCATATTGCGCTTGTGCGTAGCAAGGAGACCAAAAAGCTGGCCTATATCCTCGCCGCCGATGGTATGAGGGCTGGCGATGTGGTGGAGAGTTATATGTCGGGTATTCCCGAGGAGCTTTGGATAAGCATGGGTGGTACTGTCGACCCCGGTGTGCTCGCGGCCAGAACCGCCTGGAGAGGCAACTGTCTCCCGTTGCACATGGTCCCTGTGGGAACATTAATCTTCAATGTTGGACTTCACCCGGGCCAAGGTGGTCAGCTGTGCCGCAGCGCCGGTACTTTCGCAACCGTCATTTCTAAGGGAACCGAGATCCAACAAACCGACAGCAAGAGCACTGCAGACCAGGGTCTGAATGAAACAGAGCCTGCAGAGGAGGAGAAGCCTCTGACACAGACCGAAAAGCAGAAGCTCGAGCGTGCTGCTCAGCATGTCACGATCCGCCTGCAAAGTGGGGAGGTTCGACTGATTCACAAAGACTGCTGCGCAACGGTGGGTATTGCCAGCAATCCCAACTATCAGTACACACAGCTCGGCAAGGCCGGACGGTCACGCTGGCTCAATATCCGTCCTACCGTCCGTGGTCTTGCTATGAACGCGATGGACCACCCTCACGGCGGTGGTAGAGGAAAGTCCAAGGGTAATGTCGACCCGAAAAGTCCTTGGGGTCTGCCGGTATGTCTACTTTTCTCTCATTAGATACATCATTTGTATCGGTTTCAAACTAATCGTGCAATCTACAGGCCAAATCCGGTTACAAGACCCGCCCCAAGTGGAAGGTCAACAACGCGGTTGTTGTTCCCAGACCCCGAAACCACGGCAAGCGTCGCAGAGGCAAGAAATAAGCAAGTTGGGCGTTTGATTTGCGACGGTATAATCTTCCCATCAACATGGAAGATTCCTGTAACACATACCACGATATGCCAACCGCTGGAAAAATATGCTTTCGGTGGCCTCTCTACCTTGTCAACTCCCTCTCATATACCGGTTTAGACTGTGCAGAGGACTGTCGGTCCACCTTTCTTGTACTATACTTCAATTACTGAATAATGGGCGCGTCTTTTCTTCCTTTCATAGTCTTTATCTGAGACCCTGTATATTTAGCCCCATGCTTCCCTCCCTCTCTTGGTCTTGAATAAAAAGACTGAGAGTCAATGGAATTGTCCTCTTATCCTATTGCTTTAAAACAGTGTATAGACAATAAAAGAGCGCTTTCTAATCATGCAAATATACACTGGAACTCAAGAAGCCTACGCAGAACCTATCCCTGTCAATGACGTGTTGCTATTGCCGACCGCAAGGTCGATATATGCCCTGAATCTACCGATACTCGATAGCAAGACTGGATCGCTAATCGGTTCATCCCAATGAAATATAAAAGGACATATGCTTATGGTCTATATTGTATATAACTATTAGAACTTCGTGGCCTTCTGGTGTTGCCAGAACGTCCGCGTTTGGCCGGAGATAGGCAACGAAGGATTAATTTGTAAGAATGGCGAACTCAGCCCCAACTCTCTTCCAGTTCTCTCACACATGCTTTGCCAAACAAGCGATCTGAGACCCCTTCGTCACGGATGGTCTCCTGCTACAGAATAGTCGATCCAATGTCTAACTACTTGGCCATGTCCTTTGACTGGGAGTGACTGGCTTTAGACGTCCCCGGTACCTACGTACGCATCAGAAGGATTAACATTGAGATATTTACTGTTTGTCGCGTGAACATTAAAATATTCAAGACTTGAATTTATGGATCCATCGGGTTTATTGACAAAACCCGGTCCATTCAGTCTGCCGATTTCGATGCCCTCCGAGATGAGTCTACAAGGCTTCTCGACAGCATCGTCCAATACCCCCGCCTATGCGGCCGACCCCGATGACAGCAGCTACGTCCCCCGCCCGAAACGCATCGCATGCGTCGTCTGCCGGCGAAGGAAGCTGAGATGCGATGGAAAAAAGCCAAGCTGTGGCACCTGTTCCCGATTAGGTCATGATTGCTCGTACGATGAAGTCCGCAAGAAGAGTGGCCCCAAGCGGGGGTATGTGAAGCAACTGGAGGCCCGTTTAGGTATGACCAGCATGGATGATGATGCTCGGGGCGACTTGAACTTGAATTTGAAAAGATTCACTAACTTGTTTGCGCCAATTCAAGCTCAGGTGGAAACTCTTTTGAAAAATCAAGACCCGGAGGCAGGTCGACCGCCACCACCACCGGCTCAGCCTCAGAATAATAAGAGTGCCTTTGACCTTCCGATGTCGAATGATGCCCCCTCAAATTTTGCAAATATACCACCGATTCCAGAGGCTGCAGCGGAGGATACAATGGCCCAGCTTGCTGAGATCCTCGGAGAGCCTCAACCGTTTGAGCCGTTTCTGCCAGGCGCGGGCTTTGGGGGAGAACCTCACAGTTGGGAAATGATCAGCTTGGGTCTGGAGGAGCCTTTACCGGCCCAGGACGTTATAGATGAGTTGTACGAACCCTCTTTTTCTATCCTGTGATCGTGGATCGAAAACTCCTGCAAGGTTTCTTCTAACAGCAACAATGGAAAACAGGCAGGACATTTTCTTCGAAAAGGTCTATCCTTCCATGCCTATTATACATCGGCCGCGATATCTGGCGTCGATGAATCTTTCTCCAGAGATGCGCCCCCCTGTCTGTTTACGTTATATTATGTGGAGTCATGCGGCTTCCATGTCCGATAAATACTCCTTCCTCCATCAGCAATTCTACGAGCGGGCTCGAAAGTACGCCGAAAGGGACGAAATGAAGGGTCTCGGAGAGCAGACGGTCAGCGTAGGCCATTGCCAAGCGTGGATCCTGATCGCAACCTACGAATTTAGGATGATGTTTTTCCCCCGAGCATGGCTCAACTCCGGGAAAGCGTCCCGGCTCGCCTTGATGTTGGGCTTGAATCGCCTAGACGGCGCCGGTCTCGATGTCAAACAGACCACTGGCCCCCCGCGAGACTGGCTTGAGAGAGAGGAACGGCGGAGAATATTCTGGATGGCCTTCTGCGTCGATCGGTATGCCAGCATTGGCACTGGCTGGCCCATGATGATCGATGAGCGAGACATCATGACCAATCTTCCTGCACCTGAAGACGCATTCTTAAAGGGTAGAGCCGAGCAAACCTCCCGCCTTCCGGCCCTGCTGAAAGGTGACGGCATTGCAACGTTGTCTCCCTTTGCGAATGTCGTACTCATGTCCAGCATGTTCGGTCGGAATCTCACCCACCTCCACCGTCCGGACCCCCAGGACAACGATCATGACCTGAATGGGGAATTTTGGAAACGACATCGAACCTACGACAATCTGATTCTTGGTGTTGCGTTGTCTTTGCCGAGTCATCTTCGTTTGCCTGCCGGCATATCAGACCCTAACGTCATCTTCTGCAATATGTGCATTCACACTGCGGCGATATGTCTTCATCAAGCCGCAATCTTCAAGGCCGAGAAGAACAAGATGCCGAACCAAATCATCATGGAGAGCAAGAGGAGATGTATTGTCGCTGCGGACCAGGTCTCCAGCATCATGAAGATGATCTGCCATACGGATTTGACTACGGTACGTGCTCAACCCCTTTTTTGATAGATAGAAAAATTCAAACCTGACTGTCTGAAGATGAACCCATTCATGTCGTTTTGCATATATGTCGCTGCCCGGGTTTTCATCCAGTACTTGAAGTCTCGCCCTGATGATTCCGCGGTCCGATCGTCGCTGCAGTTCCTTGTCGCTGCCCTCGAAACGCTCAAGACCCGAAATCCCTTAACAGAGTCCTTCCTGGCACAGCTGGATGTAGACATCGAAGGGACCGTCCTTCAGCAGCACGAGATGCCGATCAAAATTGGAAACCGTGGCGATGTCTCAACACAAAAATATGTAAGACCCAATTCTTTTTTTCTACCCTACTTGGCGCGAGCAAGAATTCACAGCCGGAATTCTCGGTGTATATATAGGCTCTCAATCACGACAACGTTGAATGTACACCTCTAATGGACATTCGCCAGACACAGGCCTGCGAGCCTTCAGTGGCACCACTGCATCGAGAAGAACCGCAGTCTACGAGCCATCTGTCGTCATCGAATTCTACAGCCTCCCTTCCAAATCGACAGAGAACGCACCCTTCCCCCGATAGCAGCGACTTCCAGAATGCGTCTCAACCTTCCCGGTCCGCAAGTCTCAGAGCCGAGTCACGGATACCAGGGACAACGGCTGATATGGACTTCTCACCCGACACCAACAATCCGCCCTCGGATCACGGCACCCCCTCTACTCTGATCTCGAACTCGAACAGCTCCTTCTCGAATCCGAGATTAGACAATAAATCATCGCTCTCGAACTCTCAGTTACGGCCCGAACCACAACTCGGCAACAGCATGAACATCGGCCCTGATGCCACAAAAGCGTCGTTCGCGGAGGGCGGCATGTCTTTCCCATCTCTTACGAACGATTATTTTAGTAACAGTGACCCAAACAACACCAGCAATTCAAACCTCTCCCTAGATGCTACAGAGGCCGGTTTCTCCTTCACCGTATCCTCATCAGGCTGGGCTTTCAGTCCCTCCCAGCCTGAAATGGTCGCGGACCCGACAACCTCTCTCAACGAGACACAATGGCAGCAGATTTTTGAGAATCCGGAAACCTGGCAGGGGTGACCCTTCAATTGAATTATATCTGCTATGATATCAATTTCGATTTCATTTGGACATTCTGTTTCCATCTGAACAAAAGATTATATTTTCTTTTTTTTTATATTTAGGTCTTCAGCGCAGGGCTGGGTTGTCTCCACTCATGAAATACCCTTGTTTCTTATTTGTATCTTTGACTTGATATGGCGTTTAATGCTCGGAGGGGTGGAAGGGGGGCTTATTCTCGGGGATATATATTATATACGAATACAATAGAGTGAGATATGTGTCATACTTGTATCTGGCTATTCCTCGGAATCATCTGTACTACTCAGGGTTACAGGTCCATGCATTTAGGTATATGTCAGAGAGACCCCCCCGCCGGGCCTACAATCTTCAACCCCCCGGCGCCTGCACTCCCCGGGCCATCGGCAGTGGTTGAATAGGCGAGCCAGTACCGCGAGGGATGCCACGCGACGGCGGGGATGCCGGCATTGCTCCCGCCAGTGGTGGGGACGGTGTAGACGCTCTCGCCGCTTTCCGCGTGGAAGATCTCGAGACCGGAGCCGCCGCAGCCGGCCTCATCGCAGGCGCCACAGATGAAGCGGCCGTCAAAGCTCCAGCTGACGCCGCGGACGGCCCCGCCGTTGTTGCTCGAGACGGTGCGCTTACAGATCCAGTCGGTTGTGTCCCAGAGGGATATCAGGGCGTCGCTACCGCCGATGGCGAGGTAGCGGCCTGTCGGGGCCAGCGCGAGAGACAGGCACGCTGAGGTGTGTGCATGGAGAGTGTGCAGGACGTCAAAGGACGGATAGGACATGATCTTCACGCTGCCTTCACCCGTCGTCGCGAAGAGGTAGAGATCCGGGGCAGAGGTGGAGGGAATATGGTGAGAGAAGGTGGTGGCATTGGTTTGGACGGACTGCGGATGGGATTCCAGGATGGTGTATGACGCTGCCGGGGTGTTGCGGGTATTTGCTGATTGCGACGATGTGCCATTTGTGGCTCCATCTGTGGTGATATTCGGGCTGGATGGAGATCGGACAGAAATGGGGATCAAGGTATCATCCTATTGTAGATAAAACGTCAGTCGGTTCAATCTCCTTCAAGTCTCAAACGACGCGCGCGCACCTTTCTTCCCACCACCAGTTCTCTGCCGTCTGCAGACCAAGATAGTGTGAATGCTTCTCCTCCCACGTCCAGCCGACTGACGCAGGCCTTCGAGCGCACATCCCACACGCGCACAGTTCCGTCGGTGGAACAGCTAGCCAGCTCAGAGTCGCGAACAGGGTTGAACACCACCTTCTCGATGCCCGCCGTGTGCCCGCGCAATTCCGTCGAGTATCGCACCGCAGCCCGCTCGGGGTTCCATATTCGTAGAGTCCGGTCCGCAGAGCCCGTGGCTATTAACTGTCCTGTAGGATTCCACGCGAGAGTCCGAATACTATCGAGCGCATTCAATCAGAACTTCGTTCAGATGGGTACTTCATCCCCGATGGGAGCAAAACGCACGTGTGGGAACCAGGCCCTCGTGATGCAGGGTCATGGTAGCTCTGGGTCTTGGAACCTCCAAATGCAAAGGCAAAGCGCTCCTTTGCAAGCAGATTGCGCCGTGGAGGGGCCATTGCTGCTGGAGCTTTATTTGCTTGCTGCGCCAGGCAAGCCCCTCGGAGGCGGAGGGAGGTTGTTGGTGGTGGGTGGAATGGAGAAGCTCAAGGGGGAGCTGGGTTTTCTACCCTGTGATACTCTTCATGGAGCCCCGGAGGTTTAATTCGCACCGGATTGAGATATGCTCGAGCAAGGGAGGTGGGAGACGACAGTTGCAGGACGAAAAAGCGATGATGCTCGATTTCCGCGCGGAGAATCCTGTATGCCTCAGGCATTCAACATCCCGATATCAATTAATATTGCCATTGCAGGACGATCAACTGTTCAGTGTCGACTACGCCATCAATCTTTTTTCCTGGGGCGTGTCCATCTACGAACAATCATTGCGAAAGATATACAATTTTACACATCATCTATCTTGCGTTCTTCCCTCAGATTCGCTCTGCCCGCTGTCTTCCAAGGTTCAAGATCTCGGACCAATCAAGCTTTTCTTCAGAACCACTGAGTCTAGATATCAAAGATCCAGATTGAAGAGAGGATATTGACTTACCTGTCAAGATTGCAGTCTGAAATCTGACAATTATTCCTTTGCATCTGAAGAACGCTCTGTAGTAGGGGGAAAATCTCCGTCTGGTTCGCCGCACAGTCGAATCCTTACCTGGACCTCAGACTCTCGGTGAAAGCGGTCCTCAAAGGCAAACGTGGCTCAATTGATATTAAGCCAGCAATTCCTAAGAAACCTGGCCGTCAGCATGCTCGTTGACTTCGAAGATAACGCGTCGAGACGCGAAAAATGCTATACAACCATTACCCAGCTCCCAGCCTTCATTGACCCCAAGCAGCCTCCGGCAAGCAAGTCACCTTTTACAGCTATCAAGAGCCATCCATTTATTCATACAGTACATGCTGTCTTTCCGTCCAAGAAAAAATGCCGTGCCTTTTTTTCCATTAACGAAGCTGACTGTTCCATTTACAGGTAGAGGTTATTCTCCCTGAAGAGACATACGCCAGCATCAAGAGCTCGCTGAACACCAAGATCAAGAATCCTTCATGTGCCAGAGTGTTTATGCCACTATCGGCATTGATTGAAGGAGACTTTTTCAATGCTTATATCAAAACTGGTACATGCCTTTTTACCCTGTATATTTTCCAGGACATCGTCCTCTAATTGGCAACGCAGGAAATATTCTCATGATCTCAGAAGGTCGGCCGGGCCTAGGTGATTTCTTCAAGCTCCATGATGGTCAGTAGGTCCTTGTTACTGCCCTTTTTACCTTGGAGGTATCAGACTGGGCTGATATGTCCGGTACCAGGTATTTTGAGCCTTGAACTTGGAAAAGAGTCTTTTGAACGGACAGGTCTCACGGGTCAGCCTGTTCGCAGCGGAGGGAGAAAACATGCCAAAGAGAGATATCGTACGTACAATGCCTGATCTCAACCCTTATACTTATCAAATAGCTGATGTTATAGTGGTGGAGATTAACCTCCGTCTGCCTTCCATGCTTCATGGCAAGAAAGGGTTCGAAAGAATTGTATGGGCATTCGAAAACGTCCTGAACCAATCTGTATCCTGGCTATTCTGCGATCTGAATTTTGATCCAACAATAGTCCATGATGGTCAGCCTCTTTCTCTCTCATAAAGAACATAGATCATTAGCGCATCTTATATCTAATATCCCTGAGAGCAGACAAAGCACCAATCAACGCACACCACCCGCAAGAAATCAACTGTGAACCTGCTCATACCTCATATGAAGATATTCTTGTTCCCGAATTTCAATTTGAAAACTTGACGGAATCGACGCCCCAAGAAGATCTGCAAGATCATTACGGTCGAATCTCAGAGTGGCTCGCCATGGTGTCGCTGGCCTCGCCCCGTGTGTCGGCAAGAGACAGCGTGGACCCTTATCTTAGTCGTTATGCTGTCGAGAATGTCGAGGAAACCAGTATTTCGAATATTGTCAGTCTGAAATGGCATGGGTTGATCAACTCGCAATGGATCATGCAGTTGTTGATATGTTTACTGTGAGTTGAAATCTCCTCTTTCCCGTGTTTTGATGCTACCCCATTGTACCTCGTGCCTTGATCTCTCTTTCTCATATTCATGGTTCACCGCAGGCGGGAAACTGGTGCAAACAGCCCTACGTCACTCAGCTGGTTTTCTCTGTCTGCTGCTGCCTCAGGAAGGAACGCAGTTGAAGGCAAGGACGGCTACTCCATTTTGACAGTCGCTGCCTCTGGTCGTCCGGTCAATGATGAAGTCAGTCCATCATTGCCAGCAGTACAAGAAGGTGATAGCCGTGGTTTGAGGACAGCTAGGAAGTCGATTTGTTGGGAGTTCGTCGGCGCGTCGGTTGTATGAGCATGTTACTGCCTGAACCATTCTTGAAGAACCTCTAGTACTCAATAAACCGTGGTGATCATGACGTCCCTGGATGGTGCCTAAAGGCAGCTATAAGAACTCCGCCGTCTCGATAATGCTCCTTCTGAACCTTTTACCCTCCCCCGTCTCTCTTTGATGAACCACAGCGACAGCCATTCTTTACCATTCATTCTCTAACAAACACATTCACTTCACAAAAGTTCGCCTGATAATCTATATATCCTTGAAACATCCTATTTCGAGCCACCTCTGCCAACATCCAGAGAACCCACTCAATCATGGCCTTTTCCCAGGAAGGATACGACTCTCTCTCATCAGAAAATTTCTTTGAAGATAATACCGACTGGAACTCGGCTTTTAACCCTATAAAAACTTACATCAACTCTGATACTTCTCCCATCAGCACCAATCCTCCTCAGCTAAGTTCCCTCGGGGAGCAGCAAAACCTGAACTCTTCCATAGACGTGTCAAGCATGGAAAGCGTTGAACGAGACACTGTGGCTATGATTGACAGGGGACTTCAGGAGTATTGCACGCTTTATGAACTTGATGCAGGTAAGTTCTAGTGAAAGCACCGTTCGAGGAAGAGAACTAACGTCTGTTAGCTGCACCCACCCATCCTCAACCAGCAAGCGATGCTTCCAATCCATCGGCTCAGCTCCTACAGCAGAGTGCTACTGTAACTCCCGACAGTCTTTCTACGAGAGCTAGCAACCCTAGTTCCCGGACCACTCCGGTTGCGATGGATATTGAGCCTGGGAACGAGGGGGCTCAAAATGTGACCCCTGACAAGACGGGGAGTCCTGAACTACCAAATAGCAACACGTCGCAAGATTCCTTTCAAGAACACCCTCCCAAGCGTCGAAAGATTATCAGGAAGAAGCAGATCCTTCCTGCTGAAATCTCTTACGTCGACCTTGCGCAAAGGGGGCATCAATTCCCCCCTCCTTCGATGCCGGTGACAGACGCATCGTCCTACATGATGGGGAACGACAGCACCATCCCAGATGCCAACGCTGACCTCGACCTGAACTACATCCCAGCAGGTCCCATTGTCCTTGGCGAATATACCGGCGGGTATGTGATCTTTGTGCCGACAAAGATGCCATCGTCTGCGGGTATCTCCGCACCGGCACCTCAGTTTATCAACACTGGTGCAAACCCCATCTCCCAGAGGCCCCAGTGGAAGCCCAATATGTCCGCTTCGATACTTGGACAGGCTCGTCGGTCTCAGCCCATATCCATGGCGAGATCCTGTCCACCAAACGCAGCGCCGGTGAAACAGCATTTCACCTTTATGGACAGCCAGGTACCGACGAACTTCGTACCAAACCCGGAAAATCATGCCAGGTGGACGATTGACAATGCGGGCAGACGGCACTATCTCAATGCACCAAAGAACAAGAGGCAGTTCATGCCGACGAATTAGTTTTATGGGCGGGCTCGGATTGGAGAGATATGTATGTTCTTGGAGAATTTGCAGCCAACTAGGCAGCTGGGGTTATTGCTGGTTACTATCGATCATCGTCTCATGGGTTCATCTACTTTTCTACAAGAACCGATAGTTATTATAAATTGAATTGTCTTGAAATGAACTGTTCGTGATGTCCAAGAAACCGCAGGTATCATATAAACTATCCAAATCCCAACGAGTTCCATAACAAAATACAAAATAAGCGCCAACTGAAGCTATCCATGCGTTCCACCTGTGTCAATGGATATCGAGGTGTGTAAAACACAAAAAGTACGAGGAATAGCAATAAATCCATACAATGTCATCAAAGACCTATAGTTACCTCCCTACCCAATCATGTCATGAACCACATCCTGTAGCACGGAGTTTTTGTTCAAGATCTTATCACTGCTCAAAAGTTTGCCGCCTTTCTTTTCAGGCTTTCTGAAAGCTTTGAAGGGGGCATTCTGATGCCTCTGGATCGGGCTCAGAGGGGACCGGGCCGAGTCTCCCCTCTGCTGCCTCGGTGCTGGGGGCATGGAGCTCTTCTTCGTCGTCTTCTTCTCGCGGGTGGGTGACTCCTGGCTAGGCAGCTGCGTGCTGCCCAGGGTTATTAGGTTTGCAAAGACATGGCTCTCGAGCGCGTGCCGTGGGAGATCATAGACCCATCCACGGTCCTCGACTAGCTTCACGTATCTGCCAAGCAGTTCGTTTCCGTCGCGTAGGGTGCTTTTGCTGCCTACCACGAGGAGCTTGGTGCGCGCTCTGGTGAAGGCGACGTTGACACGGCGCCAGTCGCGGAGCAGGTCGCCCACGTTCTTCTCCGAATTGCTGCGAACGCAGCTTAGGATGACGACTTCCTTGTCGCGCCCTTGGTATTTATCGGTGGTGTGCATCTCGAGGTCTGGGTGATGGTGCAGGTTCTGCTTGAGGAGAGAGAGCTGGCTACGGTATAATGTGATGACGCCGATGTCCCGAGCAGGCACGCCGCAGGAGATAAATGCTTCCACGAGTTGCGTACATAAGGCTGCTTCAGTATGATTAACGATTCTGGGTCCGTTGGCAGTGTCAAGGGCCGGGGTAATGAGGGTATCCGTATTCACCAGACGAGTCTTGGCTGAAGGCTCAAGCAGGTCGCGCAGCCAGCACTGACCCTGACTGGCCCCTGCACACAGATTCTGGTTACCAGGACCGTGTGGTAGATAATCTGTGTGGTGTTGGTGGAGACCGTCAATATTTGGAATCGTCAGTGAACGTGATGCAACAGCTTGCGTCCCGCACCTGAGACGTCCAGAGTAGATGAGCGTATTCGACAGAAGCATAATATCTTCGCACATGCGGTACTGGTGTTCGAGGTTGACCACAGAGTCGGGCTGGGAGTCGGAAAGATACTTGAACAGGCTGACGTCGAGTCCGCCCTCCTGGGCCTCTTTATTCTGCACAAGAGGCGGTAGTTGGTAGTGATCACCGACAAGAATGAATGTCCTCGCCATCCGAATCGGGCCTAGACAAACAGGAAGGGTGATTTGAGATGCCTCATCAACGATACAGTAGTCGAAGATGCGCTGGTTAAAGAGAACATGGTTGATCCCTAGACATGTAGTTGCAACCACCTGGGAGCCTTCATATGATTCCTTCAGCTCTTCGATAGAACTCTTGGCTGTTGCAGCTAGGTCTACAAATTCCTGTACTTCTGGATGCACCTTGGCGGTAGCTCCAATTCGCAGAATGCGGATCCCGTCATCTCGGATTTTGAGGAGGATATTATCAACTGCCGTATGAGTATACGAAGTCAATAAAACACTCTTCCCTTGTGCTACCAAGGCTCGAATGATGTGCGCGATGGTTGTTGTCTTTCCCGTTCCTGGCATACCAAGAACCAGAGCATAGTCACTGGCGCTCATAACCTTTTCAATTGCACGTCGCTGGTCGATATTGAGGCTTTCCTTAATGGAGCTCTGCATGATCTTGGCGGGAACCGCTGTTTTGAATGTAGGGGCAGACCCCTCAACGATCAGATCTCTCAGTCTCTTGGCTTGGAAGAGATCTTTCTCCATCAAGCAAATGAGGTTGTTCCGTACAGTAGCCATGCCGTTACTGAACTCGTCCTTGTCGAGGCGATAAATGACCTCTGTGTCAGGTTCCTCTTGTGAGATGGAGGAGGAACCGTCGTCTTTGGCAATCTCCATAATGCCCCTGAATGACTGGTTGGACACCGCATCGAATTTTGATGTCCTTGTCCTTGAGCCATGGAGCCTTCTATCCACAGCTACAGTGATGCGCCGAGGGCTGACTTTCATGACGTAGCCATTGGCAAGAGCAAAATGACCCTGTTCGTCAGAAACAACAATCGGCTCTCCTATCGTGATCTGTGACTCGACAAAAGAGAAACCAGAAGGGGACTGCTTTTTGACAAACGTGTATTGGTAGCGATTGATTTTGACCGCATGCTTGTCTTCGTGTGCTGAGCCTTGCTCGATCACAACATTACCAAAACATCGTCCGAGGGCCTCCCGTTCACTACTGACCAAAGTCCATAGCTCTCTTCGGAATCTCATCATACTTTGCTCCTCCTTGGTAAGTAGCTCATCCCACTTTCGGAAAAAGTCGCGGTGCTTTGGATTTAAATGGTCGACCATCTTAGTGAAGTCATCGCCGAGACCACTTGTTTCGCCGTCGCCATCATCTGCCAGCTTATGGTAAACGAAACAAGAAGTTTTTGCGTAACATTGGTTGCACATGCGTGGCTTCTTGATCATGGGTGGAAGTTTGAACCTCTCGCGCACATACCCGGCCAATCGGTTCCGTACTTGTATCATTTGAAGGAGTTCATGTCGGATTCCGCGGATGCGAATGGTCTTGGAGAGCTCGAGGTAGTAAAGAAGGCCGAAAGTCACGTCAACATCATAGCGATCGGTCATGAGTAGCGTGTAAAGAGCTGTTTGAGCTCGGTGGGCTTGGTTCGTATCACGTTTGCCGGTTTTCAATTCCAGAGGAACAACGAGCGTCTTGTCCTCGCCTTCGTCTTTACAGGAGATCTGGACAGTTGCATCGATGTTGCCTTTTAAACCATACATTGGAGACCATATATGCTCTTCAACTTCGAGCAACTTGTTGATACTCAAACTGAGCTGAGAGTTATTGCGATCTTCAACGACAGATCGGGCCTAAGCAGTCAGTCAGTTACCCGGGCAGGAGAAAGTTTCTTGCAACACGCTCGCCACGACTTACCGTGGGTTTGGCTTGGAGAAATACATCTGCCCATGCCTTCACCTCTGGGATTTTGTCCATGACATATTCAATAGCCTGCGGGACCGTCATTTGAATGACGTATAGATCCTCGATATGCCTTTGAACGATTGATTCGACCAGACTCCTCAGCGAATCGAGATCCCACTGGTTAGCCTTCATGGCCTCTTGAAAAACCTCATGAAAGATGTTCCCAAACACCTGTGGTTTGCCAAGGTCGCCAATTGCTTTAATTCGGTCCTGGAGAACAGCTCGCCGCTGGCAGCTGATCGAATCCGCCACGACAGTTGCAGAAATGAGGTGATCCGGATGGAGGATGATCATGTTGCTGGAGTCACTGACGATGCATTTTCCCGCAGCGTCAAAATCGCCTATTAAGTGGATATACGAATCTTTACTGCACGGGCTGTCAAACCATGACTCTCGTAGAATGATCACTTTCTGCAGCTTAGTCTTCTCTTCCTGGACGAACAACACCTGTCGGCCGGGTCAGTACAGAGAGATAGGGCTTTTGGTGGCGTATTGTGCGGCAAACCTGTTCTGCTTGAGTACGTCCCTTATGTGTGACATACATGCTCTCCTTGGTATCAACAATGAGATAACGTTTTATAGCTTGTCGACTTCTAAGCTTCTATATATGCTGTTCTTAGTAAATATACCTAGGAGTACTGGAAACTATGAGCGACCAACTTTGTTCAAACCCTCTTCAGCCGACTGCACCATAGACTGCTCAATTGCCTCCAAATCGAAATCATCATCATCAAACTCATCACTGGAGACGTTATCTTCAGATTTCTTCGCCATAGCAGTGCTACAGTCATCAATATTTGGCATATTCTTGCCAGTGCCAATAGCAGGCCTAGTGATGGCTCTGCTCGGCTTGGGAGATCCATGGCTTTCGTCAAACCCGGTCATAATGTCAGCCAGATTTTCCGAAAACTCATCGTCAAACTCGTCGTCATTAAAGCTGATTGTGGGTGTTTTTTTATCGTTTCGAGACACTGGCTTCTTCGTCTCATGCCCTGACTGCAGAAGCCTACCGTTCAAATGAGAAGTGTGGCTGTAGGTAACCGAGGACCCTTTGCTTGCTGCAAGCTCTCGATTATTCCGCGTTTCGAGTTCAGTGAAAGGGTCCATGGAGCTTTGAGCTAGCTCGAGAAAGTCGTTATCCAAGTCATCATCTCCAAATTCTGATGAAGACTCTTGGGGGCACATCTTCGTTTCGTTCTTGGCATACTTGATCTCCTTGGGGGACGTGTCTCTTTCAGAAACCTCTTGTTTCGCTGGAGGCTCCATTCTTTGCTTTGTCGGTGACATAGATTGACTACGGACCAGGCTCGTTCGCGCTGGTAAAGGTGAAAGACTTGATAATGCATCGGCCTCGGTCGGTTGTGGATTCTGGAGGCTTCTCTCGATCCTCTCGAGTAAGAAGTTAATTTTCGAGGATTTAGATCTGCCTGAGTCCAATACATTGCTTGTTGAGCGAGAAAATAAACTTCGTCCACTGTCCATGTCTCCTTTGGCAAGCCTTCGCCTCTTTGCCTTCGATGTGGGCCACTCGGCGTTGCAGCTTATTGATCTCCGCAGTCCTGACGAGTCTCTGCTTGCTAAAGCAGATCCAGGGGTCTGTGGTGATGATGATAGAAGGTTTGCGAAACGTGGTGGTGGGAGTTCCCCATTCTCATTGACTGTGCTTTTCCCAACATAGTTATTCCACAGATCAGTCGCGAGGTCATGTTGTGGGGTCTTCAACAAGCTCTGGATTGTCTGCAGATCGAACGTTTGCTTTGAAGTGTCTTTCGAGCCGTTTGCCAAAGGAGAGCTACCTGGGCTCGAACCATGACGCTTCCTTTTGCGGCGTGTTCCGGGTGTTTGAGATGTCGGGTCCTGGTTGGAGCTCGCAGGCACATGTTGCCAGATAACATGATCGTCAGGTGTAAACTCTTGCCCCGGGGCGAGGCTGAAGGCATCTTCTGTATTGCTTATTAAATCGGCGAGAGGAATTCTGTTGCTCGCTGGGGTCTGCGGGCATTCCTTGATTGATTTGGCGTCTGTTCGCGCTGATTGTTTGCCATTGGCTGAGTGTAACTGGGTTGGCTCGACGACACCATTGGCCCATGAATTCTGATTTTCTTTATTATCGTGAGCGGGCTTGAGAGGTGCCTTGGTTGGTGATTGTTCCTGGGCCTGGTCGTCTCTCGGCTCATTGTACCGGAACGCGTTGAGCTTCGTTCGTGAATTGGAGGATATAGGGTATGGCCCCGGTATTCCAGACATGATTCCGTATCCGGCGGCGTTCAATGTTTCAAGAGAGGAAGAGTTGAAGCATTTTCGAAGATTTGAAGGCTGTTAGCAATCAAGACAATAGACTCGAGCAGAACCGGTTGCTTTCTAGTCGAATGGCGATCGTCGATGCGGTCGGTTCTTGCTATTCTAGCTGGAATTTCATGGGTTAGAGAAACAAATCGCAAGGAAATCTCAGACACCTTACAGTTCGTTTGCTTTGATGAGAATCGATTGTTGTTATTCCATGGCTTGTCGCCTCTGACAGGGGATGAAACCCCCGCGGACGCGTCGCGCGTCAAGTGCAGGCGTTTGCCCTTGAGTGGTTCTGCCTCGTATTTCAGGCGTAAATCTCATTAATTACCTTGGTACCTAACTGACCAATGATTTTGTCTTTACAAACACGAGACAGGACTGTTTGCTATTGAATATATAGATTGATTTTATAGAAGCTTAGTACCTAATCATTTCCTATAGAAGATCTCCCCCTATAAGATGCACATATCTATTGCATACATAAGTACCCTGTATAAGTGAGATCATGGCCAATAGAGTTGATCCTAATACAGAGCACCTGATGTAGATGATAGCTAATTTAAGTAGAATCTAGATCACTATCTAGTTATTCTTTTATAAAATACTATGACTTTTAGTACTTTAAGACTGGGAGGTGTGAAAAAGAACATTTAAAACAGTCGCAATATCCATACTTTTGCAAACTTAAAGCAGCATGTTGCCAATGTCACCCCCTTGTAAAGCGGCATGTGCATATAGCCGGAAAAAGAATAGCGTATCCAGTGACTCCAAGCTCCATCGGGCTTTTGCGGCTCTGAACATCAACCGCAGACTCCAAACACCCCTCCACAAACTGCAGCCGCGACCTCAGGAGCTAGGCTCGAAGACGATCAATTGCCTCGACTGTCATTTCGCCGGTCGAAAGGGCTTTGTTAACCTCGATTTCTCGGGCCTTAAACACGCCAGGTTGTGCCACACCCTGATCCAGCGATCCCACGAAATCCCCCACCCGACCGACGTCCACATTTCAGAATGACTGCCCGACCATTATCGCAAGCCCTCCGTGCCCGTTGCCTTCGTCGAGGGCCCCAGAGCGTCCATGGTTTCTCTACTCGGAGTGCCCTGCGCTCTGCTGACCACTACGACCCTCCCAGCGGTTATCTGTTCGGTGTCAAGCCCGGCCAGAAGTACGTGAAGGAAGGCTGGGAGAACATTTGGTACTACGGATTCATTGGCAGCTTGCTCGTGGCTGGCGTCGCATATGTTTTCAAGCCTGATACCTCGTATGTACACCCTGTTTCCTCTTCATCTGCACCGATAGGGATGATCCCTAAGAGCGAGCGAATCAACGTTGAGAATTGACATGCTAAAAAACTCTGTAGGATACAGACATGGGCCTTGGAAGAAGCGCGACGGAGGCTGGAAGCTGAGGGCATCCTGGAGGATCCCCAGAGGAAGTAACAGCTTTTTCGTCTCCAGAGCCTCTGTACAATGTACATAGAGAGATCAGACAAGGGGGTCGTTTTCTATTAAAGGCTTTCGCCACCTGTTTGTTACAGATAGAGAGGTGCCACACTGGTTTAGATTGGTTCCTTTACTATCGTCTCCGTTTCCTTTGTTTCTTACTGCAGTACTCGTCTTCGTTTCCTTTTCCTGTTTTCTCATGTATTCTGCTGTCATAGTACCCTAACTGCTTTTCTATCGACCGAAAGAAACCAGCTTATGATGAGAGTCCTTCAAAATAGCTTTCTCGACGAGCTTTGAGCTGAATGGCAAAGATGAGTTCATATGGTAGTGCATGCATCTATAATCACTCCGACGGGAGTCTATATACGTCGCTTCGCGAACACTATACTTCGGGATATACATCGGTTCTTCTGAGTAGCGGCATTTCCGCCCTCACCTTCGCCACTAGACTGAGGTCGATATCAGCCGTGGCAATCTGAGGCTCGGAGAATTCATCGCCGAGACGGGCCACCACTTCTCCCCAGGGATTGACAATCAGGGAATGGCCGTAGCTTCTCCGTTTCTCGTTATGCGGCCCCGCCTGCGCTGCGGCGATCACATAGGATTGCGTCTCAATTGCCCTTGCACGAAGGAGTGATTCCCAATGTGCTGTACCTGTTGGGACAGTGAATGCTGAAGGGTAAGTGATGATTTGCGCATTTTGACGCTTCAAGGCCAAGCTGATCTCAGGAAAGCGCAACTACACATATTAGAAAGCAGCCCATAACTAGGTAAAATGACTGGCCGGAAGCTCACATCGAAGCAGATGGCAAGGCCTACTCTTCCTACCGGAGTCTCGAAAGGTGGGAGAATCTCTGAACCCTTTTCAACACTCCTATAGTCGAGTTAATCAGGTTGGGGGGCAGATTCACCTGATTCAAACTTACGCGCTCTCTTTCAAGATCGGTCCATCTTTAATTTCAACATCAAATAAGTGGAGTTTCTGGTAACGCTGTACGATCTCTCCATTCTCGTCAATCCATATCAGCGTGTTCTTCAGCTTCGTCCCTCCTTGGGCGGGCTCATGTATTCCAACATTGATGGGTAGCTTCGAATTCTTGGCCTCTTTCTGCAGGCCTAACACGAATTCGCTTTCCTGCACAGAGCGCGCAAGCGAGACTGATTCCGCAGCTGAAGAGCCGATGTAGTCCGAAGCTTCGGGAAGAAACAGTGCCTTATCTGATCAGTCTCGGTTGCTAAGAAACAAAACTTGATTTCGGAAGAGCACTTTTTCTCATACTTTTGCACCAGCCGCCACAGCCTTTTGTACGAGGACCTGGCATTGCGCCAGGTTCGCCGACATACTGGCTGTAGAGCATATCTGTCCCACGGCCTATCAAACGGTTCGATCAGTATACCTGAGGCAAACACAAGTAAGATGTAAATAGAAATTTCCTCACTGCGATAACCATTTTTGAAGAGCCTTCTAGCAAAGAGACCGTCTTTTTCTTTTCCGTAACAGAGACGTGGAAACTGCTGTCCTTGGTGGGCTGAATACGTCCTGGCTTGACGTGATTGATAAGCCCCGATATGGTCGTATCGGTAGAGCTTCCTGATTCGGCAAAACTTGCTGCTGCCGTTCCTTCAAGCACCGTGAGACTTCAGACCGTGGGACAAAGCCCCTCCTCCCTCCAGCACATTGCCAACACCACTGAAGGGGTTCTTAAGCCAGTCTTCGTGTTTCCATTTTTCTAAAGAACCTGTACGGTGCGAGACCGCAAGGTTTTTCGGCAAGATGAAGAGTTTGCGAAGGGATTTCTCGTCAAATCCCCAGGCCGCAAATGTGAGCAGCAAGGTCTTCGTGCGGTCCACGAAGAGCGGCAAAGTCCAAAAGATTGTGCGAGAGCTTTATCTGAGACAAGATATTCCCTGCTCATCGAAGCTCTGTTCGATATGTCCTGCGACCGCGCCCGCTGATGCGAATGGGAACAGTACGCAAGAAAAAAAAAATGCAAGTGACATGGCTCTAGGGTTGATAGCTGACAATGAATAGTTGCACCCTTCGTACTGTCCGATCGCCCAGCTGGCACTGCCTCATTTCCTCGCGGCCATTACCTTGTCCCTGATACGAACGCGTTACTAAATGGAATGGACCTTTTCGAGCAGACAGGGGCATTCTATGACGTGATCATCCTCCAGACGGTGTTGGAAGAGCTTAAGAACCAGTCGCTTCCTTTGTATAATCGCTTGGTCGCTTTGATCAAAACCGACGAAAAACGATTTTACCTCTTCTTCAACGAGTTTCGGCTGGAGACTCACGTCCGCAGAAATCCGGAAGAATCGATCAACGATAGAAACGACCGGGCGGTACGCACAGTGGCAAGATGGTATGACGAGCATCTTCGCGCGGCTACAAGACATACAAAGAGAGAAAAGATGGTTCCATCGATAGTCGTCATAACGGATGACAAGGAGAATATACGCAAGGCAAAGGAAGAGAATGTGACAGCTTTATCGCTACAAAACTACGTCGCTGGCTTGGAGGATTCGGACAGACTGCTTGATATGATCAATGAATCAAGAGAGGCCAAGGAAACAAAGGGTGCACGCGGAGAGCTTTTTTATCCAGAGTACTATTCCATGTCGAAGATGATGACTGGTGTCAGGGCCGGTACACTCCATCAGGGCATTTTCAATGTGTCTCCTTATAACTATCTGGAAGGATCAGTCAACGTCCCTGCCTTTGGCAAGCCTCTGCTCATCCTTGGAAGAGACAACAGTAACCGAGCTATCGCCGGCGATGTTGTTGTCATCGAGGTTCTGCCGAAGGATCAATGGAAGTCTCCTTCAACCAAGATTGTGGACGAAGAAGCGGTGACAAAAAACGATAACCCGGATGCAGAGGATAACGAGGAAGTTGTGACAGAGAGAGAGCGGAAGGCCCTCCAGGAAGAAGTGAAGAAGGCTCACGGTAAGAACTCGGAGGGACGGCCACAGCCTACTGCAAAGGTTGTCGGTATCATCAAACGGAACTGGCGGCAATATGTCGGCCATGTTGATTCAGGTTCCACAGGCACCCAAGTGAACTCTGGCCGGCGGCAACAGAACGTTTTCGTTTTGCCTATGGATAAAAGAGTTCCTAAGATTAGGGTGCGAACCAGGCAGGGCGCCGAGCTCGTAGGTCAGAGGATCCTGGTCACTATTGACGCCTGGGATCGAGACTCGAGATATCCAACCGGCCATTTTGTCCGGTCTTTGGGAGAGCTCGAAACCAAGGGGGCCGAAACGGAGGCTCTGCTTTTGGAATATGATGTCCAGTACAAACCATTCCCAAAGGCCGTGTTGGATTGCCTTCCATCAGAGGGACACGGGTGGAAGGTCCCCGCAAGCAAAGATGACATCGGCTGGAAGGGCCGAAGAGACCTAAGGGATCTGTTGATTTGTAGCATCGACCCTCCCGGATGCCAGGATATCGATGATGCTCTACACGCGCGACCTTTGCCTAATGGAAATTTCGAAGTGGGTGTCCATATTGCCGACGTGTCGCATTTTGTGAAGCCAAACAACCCCATGGACCTGGAAGCCAGTGTTCGTGGAACAACCGTTTACTTGGTTGATAAACGTATTGATATGCTTCCAATGCTTCTTGGTACAGATTTGTGTTCTCTCAAACCCCATGTGGAGCGATATGCTTTCTCTGTCATCTGGGAGGTGACTCCTAACGCGGAGATTGTCTCTGCTGATTTCACCAAATCCGTCATCTTCTCTCGCGAGGCATTCAGCTATGAACAAGCCCAGAAGCGTATTGATGACCCGTCCCAGAAAGATGAACTTACTCAAAGCATGCGGACGCTGTTGCATCTCTCCAAGGTTCTCCGTCAGAAGCGTATGGATGCAGGAGCATTGAATTTAGCTTCGCCAGAAGTGCGAATCGAGACAGACAACGACGAAGTTGGAGACCCACTCACTGATGTTAAGACAAAGGCCATGCTTGCGACAAACAGCCTTGTCGAAGAGTTCATGCTTCTAGCCAACATTACCGTCGCCTCCAAGATCTACAGCGCCTTCCCGCAAACAGCCATGTTGAGACGACACGCCACTCCTCCGCCTCAGAACTTTGAAGAGCTGACGAACCAACTCGCTAAGAAACGGAACTTGGAACTGGACGTCTCAAGCTCCAAGGCTCTCGCCGATTCTCTTGACCACTGCGTTGATGAGGCGAACCCGTTCTTCAACACATTGGTTCGCATCCTTGCCACGCGCTGTATGACATCCGCGGAATATTTCTGTGCCGGAGCACACGCAGAGTCTGAGTTCCGCCACTACGGTTTAGCGTCTCCGATCTATACCCATTTCACTTCTCCCATCCGTCGGTACGCGGATTTGCTAGTCCACAGACAACTTGCCTCTGCGATTGGCTATGAAGGCGAAGATGGGCGCGCCGTCATCGAGGGTGTCAGCACGCGCAACAAGCTCGAGGATATCTGCCGCAACATCAACTACCGCCACCGGAACGCCCAGTTTGCGGGACGTGCAAGCATTGAGTACTACGTTGGACAGGCGCTCAAGGCGCGTAGCGAGAAGATGTCTGTTGGCGGCGTGGACTCCGGCATCGAAGAGCAAGGGTACGTCATGCGTGTCTTCGAGAACGGGGTGGTCGTCTTCGTGCCCCGGTTTGGCATCGAGGGTGTCGTTCGGCTAGAGGACTTCTTACTCCCAGGTGAATCTGTGGGCGGCTCGGTCGAGGAGAGGAAAACCCTAGCAGTCCGTCGCGAGACGGACTTCGATAGTGAAGAGTACACTCTCCGAGTGTGGGAAAAGGGCCAAGCGGATCCGAACCGCAGTGTCACCGTGGAACTTTTCCAGAAGGTCCAAGTCAATGTCAGTTCTGTCAAGGAGGAAGGCGGCCGAGGCGCAGGAAAGAGGAAGGTCAGAATATTGATCATGGGCTCGGAAAAGTAATGGAGAGTTTTTTCTTATATTGGAACAATTTAAAAAAAAAAAAAAGTACAGGATATTGTATTGTCTATGTATGATACCTATAGACTTTGAGCTGAATGTTTGTAACGATCCAAGTCTATATTTTTGTTTTACGGCTGAAATATGTTCAAGAACACATAAGTTTTCAAACTCGCTTTAATGCTACCATCTTACAAATCACAGAAGCCGGGGACCATAGCCCGCTCATCGAATCTCCCTGGTGATTGGGCTGGTTTTCCATCTCGTTCCGAGGGCAGGTCGGGCCCTGCGAGGTTCCCTCAGCACCGAGGCTTTGCTGTTCTGCATGTGCAAGCTCGCCCAGTTTCCAGCCACGGACAATCCACAAGCAGCAAGCAGCGCCGATGTACATGAAGCCAGCGAAGATTTGTACTCGTAGATAAGCGTGGTCTTTGGACGAATTGGTACGTAGCATGAGGGCAATGGCCTCTGACACGGTAGTTGGGGGGATGAGAACCATCCAGGAGATACTGAGTCCGCTGGGAAGCTCTCTCAAGCCGATGATCTCGGCCAGGACGGGGGCGACAGTGGCCCAGAAGGTTCCTGAGACGGTGCCGACCAGGACGGCGAAAAAGCAGACGACGCCCATAGTTCGGGCAAAGATCCAGATGACGAGGCAGAACAGGCCGCAGAGAAAGGTGAGCAAGGTGGCAACGTTGATGCGGCCGATTTTATCGCTGAAGATGCCCACAAATGGACGACCGAGGCCTTGTCCGAGATTCAACAGCGCACTGACGACACTGGCCTGGTGGGAAGACAGTCCGATAGACAGGGCATAATCCGCCACGCTGAACAACAGAGCCACGTAGCCAAGCATGCTCAAGAAGCCCCAGGCGAGATAAAGGACAAATTCAGGGCGTTTGAAGAGTGGTAGATGGAAGGATCGAAATCGGCTTCCCACAGCTTTGTTGCGGTCCTTGATCAAGTTCGCGCAAATCAGGTTCACAACAAAGGAACAGATCGCCAGGACGCGAAAGGCCCAGCCGATCCCAAACCTCGAGAGGAGAGCGCCCACGGCCAGCGAATAAACTAGGCCTCCTAGCCCAGACCCCCCGGCCGTGATCCCCATCGCAAAGCCCCTGCGTCTCACAAACCACTGCGGGATTACACCTATCGTCCCGACGAAGAGAAAGCCCATGCCACAACCGAAGCAGACTCCCTGGCTGAGAATGATGTGCCATTTCTGAGTCGCGAACGAGGAGCTGATCAAGGACAGGGTTTGGAAAAAAACGCCGAGGTTGAGAACAACACGAGTCCCCCAGGTACGGATCATATAAGTGGCGATCGGTGCCATCAGAAGGGCACATGAGATACTCAGGCCGCCGGTGAAGGCATACGTGAGCTCCGAGGTATCGGGAAAGACATTATGGGAGAGGTAATATGATAGAAAAACGCCATAAGTCTGGCAGAATGTTAGTACTCTTCTCTTCTTCTTCTTCTTCTTCTTCTTATTACACCGACCAGGTAGCATCCAGTTATAAAGACTGAGAGAGACATACACTATTAATCCCCCAGGAATGAGCATTGATCCAGAAGACACAGACTACACACACCCAGCCATAGCCGCCATCAGGGGGGACGTCAAGGTCAGGCTTCTCATCTTCAACTAGATTCTCTTGTGGAATCTTCTCGGTTGTGCGATCTGGCTGTGATTCCCGCCTGTAGATTTCGTTGTCCGAGAGGATGCTTCTTTCAGTCTCTAGGTTGTCCATCGTCCTAGGAGCAAAAGAAAAACAGAGTAAGCAAGCGATCAGAGGCAGTGAAAAAGAATCAATTAAAGCTCAGGAGAAGTTTGCCGGCCTATCGACAATGACCTGCATGGCTCCCCTCCCAGCCGAAGACATGGTATTCGTATTGGGCCAGGATCTCGTTTCCACGTGGGGGCGAGAGAGGGGAATCAGGGATAATATGTAGGATTGCTCCTCCGTACATCCATAATCCTGGTTGAAATCCTCGCAAGCTCACTAGTGGCAATATTTCATAGAAACGATGACTCGGTTATTGTGCCGAACAGGAGTGGAGATCGGAGATTTTACCAGGAAACATGGAGAAGTAGTTACTATGTACTAGTACATACCCCATACGGAGTAAGTTGTAACTAACTGTTGTGTGGTTACTAGTAAAGGATAGAATAGAATGAAGAGCTGAAGGTTGCAGTGGTGATTCCTACCATTAGTTATAACTACGCCATCCTATATATTAATTAGGTAGTTGTCAATAGGATATCATTTCCTTCCTGCCTGATCCGGGCAGTGCAACCGTACATATGATGCCAAGACTCGGGAGTCAGGACTGCCACTGTGTCACATGACGTTACATGTGACCGAATATAGAGTAGTTAGTACACAGATCTGAGATAGCTGAATGGACAATATGAGCTGAGCCGAGCATTTCTTACAGGCCTTAGGCCTCCGATGTCTTTAGGCGGGCTGTAGATCAATCATGCTGTGTTCGTAAGGCTCAAGGCTTATCTCTATCAGATCCTCGGGTTGCCTCGCGACAGGCCGGTTTGTTTGTTTTGCATCCAAGACAAACACCCGATGAGTTGTCGCTGCCCGAACGAACGAGTCATAGCTTCTTCAGCGTTCACCCCTCGATCTCCCCTTCACTAGGAGGAAAAGAGTCAGATTGGGCTGCCGATTAGAGCCTGCTTAGGTAAGTACAAGGTAGTCCACCTTGCCAGGTTGTTTTCCCTCGCTTAGGCAGGCTGATTGGCCCAGGGTAGCTGACCTCCGCTCTCCTCTCTGGTGTGGTGTTCCTTATCGTCGTCCCAGGCAAGGGAAAGCGACCTGATACCATCCTTGATGCTGGCTGCTTCTGCCCGAAGCACTTCAATCCCCCGTCAACTCGGCATTCTTCGTGATTCCCAGGGTGACGGATACGAGCGATTTCTTTTTGATTTAACCGACACTGATCTCTGGCCGCCACCATGATGAATAAACAGAAGATGAGAGATGGCCAAAGGAAGGTCTCTCCACCGGGTCCTAGTTATATGTCGCATGATCAGATTGGTAAAACCCTCCTTGGAAGGAAAGATTTTTGTTGGATGAGGTTTAGTTAACACGTAGTTGGCTAATAGCAACCTACTTGAACGATCTTCGGACAAACCGACCAGCTCGCCCCAATGGATCCAGGCCTTTGCCATCCAAGACGACTACCTCAACATCGAGCATTCATGATACCCTGCCTCCACGAGCCTCATCTGCAATGTCATCATACAGGCAGCAAGGGGTCCCCGAGACGGCGGGGGAAGAGAGGCCCCGTGCTGCGAGTGCTCTATCCCACCGCCGAGCCAACTCGCAGATGTCTATGGGCAGCTCGGCGGGCCGTCCATTAGTCCAGGAACCAACCTCGGCCACGGTGCGAAAGCATGTTTTCCCTACTCAGATCTCGGTCCAGACGGTTCCCCTACCTCAAAATACTACATACAGAGAGAGTGGTCAGCGGCGGAAGGAGAAAGAGGAAGCACGTTCGCTCCGGGATGCCTTGGAGGAAATGGATCTTCAAGACGAAGTGAGAATTCACCAGGCTGCCCAGGACGAGGCCTCGGAACTTGTTTGGATGCATCAACATCCGGGGGTACCCTTCAAGAACCCGATGGCTCCCTACCGCAACCCTGACTTTGATGAAGACGGTCAAGAAATCGGCATCAAAAAGTCGACCACAAACTCTAGTCGCGGGATGAGAAGTAGCATATCTTCTCCCCCCAGGCGGAAAAGTTATCGTTCTGCGTCAGACAGCTCTTCGGGTAGTCACGACCATAATGTGACCGATGGAATTCCAGGCACTGTGACCGGATCACCTGCAAAGAAAAACAGAGTGAACTTTGCCTTACCTCCAGAAGAGATCCCAGAGGAAGAGAATAGTCCTTCAAGTCCAAGAGTTCATGGCCATGATTCGTCTAAGTACGGCATCTTCAGAAACCCAAGCGACCAGATTTATGAGGAACCAGAAGGTCACGATGCCAAACCACAAGGTCCACCTCGGTCCATGTCCATCGGTGCTTTCTCTTCAGCATTGCGGGTTAAACCACGGAATTCGGTTCTTCGGGGGGCCCGACCCATACCTGGGAAGCCCGACGGAACTTCATTTACCGACAAGCTGTCTCGGTTTGAGATACACAAGAATCCCCCCACCCAGTCGAGGAACCCTCTGTACAAAACGAACGCACCTGGAGTACAGGTACAGCCGGATGAGAAACAAGAGGAGAGCAATACTGTTTCCACAAAGGATGGCATTGAGATACGCAGTGATGACATACGTGCCGCTACCAGCAAGAGGCTCAAGGACCGGAGTTCGAATCTCCCCATGCCCTCAGCTGTCAGTGATCGTCCCGGCCGCCCAATTGTGAGTTTCGATCCCACTTGGAAATCAACAGAAGTGGATCCCATGAGAGACCGAGATATCATCGGCAGTCAGAAACCAGTGGCCTCTGTTCCTGCGCCCACGCTTCCTGATATTCAAGTTTCTGAGGCTCCATCGGTACCAGTGATCAATCTTCCATCTGACAAGGAACCCACCATCGCGGAAATCTCCCCACCCCCACAAGACGACAGAAAGAAGGAGTCGCGCCCACTGCCACAGGCTATAAGAGGTGCTCCTAGCAAACCCTTTGCCTCTAAGCTCCCTCAAGCAGCTTCAGCCGACCGCTGGTACACACCCTACGCCAGGCCTGGTGTCCCCACCGCGAAATGTGCAGCGTGTGCGCTCCCCATAGCCGGAAAAATCGTGACTGCAGCAAATGCCCGTTTCCATCCCGAATGCTTCACTTGTCACCATTGCCATACGGCCCTTGAGTGTGTCGGTTTCTACCAAGAACCAGAAGCGAAGCGAAACGAGAGACTTGTGGATGTCTCCAGCTACGATGAGGAAGCACATGCGTTACGGTTTTATTGCCACCTTGACTTCCATGAATTGTTTAGTCCCCGCTGCAAGAGCTGCAAAACGCCAATCGAAGGTGAAATAGTGGTGGCTTGCGGAGCTGAATGGCATGTTGGCCATTTCTTCTGCGCGGAATGCGGCGATGTATGATAGCCTCTTTCTTCAAGTCTGTCTGTGAGGTTGCTAACTTTGACAATAGCCCTTTAACTCAACAACACCCTTCGTGGAAAAGGAGGGTTTTGCTTGGTGCCTTCGCTGCCATTCTCGCCGCTCTGCGCCCCGCTGTCTTGGCTGCAAGCAACCTGTCCTGGACGAAGTCGTCATCTCCGCAATCGGAGGCCAGTGGCATGACAAGTGCTTTGTCTGTCATGAGTGTGGCGACGGGTTTGGGCCTGAAGGTAGATTCTTCGTACGTGAAGGGCAACCCAAGAGGACAGCAAAAGGCCGGATAATCGGTGGCCCCGTTCAGCTTGCAGTATGTGAGCGGTGCGAAGGAATTCGACTCAAAGCGTCTCCTTGACCGAACGAATCCCTGCTCTTTCTTCTTGCTTTGCGTTACATCAACAAGGCCCCATCCCCGATGATTTTCTTTTCTGCGCAGATGGTAAGAAGACCTGGCTTGGTCTCAAATGCTCCATTACTTCTGGAAAACTCGTTTCTTGATCTCTGGTTTTGTTTTTTTCCCTTGATATTTCATTTTCCTTTCCTACTCTTTATTATATGCATCTAGCAAGCGGCAATTCTGCATTGGAATGATCAATGAATCCCCAGATATAAATGATTGTTGATGAACTATATTTGTATGTCTTTCGGCTTTCAGCGGGTCTTGTTTTTTTTTTTTTTTTAATGCTTCTAGCATCTAGTAATTGGATATTCCTTGCTATATAAATATCAAGTATCCCTCTGTCATTTCTCTTTTATGGACTGACTAACAAGAAATAATATATAGTCTTGAGCATTAGGCGTTGATAGTTCAAGAAGAGCCTCGGAAGCTACTGTATTAAATATAAACAATAGTATCTATTCTTATTTTTTGTTCAAGCAGGCCACTCTGGGTCCGCCTTTCGTCGAAACACAGCAACATATTTGTTGCCCTTATTTCTGGCGACTTTCTTCCCTTCCTCTGTGGATATTTTCATGACTTTGACACACTCATCCTTCTCCAATTCTTCATCCGAGACCCGTTCCCAGAGATCTTTGATGCCCGTGTCTGCGACCTGTTCGGCCGGTTCCGCCGCATCGGCGGCCACTTCCTCTCCACTCTGTGAGTGGAAATGTCTCAGGATCCAGTGATGGTACTCCTCGACGTCGGTGATGGTGTACAGAAGGCCGCCAGGACGCAAGGCATAGGCGTATTCCGCATTGAGGGTTTCTGAAATGATTCTCGCCTTGTGCTTGCGAGCCTTGAAGTGCGGATCGGGGAAGCAGATGAAGATCTTAGACAGTTGGTGGCGGGTGAAGAAGTTGGGGAAGAATTTCATGGTATTACTGCGAATGGCGGAAATGTTTTCATATCCTCCAGGCACAAGAGATGCGGGACGCGCCGGAGGAATCTCAGAGGCATCAGACGGCGATGCAGCGTCGGTGCCGGAGGGTTCTGCAGGCTGGGGTGTAGACGAAGGAGTCTTGAGCTGCGCTTGCTGAGTGCGCAGAGCCTGGATACGCGTGGTCACGTATTCAAGAACCGAGATCCGGATTTCCATGCCTGCATGCAAACGGCATATTGGATTAGTTTTGGGTACCGGAGCTGGGGGAAATAAAGGGAGATGCGCACCCAGAATCAAAGTCTGCGGCAAGACGGGAGCGAGCCCGACCAGCAGTCCTCCGAACCCACAGCCGATATCTACCACTTCAACATCTCTGACCAGGCGTCGTTCGCCATTAATGTTCGCCTTGGAAGTGTCTGGATCGATATATGCGGGGAAATGAGAGGCCCAGTCCATATGCGCCGGGCTGATAGGGCTGTTGTTGTGCGCATCAAGAGTCAGCGAAACATCCATAGCCTTTTCCCGCCTTCGGAACAGACATACTAGTCTAGTTGATGATCAGAGAAGGGATTTGCGTGCGCGCGCTGGCGGTAGAACTTTTTCTGAGGCAGCTTGACTCCTCCTTCATTCTGAGCTGCTTGGGCTCGGCGATATTCCTCCCGCTTCTGACGTTTTGCTGGTGGGCCAGCCATTGTGTGGAATTGGCAGAAGGGAGTCAATTGTTTAGAGATAAAAAGGCAGAACAGGGACCGTTGTCGCCTTTCCGCAATTGAGAGCTCTTCCGGCGTTTGTGTGAACGTGCTGCTCTGTCTGTCGGCCTGGTGGTGGTCTGCGGAGGTGGAATTTTTTTGGGGGACAGACGGCAGATGACGCTGTGGAGGAACCCAGCTTCAACCCCCCCCCGAGTCGACGCTTATCTTAATATCTACCCACCACCTGGACAAGCACTCTCCAGTCAGCTTCCAAGTCTTTTTTCTTCTCTACTTAACGGGGCTTGAATTATATTCATCTGCTTGGTCACACACTACTCTCTCTGATCACCGGGAACAAAGTTTACAGCCAATTAGTTACCTCTCTCACCTCAAATTGCGGCGGGGGATCCTATGACCAACCCCGCTATATCGTCGTTAAGATTGACCCCAGCAACAACAACGATCGTTCAAGGTCCCTAGAAATTATCTGGAGAGATGGCGAGCGCGTCTCAATTACCAACTATTCCTGTCCCAGGAACGACAACGCCCTTCCAGTTCCCGCCCACGTATTCCTTCCCTCCCTTCTTCACCCCTCAGCCGAACAGTTCGACGCGGCTCTCCCAACTTCAGAAATGGTCATCGCTCATCCAGTCATGGTGCCGACATCACCGGGTCTATCGGCTCTCTCTCATCGAAGCGGTCGAGAGCCCTCTCTTCCACAACGCCGCGCTGCGAAAACGAATCAGTCTCAGCGAGGCACGCGCGATTCTGGACTGGATGGCGCGCGGAGAGGAAGAAGGGGGTGGAGGCAAGAGGTCCGAATGGATCGACGGCGGGAATAAAACGATGGCTTGGATTTGGTGGAGGAGACCGGAAGAATGGGCGGGTATCATCATGGACTGGGTACGTCTGTCCTCTCAGTGGTTATAAAGGTTTCTCTTGCTGATGCTCACTGCAGGTCGAAGGAACCGGACAGAAGAACATGGTCCTCACGGTTTATGAATTAGTGGAGGGTGAAGGTACTATGTCTCAAGGTATGATGGCTTTGGATTGTGGGTGTGACCTCTGCTGACTCAACCCTCCAATGTGCAGAATTCCATGGCATGGACTCCGACATCATGCTCAAATCTTTGACTATCCTCGTTAAGCGTGGAAAAGCACAGGTCTTCGGGAGCGAGGGCCAGGAAGGTGTCAAGTTTTTCTGAATCACAAGATACCATCACACTCCAGGACATCTATTCCATCTAACCGACACAATGTTCAATTCATTGGTCTCCTGTGAGCCAGTTGTTCCCCGAATTACAAATGATTTACCGGCCTTGTTTGTGGCCGTACAGATGAGAATTATGCAGACATGTACAGGTATCAAACGAAGTTGACCGGATCAGACCCAGAAGGAAACAATGTACGCGGTCTGTCAGACAACGATGCGAAAATCACAGAAAAACACCAGGAATCAATCAATGGTCGGCCTGCGGATTTGAATCCTCGCTCAACTCATATTCCTCGGCTCGGTGCAGCTCCTGGGACATAGCGATGTCGAGAAGCCAATCCACGTGAACAATACGAGGTGTTCTGCCGATATCATACACCATCTGACGAAATCGCGGCCATAGTTTCGAGTGGTCTGGGGTTTGGCTGCTGAGGAGGCAAATCTCACTGCGCCCTTTGTTGCTGGCATTCATATCGTCGTCGTCCTCACTGTCCTCCGCTGGACTTGCGAGGGTAATACGCCCTCGGAAGATGGCACATTTTCCGCCGTTCGCCTCCACGATGGACTTGAAGGTGTCAAATCCTCCACGTATGGATTCAACACAGTATATTCGGTAGCCATCCAGAAGTTTATTCTTGTTTCTCTTCGCTTTGATAGTCGCCTCTGCAAGGGAGAATCCGAATTTTTCCTCCGACGCTTTGTCCTGCAGCGGGAAGGCCGAAGGGTCGAGTAGTTCGTCTTTCTTGAGGCACTGGGTAATAAAATCAGTGCTGACAATAGCTGGACCATACGCAAGCGCGCTGACAAATTTCGGGGTTCGCAAGATGGACGGAGCAGCTAGATGAGTACACTTGCGCGCATCCTGCACAACCATGATACCCAGTTCTCGCAGTTGTCGCTGTCATATGATTAGAGCTAGAAAAAAGACAATGGATGATCTTGAAAACAAACCTTATCTGCATCCTCCTTCTTTGGGTTCTGCACCCATTTCTGGTATCCGGTAATCAACAGACATATGGAGACCGGACACCGCGATTTCTTCTGCCTCTTAGAATCTGTGGCATTCTCCTCATCGCGGTTCTCGTCGAGCGGTTCGACAGACCGGCGCTTCTTCGTACCGATCGATATCCGGTCCTCGTCCGTCTTCCGCCGACCGCCATAGATAACGCCTCCGACACGCTTCATCTCCTTTTCGTACAGAGCGATATCAGGCGCGATCTCCTGCAGCCGCGCAGCGGCGGTCTCTTTGGACTTGCGGCTGCTGGTAGACGATGGGGTGTCGTTTTCCTTACCGCCAGCGACGATCCGAGACCGTGCTGGTGTTGTGAGTAATTGTACATTGTCCATCACGCCGATCCTTCGTGTCTTCTCGGTGGTTCGGGGGGTGGCATTGTCTGTGTCCCGGGAGCTTCCTTCCGATTTTGTCGTCTTTTCAGTCCGCGGCAGCATAACACTAGGTTTGGCATCGGTTGTGGAATTCTGGCCCTTGTTCTGTATGGCATTGCGAGGGCTCTGGGGATCATTTGAAGGGAAAAAAAGACTCTCGAGGACGGTTTTGTCTAGTCTAGTCTGACCAACGATCTCTCCGAGGTTCGTCCGTTTGGGGAAATGCGTATAGCGAGGATCGGTGACAGATTGTTTTTTCCACTTTGAATAACTTTCCTCCAGCCAGAGATGGTTGACAACATCCATGCCCCATTCCCGTGCTGCTGTACATTTCTCGCTATTCCCGTGAGCGGTAATCAGATGGGTGTTGTCCTGCTTTAATGTTTTGGTACACTCGGCACCAGTGGCGGCGATAAGATTCTCCAGATAGGCTCTTGCTTCACCTACATAATTCGAGAGACTGATCCTGAGCCCTTCAAAGCCTGGAATCTTTGTGCGAGAAACTGGGTAGTGTAACAGTCTGCGTAATGGTGATGTCCAGGTGTTGAACGTCAGCATATGATACAGCCAAGACAGATTGCCCACGTCCTTGTTCAATCTCGAAGCGACACGGTAGGCGACGCCCTCTCGATAGCGACATATTAACATATCAGCCTTGGTGACATCTGATGTAAGGGTTCCTTTCGCCTGTTCGATCAATTCTTCAATAGAACTCTTCAGATGTGGGCCGATGCCGAGGTCAGGCGAGAGCATAATCTGTTTCCCTTCGAAGACATCCAATTTATGCTGATTCTTGGCCGTGTTTGGTAGAACAGATGGCTCCGGCGTAGATGCACCCACAATGTCCTTGTTCTCGGAAGACCGAATGGGGGCCCCCGGTGGTGAGCGAAGAATCTCTGGGTCCGGGAGCGTATAGGGGCGTTCGTCAATCCGACGCCCGAGTTTGAGGCAATCATCAAACCTGTATTGGAAAGAAATGAATACCAGTGCCATATGAGATAGGAAACTGTCTCAGGTTCAAGGGCTTACCAATGCGGCAGGACAATCTTCACGTTCAGCTTTTTGGTCAGGATGAGTCGGGCTTTATCCGAGTCCACAGTCAGGTCAACCAGATGCGTGACCAAGCCGCTTATCCTTGCATTGTAAACTCCGCCTTTGGCGAGCACTCCTCCAATGATGGCGTCCTTATCGCCCTCAGGTATATCGCCACAGGTGACGACGACATCATTCAAAAATAGTCTCGGGTCCGGACTGTGTTGGCGCGGGTTTGCAAGCTTCTTCTTAGCCAAGGACATGTGCAGCCACTCCGGTTTCACCACGGGGATAAGCGCATCGCAAGCAGTCTCGTACTCGGCAAAATCAATTGTGTATGAGATAATATGTGTAAACTCATTGATTGGGGGGAACGTAGAGGGCGGCTCATAAATCACGACATCTCCGCCGTTCTCCTCAATCAACGACGCATGCTACAAATAATACGACCATGTCAACAACTGGACCGCGCATATATATTTCAATCTGGAAACACATACCTGCTGCGCTGTGTCTTGATCCAGATCCTTAGAGCAAATGATACACGCCTTGCATTGTCCGAAGAGCTGCACATCTTCCTTGTCGTCCGCCATGGCCAGCGATGGCTGATAATCCAGGAGTTTCTTGTCAAGGCAATAAATAGGCCCCTATTCTCCCTGATAAATAACGTATTCTGATCGCACAGTGGCAGGAGAACCGGCGATGTGGTCCAAACGGTCTTTTCCACTCCTTGGCCGCAAAAAAAGCCGATTGCTCACATGCGACGCGGGGAGACGCGGACGCGTGCCTGGGAGACACCAGGTCACGTGGAAATGACGTTGTCATTCGGTTTGTTGTCGACGACGTTGTCTCTTTCATATGGACAAGATCTCAGGCAGCCCTTTTTCTAGTTCATTGTCATAGACAATCTGCGATTGTTCTTTGTTTCCTTCGAAACTCCCTGATGTCAATAGCAAACCTCCTCTCAGTTTGAACTCCGATCGGGTCTCTCAAGGGTATCGAAAACGTGGGGAAGCCTACACCGTACCTGAGTAGTAACTACTGCAAAAGTTGGAATGAGGTAAGTATTGGATGGTAAGGACTACTGTGAAGAGTCCCAAAAAATCTACAATAGACTCTAGGCGGTATTGAATCGTAACTAAGTGATTGATTCCCTCCACCTACCTAAGTATTTGGCAGACCCGCGGCTAATTGATCAGTCCTTAGATAGCGTATGTAGTGCAACTTCCTCGGCTCATCCAAAGCATCGGTAAAGCTCACCCCCCGTCTATTTAGCTACGTTCCTCCGTCATTACTCATCATTTCCTGGGTGATATCTATATAAAATTATATTCCAGAACTCTCTATTTATTTGCATCAGGTTGAGATGTCGCCTCCAGGCCCCTTTCGTGTGGTGGAGCACACCATTCCATGTCAACATATCAGAGAATACCCTGGGGCCACGGCCAATGTGCAAGAAGACGTCTTGCATTTAGCTGTCAAGCAATATATTCCTTTGGATAACCTCGATCCGCAATCTGGAGATGTTACGATTATTGGAGCGCATGCCAACGGGTTTCCCAAAGTAGGTCAACGGTGGCCATTCCTATCGCTTGAACAATGAGGAAGACTGACCGTAAATTAAGGAGCTTTACGAGCCTCTTTGGGAAGATATATATGCCCGCTCAAGATCTAATGGATTTCGAATCCGCAGCATCTGGATGGCTGATGTTGCACACCAGGGGCAAAGCGGCGTGATCAACGAAGATCTAATCGGCAATGACCGTATGCTTCCCTTTCCTACAATGAGCCTTGTTCCAATGATATTCTGACATGGCGGCTACAATTTAGCTAGCTGGCTTGATCATCCGCGGGATCTCCTCCATTTCATAAACTTGAAGCGAGCTGAAATGCCACGGCCTATCATCGGAATTGGCCATAGCATGGGCGGTGCACACCTGTATGCTAATTTCAAGCATAACCAGCGATATTTTTTCTAACGTTTTTTTTTTTTCATTCTAGTGTGCAACTCTGTTTGATGCATCCTCGACTCCTCCATACGCTCGTCCTCTTGGACCCAGTCATCCAGCGCGAGACTACCCAGTTCGACAGCCCTGATGTTGTCGAAGAAAGGAAACATATCAGCCGGACTACTCAATTATCGACCTACCGAAAGGATCTCTGGGAATCGCGCCGGGATGCTGCTGAAGGATTCCAGCGAAGTCCGTTTTACAAGACATGGGATCCCCGGGTACTAGAGCGTTGGGTCCAATACGGGCTACGCGATCTCCCTACAGCCATTCATCCATTACTGGAAGGAACGAGCAAAGACGGTAAACCTCCTGTGACATTAACTACAACCCTCCACCAGGAGGTATTTACCTTTTCGCGACCTAACTACGAGTTCGACACGGGAAAGCCCATCAACAAGACAACGCATCCGGATCTAAATCCCGATCAGGCAGGCGCCTCTCCTTTCTACCGCCCTGAACCACTGCGGATCTTTGCTCAGATACCGCATCTACGCCCCTCCGTACTATATATCTTCGGTGGGAAATCAGAATTGTCCACGCCGAAACTACGCGCCGATAAAATCGCTCACACCGGTACGGGAACTGGCGGCAGTGGCGGCGTGCTCGCGGGACGTGTACGGGAAGTGTGTCTGGAAGAGCATGGGCATCTCCTCGCACAGGAAGCGGCGACGGAATGCGCCATTGCAGCTGCGCCGTGGCTGGGTGCGGAGCTCCAGCGGTGGCAAGACGAAGAGCGCGTCTTCCACGCGCAGTGGAGCAAGAAGTCCAAGGTAGAGAAGTTGACGATCGATGCAGAGTGGAAAAAACATGTTCAAATGCCGGAGCGGCGGGCTGGAACCCCGAAAACGAAGCTATAACCTATAGGATTAGGGGGTCTTGCTTGAGGGAGAAATGCAAAGATAGACACCTCAGCCATTCCATTTATCTTTCTATCAAACTACCGAAAGTACCGAAAACATCCCGTAGCCATAAACCGTAATCAGCGCATCGACATAAGGAACAAAAAATAGAAGGTAGTGCCCTAAAAAATCAACTGTAATCGTCAACGCCAGCTGCATGTCTAATCATCAATATCAACGAGACTTCTTGGCTTGTTCGGTGTCCTGGATAGTATTCTCGCCGGATCCTTTCCGGATGATCTCCGGGAAGTTCCAAAAATGCGGCCACCACAGGTAATATTCCTCTTGCTGGTTGTTCAGGCAGTGGCGCAGCCATATGCCCCAGATAATATACAGGTAGGCGCCCATTCCGGTCATGAGATGCCTGGAAGTATTAGCCAAAAGAAAAAGTAGAGGAGAATAGGTAGTATCTGTAGGTGATACATGTATATAAATAGAGTGACGTACCACCAGCCATGTCCCTCTAAGGCAATCCCCCACGGTAACCCGATCGTGCGGCGCCACACACGGAGTGTACTACAGAAATGGTTGTCGAGATTCCAGATCGCGAAGCCGCCCAGAAACATGCTCAGCCCATAGGCGACCATGAACCACATGCTCCTGAGGATTTTCAAGTCACGTTCATTCTCGTAGCTCTGCCGTTCCTTACTCGGCACGGGGAGGCCCTGCCTCTGCCGCATCAAACGGTCCGCCTCGGTGGAATGACGCAACGATGGACGCAGGGTCGCCTCCATGGTGAACATGCTGCGCAGGACAACTACAGTAGTCAAGAGGGCGTAGGCGTTTTGATGAAACACCGGGTCCTGGAGGTAATGGTAGTAGAGGGTGATGAACACCGCGAGCCCTGTCAGAAAAACGGCAAGGGCAAGCCGGACGGTGAACGACCTCGAGTACGAGAACGAGGCGTAGCACATCAAACAGGTGGTATAGATCATAGAAAGTTCGTCGACTAGCTGCATAGGATCTATATGATTTCCGTCAGTACCAAAGCCCCTCCACCCCTCCCCTTCCAAGAAAAACGGGTTTACTTGCATTTTAATGTCGAGTGGAAGAGAAAGCTGCCCGCTCCCACCACTAGATAGCCGCAGTAGGCCACCGAGAAGATAGAATCATGGCCATATCGTCGGCAGTTCCGGATACCTTTGACCCCCAGCCACATGAACATGAGATTTGTCAAAGCATTCACGATCTCAGCGGAATACACGGTCGCATAGTAGTCCTGGAGAACTTCGGGTCAGTTATACAGCTCAATCTTCGTCCCCTCGGGCAAACCCGAAAATCCGACAATCCGTACCTCCTCACACCAGTTCAACGTCGAGGTGATAGGGCCCCAGTATCCCACCTTTTCCGGCGGATACGGAATCGAGGGAAGAGGCAGCCAGCGCGGCATTGTCGGTCGTTCAACAGGGCCTGACAGGATTTCAGCTCCTCAAGGCCATACCGCAGACATTAAAAGATAAATTAGACAACGTCTTGCTCCTCCACAAATGGAAGGGGGGGGTAGCACTGTGTCTGTGAGAGGTTGAGAGCTGAGGCTTCGTCTACTGAAGGGTGTTGATCCAATGGTCCATCACCCGTGACGTCGTAGTAAGCCGAACCGTTGCCGCATTGGGACGGCAGGCCTCGCAGGGTCTTAGTCATAATGCTACGCAGTCCTACCATCGAGCCTTTTGTACTCGCCGACGGACGCTGAAGGCCTAAAGAAATACCGGGAGTATGTGTCTCTATCCACGTCATGACACAGCACCGACTCGGTCGCCAAAACCGACTGGGGGCTCTACTTCATAGAGATCGCTGAAGAATGTCGGGGTTCAGCTCAGGATCGGCTTTTCCCTTTTCGGTTACTGCCGGCCGATCCAATGACCATCATGACTTCACTAATCCGGGCTCTCGAGTCACGAAAGTCTGTCCTGGTGTTTTTACTCAAAAAGCCACCTGATTTCTGGTTGAATCAACAATGCTAGTTCGAATAACCATCGACTAACCGATCGAGTCCTGGAGACCTCTTTGTCCTCGCGCTTCCTTGAGCTCTGGAAGCTTGTGCGGCTGCCTCGATAATTTTGTTCCCCAGCGGAGCTGCCCTGCAGAGCAGGCACGATGAGTTCGAATAATGATTTCAAATCCGTGCCACAAGCTAGGACGTCCGCCCGTATGTTTATCTGCCGTGAGAAGAGAGAGAGAGAGAGAGAGAGAGAGAGAGAGAGAGAGAGAGTTGTTGACCAGTGTTCTGCGTGTCTAGCATCCAAAACTACGTTCCATTTCGTCGCTGGTCTTGCCTCGGGTCTGACCTCGTCTATCCTCCTCCAACCCGCCGATCTGCTGAAGACTCGAGTACAACAGTCGCGAGAGACTGCTGCTTTGCTTCCCACAATCAAAGCGATTCTATCCTCCGACCATCCTGTCCGCAATCTTTGGCGAGGAACGCTGCCGTCCGCCCTCCGAACAGGCTTCGGATCAGCACTGTACTTCACAAGCCTCAACGCTCTCCGTCAAAGTTTAGCCCAAACGGAGACTTCATTCGCAGTCGCGAGTGGGAATGGCGTCAAAAACGGTCAAATATCGTCCTCTGCGCTGCCTAAACTCTCGCACACGGCTAATTTGGCGACCGGCGCGGTCGCCCGTGTTGCGGCGGGATTCGCTATGATGCCGATCACAGTCATCAAGGTCCGATATGAATCCGATTACTACGCTTATCGCAGCTTATATAGTGCTGGACGGGATATTGTTCGGACAGAAGGATTTCGGGGTCTGTTTGCTGGGTTTGGCGCGACTGCTGCCCGAGACGCGCCGTATGCTGGCCTCTACGTGCTTTTCTATGAACAACTAAAGAAAACCTTTGCTCGTGTCAAGAGCTCGGGCCACGGCGATCACACGCAAACTGCTTCCTCGCCTGCGGTCAACTTTGCGTCCGGCGCTTTGGCCGCCGGTTTTGCGACTGCGGTCACCAACCCCTTTGATGCCGTCAAGACCCGTCTCCAACTGATGCCTGGAAAATACGGGAACATGTTGCGTGCTGTCCAGCTGATGATCCATGAGGATGGTGTCCGAAGTCTCTTTGGCGGCTTAGGGCTGCGGATGGCTCGCAAAGCGCTTAGTTCGGCCCTTGCATGGACGGTGTACGAAGAACTCATTCTTCACGCCGAGAAAAACTGGGCCAGCCAGAACAAAATGAAGCTCTGACATCACTCACCCCTCTTACATTAAGCACAGGAGTCTTTGGTGTTCTTTCTTGGCAAGCATATCTTGATTATTGCATCTCTCACCTCTCGGAGTTACGGCCGGTCAAAGCGTCTTTACGGTGGGCACGGGTCAGTGTTGTCTCTCTATATATATATCGGCTGCGAAAAGGAACCCTTTCGGCTTATCAAATAAGAAAAATCGGGATTGACTATATATCATTTGTATACCATTAGAAAAGAAAAGCCGTCATGGTCGTTATCGTCATTATACCCTGCTATATAACAAATTTGCGTTGCATGGGAAAGAAACCTAAAGAAAGAAAAAAAAAAGAAACTAGAAACATCATCATCAACAGGTGAAAATACTTTGATCAAACTCAACAATGAAGAAAAGGATGAAGAAAAGGGGAGAATCAAAGCAATCTTTGAATCTAGATTCAGGTGAGGATCCACGCACGGCGGCTTGGGCTCTTTTTCCGCACCAGAAACATCTTGTCGCGTCTCCGGTCGTTGACCTTGAGTTCTGTCAGGGAACTGGAGGTCTGAGTGAGAAGTTTGCCCTCACGGAGGCGCCTTGTGTGCGCAAACAGTTCCTCCTGGAGGTCTTCGGAGATCCACTGCTTGATGATGATGTAGTTGCCATCGAGCTGTTTTCCGTTAGTACTGACCCCGAGAGATGAGCCTGCAGAGGAGAACGTACCTCGTCCCAGTCCCAGGGAAGATGATATGCGATGAGCGTATCGGGGAGCAGATGTTTGCGATGGACCTGGAGGGTGTTAGCAAGGAGACAGACAAACTGGGGGGGGATGCAGTGAGGTGCTATATGCATTACCTTGATCCATGCGGTTTTCTCGACCTCGACCTCCTCCTTGACCACCTTTCCTACTTCTTTGCCCTTCTCCTTCTCCTTTTCCTTCTCCTTTTCCTTCTCTTCGCCCTTCTTCTCCTCCTTCTTGGCCTTCTCCTTGCCCCTCTTGCGTAGCATATCGTCGATCTCCTCTTCGGTGTAACCCGTCTCGAGACGCAGCCGCTCTCTGAACTCACGGTCTTTGGCTTCTCTCATTTTAATCTCGTTGAGCCGGCGCTGCTCCTCTTTGACCCTCCACTCCTCGATGACGGCCGCTTTCATCGCTTCCTCTTTCCGCCTGCGTTCCATCTCTTCGAGCTGCTTGCGCGCCTCCTCGTCGCGAATCTCCTTTTTGATCCGCTCGCGCTCCTCTTCCTCGTCCATCTTGCGCTGCAGCTCCTCGAGCTTCTCCCGGCGGAGCCGCTCGGCCATACGCTTCTTCTCCTCGGCGGCCGCCTCGGCTTCCTCGAAGCGCTTCATTCGGAGGTCACGCTCGACACGCTCACGTTCCTCCTCGATGCGCTTGTTCTGCTGCGAGATCCGCTCGGCTTCTACAAAGCGTTTCATCTGTAGGTCACGCTCGACACGCTCACGCTCCTCTCCGAGTCGCTGGTTCTGTTGTGCCGTGCGCTCCGCTTCTTCAAATCGTTTCATCCGCAGCTCACGCTCGACACGCTCGCGCTCCTCGGCGAGTCTCTCCTTCTCTTTTGCCGTGCGCTCCGTTTCTACAATTCGTTTCATCTGCAGCTCACGCTCGACACGCTCACGCTCCTCACCGAGACGCTCCTTTTCTCTTGCTGCCCGCTCCGCTTCTTCGAATCGGGTCATGCGCATCTCGCGCTGGACGCGATCGCGCTCCTCGCCGAGTCGCTGATTCTGCTGGGCTGCCCGCTCCGCCTCTTCGAATCGGGTCATGCGCAGCTCCCGCTGGGCACGATCACGCTCCTCGCCGAGCCGCTCCTTCTGCTGCGCGCGCTGCTCGGCTTCCTCGAATTGCTTCATACGTGCTTCTCTCTCGGCACGGGAGCGGTCCTCGTCGAAGCGCTGCTTGCGCTCGTATCGCTCCAGGCGACGCAATCGCTCGCTGATCGCGTCCTCGTACCACTCCTCCTCCTCCTTGAGCAGGCGGGTCTGGTGCTGGTCATGGCTGTCGCGGCGTTGGGCTAGCTCACGCTCCAGCCTTTCGATCTCAGCCTGTTGCCGGACTAGCTCCATGTCCTGCCGGGCATCGTTCTTCTCCAGGATGCGCTGGTCGATGACGAGCTCGTAGTCGCGGTCGCGGTCACCGCTGTGGCTGTGACTGTGCTCATAGTCGACGCCGCGCGAGACGCTCCGGGCGTGGCGGGAGACGGAGCGGGCGCGCAGCACCTCGTCGTCCGACTCGTTCAACACCTCCTGGTACATCTTGCTGAGCTTGCTGCTGCTCTTGTTCTTCTTGTCGGAGCGGGAGCTGCGGTTCTTGAGATCGTTATCGTTCTTGATATCGACGATCACCGTGGGGGGTGCGGCGGGCTGCTGCGTCGGTCGGGGCCGACGCCCGCCCGTCGACGCCGACCGCTGCAGGTGCGTGTCGCCAGCCAGGGGCGCCAGGTAGGTGTTCTGCCTGATCTCTGGGCTCTCCCGACGGCGAGAGACGGACCGCCGACGATACACGGTGCGCCGGCGAGGGCTTTCGTTGATGGAGACGTCGGTTTCGCTCTCGTCCGTTTCGGACTCGCTGTACCGAGCGTAGCGGCCCATTTTGTGTTATTTATTAGAAAAATTATGGGAAGAAAGAGATGGATCGAAAGGATGGAACGATGGAATGATAAATTTGGAAAATAAAATAAGATGGAAGATGAGAAGGCAAGACAGCCTCGTATTCAGATATTGCTCAGCTGAATCAGGGTGGGGGAGGGGAAAACAGCCGGGATGACGATGATCGAGGCAAGGCTGAGAGGGGCTGGCTTGAGTCGAGGGTCTGCTGGGTCTCGCTGGGCTTAAATATCTGGGTTCCCTCTGTACAGTTGCTTGTAATATTGGTTAGATAGCCGCTCGCTGCTCAGCCTGACCAGGCACGAGATCTGAAACGATACAGACAGAGTACGGAGTGGTAGTAGTTGACTCCGTTGGGATGGATTCTCTCATAAATTAACTGGCTCCTGTCGGGCGTCCAGTCAGTCCACCTTCTACTCAGTAAGTACGGAGTATGAACAGTGGACACTCTATGAGTCTATTCTACCCTACCTTCTATGGAGTTCTTTCGTTCAATTATTCTGGTACTTTCGAGTCTACGGAGTATCCCTGTCAGGCAGCGGTGGATCCAGCGGCTGTTGAAGCAGTAGCACTATCCAGTATGAATATCTATTAATATAAGAACAGTAGTGTTGAACAGAAATAGTAAATAGTAAATAGAGTATTTTGGTTCTTCCCGTCTAAATCCATGGTCGAGTCGAATTCCAAGTCCTTCTCTCTATAACTACTCCGTACCTCATGAGGCTGATGTCATTTGCTGCCCGATGTCGATCGATACGTTATGTCGTGAGTGGCGCAGCGGTATGGTCGGTTCAGTCACACCAGACTTTCATATGACGAGTGGAGCTTGAAGACAATTAATCAGGCCTGTACAACAGTAGAGTGAGTATATGACTTGTACCTAACCTGGTGGAATATTACGTACCTATAGCAGGTGATGGTTGATGTTGCCGCCTGATGACTGCTTCACCACAGGGAGAGAGAGCTCTTTCTCATACTGTTGCGAGCTGATATAACTAGGATGTCTCTACTTCAAGTTTATTCGGTTGAACCGATAAGAAAATATCTGAATTCCAAGTGGCCGTGCCGCTGCATGCCACCTTGACGTCAACTCCAGGGTTCCAGCCCTTGCATTTCATCTATAGCTTCAGGAACATCCAACTGTGAAAGCCTATCCCGAGGAAGAAACTGCTAGGTGGAGAAAACGTGGTCGCGAAGAATTATGCACTGCACCAATTGCACAACGCCTAGCCGCCAAAACTTGCGTGTCGGAGGTCTCCCGGCGAGGTGTTTTTGACGATGAGATTGAACAGGCGAAACAGACTATGAATGGACCATTATGCCAGGCCTAGCAAGAACGAGGGATTCACCCTGATCAAGTATTATAGGTATCTATGTAGTACAGCTCTGTCAACTGATCACCGATTGATATCCATTTCGAGACAAACATGTTATACTCATGTCCGTCTTATTATCGTACATACAATAGCCAGCAATGTAATGTACGCGGTCATCTAGATACCGTGTCCTGCAGGATCTTATCCCTCGATTTGTTTTTGACACGAAAAGGACGTCGTGTTTTTCAAAAGTTCCCCGTCGTGTAAGTAGACGGGTTACCCCCTGAGCCCGCCCGACTTGAGAATCTGCTCCATGTTCTCCCGGCTGTTCTTATATGTGGTCTCGTAGTAGTGCAGCTTCTTATCCAAGCCCGACATTTCAGTCTGAAGCTCTGTTGTCTCGGTGGAAAGACGTTTCTCGACGGCATTGATCGGAACCCCGATGAACCTATCAGATAAGTAAGTATTTTTGATATTGAACCCCCCTCCTCCCCTCACCCGATACCCGAACATACATCTTTCCAACCCCCTCGTACACCCTGGTGTCCTTCGGTAGGGTCCCCAGCTCCTTGGCCGTCAGATCTAACAGGCGTACCTCACGCTGCTTGGCCGTGATCTGCGCCTTGGTGATGTTGATCTGCTGTTGCGAGCTGATCGCGCGGGCCTCGATCTCCTGCACAAGCTATACCACGAAAGTTAGATTTTTGAACAACTCTTTTTATTTCGGTTTGGTCGGTCAATTACCTTTTGCAGGGCTTCGTTGGGGATCGACATGGCTGCGAGTCGTTGGTATGAAGAGGAGCTCAAAGAGTCGCGGGGCAAGCTTTGGTTGAGAGCTCAGATTAGATATGCCAAAAGGGGGTCTTAGGGCTTAGGGCTGGGGGTATAAGCATGTTGCCTTTTTGGGTCAGCATGGCACCAAAGGTACCTCCTATTTAGTAGGTAGGTAGCTATGTAGTAGCTACTTGTAGCTATAATACTTCAGGTGCTCAAGGTTATATTTAGCGACCTTCTTAGTAATTTGATAGACTAGTTACTGCAAAGGACAAGACAAAATTACCATGTCCAAGTACAGATGGACTGCATATTTCTACCCTTTTTCTTTACAATTCATTACTACTCATAGTAATAGCAAGCATATAAAATCCTATTTGTTACAGTCCGTAGATTTATATAATACTTAACACTTACCTGTGGTCTGGTAGCGAAACCTGACCCGGACGGCAAGGGTATCAACTCCGAAGTCATCAGTCGTCCGAAAGAGCAAATGATGATTCTCCAGTCCAAATAGACAATACAGCGGGTGAAATGCCGGTTCTCAAAGTCCTCCTCCGAAATAAGTGGCAGTGTCACAATCCCAGTTCGCTGTGAAGGGTCCAGAGTGGCTATTGAGCAGATATTCCCCCTCTTTGAGGTACAGTTCCAAGGCTAGAGCGTGCACAATCTTCCCCGCTATCCAGTAGCAGTGCTAGTAGGCGTCAGGAACACTCACAGCCCGGGAAACGAAGGCTCGACCGGCCACTGGTTAGACTGGAGATTGTTCTAGACATTGCCGAGAACGTAACTCTGCTTGGCGTCGGCCACTGTTCGTAGTTGTTCAAGGCTTCCGCGAGGAGAGACTCTGGCAACGAGTGGCTCACAAGGTAAATCAACGTAACGGTGCGTCAGGCTTGCATGACACACGTTGGCGAGAAGTCAGCCATCGGAATCGTCTGATTTATTGAGACCAGGTCCTGCGTTATTGCCTAGCAGTAATAGCAGTTAGCATGCAAAAAAAAAGGAGGGATAAAGTACGCAGTAATTCTCCGCTATCCAATGATTCAGTGACATCACTTTTCAAGTCAAGCTTCGGGTTGGCACATTCCAGATAGCTGAGATTCCACGTTGGACAAACGCATTGTGCCGATCAACGATTAATTGACCAAGGTGATACAAAAGCAACGCACTCTGTACCTCAATCCTCAATAGCTCAGGTAGCTCTGAGACACCTAGCTACATAGGTATGTAACTAGCTAATTAATGAATCGGATACGATGTAACTGCTTCGTATCACCTAGGGAGGTACAGGTACCTAAGCAGGTGGTCGGGCGTTGCTGTGGCAGGGATTAGGTGGAGACCAGCCAAAGCAGTCCTGCATCATCATCATCCCATTACTTCCTGAGCCAAAGTCTGAAAAAGATTTCGCTTGAGATTATCCTGGATTAGTTCTTTAGCTGCGGCAGGCTCAGTCGCCAACTGTTAGCTCTGCAAAAAAGCCTCGCTAACTGTTGTGTTCGTCTATCTAGTCGTTTGTTGACATCCTGCCTCTGCCTCGGTCGGTGCCTGTCCTCGACACAACCCCCCCCCTCCCCCAAGATAAAATCAGCGATACGATAAATTGCGCAATAATAAGGCACACAGCTGCAATTCAGCTCCATTGAGCCATTTGGGGGGGAAATACAAGATGAAACCCAGCATCTGGATTCCAATAACATTGCTTGTCACAGCAGTGGCCTCGATAGAGCTTCAGCCGTTCACAACGCCCACTGCCGCGGGATCACCCAGCCGACGAGCGTTTGAAGTCCTTCAAATCCTGAGGCGCGCAGACAACTGTCCGTCGGGGTACTCGGACTGTTCGAATGAGGGCAACTCGGACGTCTGCTGCAAAAGCGGTACCGTGTGCACGCGGGACGCCGCAGACAACATCGCCTGCTGCTCGACGGGAGCCTCCTGCACGGGGACCCTAGGGTCGGCGACGACGACCACCACGGGGACTGATACAAGCAGCAGCTTCCGGTTCACGCAGACTGACGCTGCCACGACGACCACGAGCGACTCGACAACTTCGACCATCACGGGCTCGACCCTGTCCGGCGCAGCGTATCCGTTCATCGTCCTACCGACGACTTTCAGCAACGCCCAGACCTGCTCCTCCTACTACTCGCTCTGCCAGAGCGAGTACACTGCCTGTACTGCCTCTCTGGTCGGTCGGTATGGCGTGACGGTCGCTGGCTCTGGCGGAGGCATCACCGTGGCTGGAGCGACGGGGACGTCGGCTGCGGTCTCGATCTGCTCGAGTCTCAGCCTCGAAGCCTGCCACGATCTGCATCTGTCGAATTGTGCTGCCTACGGAACGGCCACCACGGGAGCATATCAAGTGGGAGGTGCTGCTGCTGCCCGCCAGACGGCGGGCGTGCAAGACCTTGTACTTGGTCTTGCTGTTGGCGTTGCGGGGATGTTCATCTAACTGTGAAGACAAGATACCTTGTGTGGGACTATTTCTACAGCATCGACGAGTCATGAATGATACGAGCTAAATTACGAGATATGGATGGGTATGGATTGGATGTATATAGTTCTGGCTAGGTAGGACATATATAGGGACTATTTACTCCGCACACAAATCGTGTTGCATGTCTATAATGAAGTAGATCTTTTAAACATACCTTCATACAGAGTGCTTCGTATTTTTATCTATATTCAGCTGTCCTGCAGGAACTTGAGCTGAGGTGCATCCTGTGAGGGGCACCCGTTGCCAACACATCATGTGTCAATTCGTCATTTCGGCTCTCTTTTTTTTCCTGTTTCCCCTCTTTTTATTTTATTTTAATTAAAAGAAAAGAAATTCCAGCCTTCGGATTATCCACGGGTAATAACAGGTCAGTTAATTGTCGCCTTGGCTGCTGACAAGACAAGGGTCATAGTTACAGAAAATCGGGTGGTTGGGTATGACGGTTCGTATATCGTGAGGGGGCTGGGAACTCGACTCTTGACCAACTGCCCAAGCAGTTCTCATTCTTTTCACTTCACTCATTCCAATCCAAGCTACAGACTGCAGAATTCAGAGCATTCCGTATTGGGTTTTCTCAAATTCCAATCGCTTCGTCGTCGAGGCTTACTGGAGAGCTTCGTCTATTGCCTTTCTTTTAATCCATACTTTATACAGAGATCGACAAAAACGATCGATCCTACAGAGCGAACATAACGGTTGATTGACAATATGCGACGGTCATTGTCAGCACTCGCCGTTCTCTCGCTTGCCTTGCCGTTCGCCCGGGCGACTCCATTACTGGCATTCCTGGCTCCACGCTGTTCCAACTATTGCGGCTACTACGACCAGCTGTGCTGCAGCGATACCGAGACATGCTCGACGAACAGTGACGGCGAGGCGGTCTGCGTGGCGTCGAGCAGTAGCGGGGAATGGGAGTACTACACGACGACGTATGTCTACACTGAGACAGAACGGACGACTGTCACGTCGACATGGAGCACCTTCATCCCGGCGACGACGACGGCAGCCGCCGCGTCAACGAGCACCTGCAAGGCCTCGCTGGGTGAGACGGTGTGCGGCAGCAACTGTTGCGGCGCTGCGTACGAATGTTCTAATGGCGAGTGTGTGGCTGGCAGCTCCGTTGTTACGGCGGCAGCTACAGAGCCGCTGCGTGGGACCAGCGCCACGACAGTGACCGCGACGGCGTCTGCGACGACGACAGAACCCTTCGTTGCGCCTGTCAGCACGGGCGGGGAGCCCCTGACCGATGTGAAGGCCAAGAGCGGGAAGAGCCTGAGCGGCGGTGCTATCGCAGGCATCGTCATCGGTGTCATCGCAGGCGTCTTCCTGCTGCTCCTGCTGTGTGCTTGTGTCTGTTTCCGGGGTATTCTGGATGTCCTGTTTGGATGCTGCGGTGGCAGTCGTCGTCGCCGAGACACGACCTATGTTGAGGAACGGTATTCGCGCCATTCCCATGGTGGGAGCAGACCCCCTCCCTCCGCCGTCGCTGCTGCTGCTCCGCCGCGGCCGGAGAGACGGACCTGGTTTGGCACCCGCCCGTCCGCACCGGCTCCAGACGGTGAAAAGAGCTCTCGATGGGGCAGCCTGGCCACAATCGGGATCCTGCTGGGCGCGCTGGCTCTGTGTTTGGGCCTGAAGCGACGTCGGGACGAGGACGAAAAGAGCGACTACACAGCCAGCTCTTACTACTATTATGGCTCCGAATCTTATGGCCCCAGCGAGAGTATGTCACCCCGAACCCCTTGATCTATAATATATATATACAGATTATGCTAACAGTTAAAACAGGTACCCAAAGTTCCGACAGGCGCACGAGGGAGACGAGACGGTCAAGACGGTCTCGCACACGATCTCGCCGGTGAGAAACAACGACGCAATGACTCGATGGATTGATGATATATTACTTGATGGTATGATGGATGGTATGATGGATGGTTGTGATGATTTCTCTTTTCTTGATGTTTTCGGATTGCATAAAATGGCGCTGATCGGCTTTTCTTGTCAATGACTTCCTCCTTCCCTCTCTTCTTTTTTTATACGCTGATGACGTCCAGTGAGAGCTGACGATGACGTGATGTACTCGCACGATCTGCACATATGATTATTCTATGATTTATGTCGATATTCATGTCGATGTTCCACAATCAATAGTCCTTGTAGTCAGTAACTCTGTACAGCAGTATGGTCTCAGTCAACAGACATTCTGTAGCATTACATAGAATAGAATACAAATTCCAGCAATACTAGACCATAACAGACAACGACTACGACTATACAAAGCATAGGTGATAGATGTCTGCATCTGCAAGTGCATCGACAACTCCACGCAAGGGCTCAGCTCCGCGTGCACCTGGTCGGTGTAACCCAGTACTCGTGATAATATGATGACATTTTGTTTTCAATAAACCCTATAGTTATAGATCAATAGCCCAACAGAATAGATAAATAGAAATAGTTCTGAGGAAGAAAGAAAGAAGGAAACCAAAGTAAGAATTAAAAGCCTGGCTGTTGTCTGTTCTGCCGCACAGTCCGCTTAAGCCGCTCCCCGCCCCGGGACAAACCTCACTCAAGTCTCAGTCCGCCGATCCGCCTTTCCTGGACCAACTCACACACCACCGCCAGAAACCAGATCGAACTCCTCAGACCCAGCGAGAAGATTAAAACAAACCCACTTTCCCATGCCTTCGATTGCGCGACTGTTCGCCTGACACAACCCCGACATTGCTCCTAGATCTACCTCCCCGCCTTGAACAGAGTCGCCGTTGAAACCCTTCCCGTCCGTCGGTCGCTCAGCAGTCTCACTTCTCGAGTCTTTCTCCCCCCCCCCCTCCCTCTCCTCCTCCTCTTTCTTCTCCTTCTCGCCATGCTGCAGACGCAGACACAGCACGTTTTCTCTCATCAACACCAATACCCGCAGGCCGATCCGTCGTGGCTACAGCAGCAGCAACAGCAGCAGCAGCAGCAGCAGCCGCAGCCACACCACCAGGCCCAACACCACCCGCACCAAGCGCAGCAGCATTCCTCTCTGGCCGCCCAGCAGCATGCCCAGGTGCAGGCCCAGCAGCAACATTATAACCGTCTCGCCATGGTTGGTGGGGCCGGTGGTGCGGGCAACCCCGTAGGCCAGCAGGGCGCGGTTGTCGCAGGTGGCGGTGCCGGGGGTGCTGGTGCCGGGGCGGGCGACGGGGCGATGGCCAGTGCGGTGACAGTGATGGACGGTGGTGTCAGCGAGGAGAACCGCAAGGTCTTCATCTGGGTTGCGGAGCTGTTGGATCCGGCCCGCCGGGAGGCTGCTCTGATGGAGCTCAGTAAGAAGAGGGAGCAGGTGCCGGAACTGGCCCTGGTGATCTGGCACTCATTCGGTATGGAAACGCTAGAACCGGGATGAAGGATCGTTTCCCTTTGATTCTAACCTCTCTCTAGGTGTGATGACTGCGTTGCTACAAGAGATTATCTCCGTGTATCCGCTGTTGAACCCATCCCAGTTGACAGCCGCTGCCTCGAACCGTGTCTGCAATGCCCTGGCGCTGTTACAGTGCGTTGCCTCCCACAACGAGACCCGGACGTTGTTCTTGAACGGTAGGAACAACACCATGGCATTCCTGTATATGTGAAGTGTCTTATTATCTCGGACTAATCTTTGCAGCGCATATTCCCCTCTTCCTCTACCCCTTCCTCAACACGACGTCCAAATCCCGCCCCTTCGAGTACCTGCGCCTGACCTCCCTGGGCGTCATCGGCGCACTGGTCAAGAACGATTCGTCGGATGTCATCAATTTCCTGCTCACAACGGAGATCATCCCGCTCTGTTTGCGCATCATGGAGACCGGATCTGAGCTCAGCAAGACCGTTGCCATCTTCATCGTGCAGAAGATCCTGCTCGATGATATTGGCCTCGCCTATATCTGCGCCACATACGAACGCTTCTACGCCGTCGGCACCGTCCTCAGCAACATGGTCACCCAGCTGGTTGAACAGCAGACTGTTCGCTTACTGAAACATGTCGTCCGTTGTTTTCTTCGGTAGGTTTCCCATATTCTTCTTCTTCTTCTTCTTCTTCTTCTTCTTCTTCTTCTTCTTCTTCTTCTTCTTGTCAGCCCTTGGCCATTGGATTTCTCGCATATACTGATAACTCTCCAAGTCTGAGCGATAATAGCCGTGCCCGCGAAGCCCTGCGCCAGTGCCTCCCCGAGCCCCTCCGCGACGCCACCTTCTCCTCAGTCCTCCGCGACGATGCAGCCACGAAACGCTGTCTCGCCCAGCTCCTCATCAACCTCTCCGACAACGTGGCTGACGGCGTGGCCGGCGCGGCCATGTGAGGTCTCTTCTATGAAGTGCTCTTCTTCTACGACATCTACTTGGTATATTTGATAAACTTTTTCCGCATGCATGGGACGGCTCCAGGCGAAAATGGATCACACGGCGCAGTGAAGCAGTATGGATACGCCAGATCGACGGGTCAAATCTGACCCGCAAGGGTCTAACAAAAATTTCTTCGGTTCGATCTCGTTTGATCTTCTTTCTTATTGGGATTCTGGGATTTCGTGATTCTGTCATTCTATGTCCATTCTGTATCAAACTTTCTTCTCTTCTTCCTCTTCTTCTTTTGTTTGTTTGTTTGCAGTTTTCTCATCTTCCCTGCTTGCTACATATCATGGTATAGGTTGTCGGGTGGCGTGGATATGGCTGGCGTGACTGATTTTATGCATTTCCTCTTCTCTCCTTGATGAGAGCAAAATCCTGTTCTTTTCCAATTCCCCCTCACTTTCTTTTCCCCCCTCCCCCTTGCCCTCTATTCCCTCTATTCCCCTTCCCTCCCTTTAATAGGAAATAGATAGACCCTTCTTCAGCACCAGATACCATGAACCCCGGCGTCCTTTGTGTCCTCTGTTTTTTTTTTTTTTTCCTTTTCCTTTTCCTTCTTTCTTTCCCCCACTTCCATTTCTTCTCTCTGCACATACCCACTAAAAGAATTATACCGTTCGATTGATTTCATCCTTTCGTCCTGTCGAAGACCTCTCTGTACCGCATGAGAATAATTAGTCATCGTGTATGATCAATAATTAGATCCATAGTACGTAAAGTATTGAAGTATTTGGTAGAATATCCATATTCTGTAGAAGAATAGACGAATTACCGACTAGTCCCTATTGTCTTATATTATTATTCAGTCAATGAAAGAAATAGCGAGAGTGAATAGAGTATGGCAGCATGGCTCGCTAACGTCACCTGACATGGTCTGGCCCGTCAACGCGACTTGACGCCTTCCGACTCGCCTCTGCGACACGCCCTGGATTTCTTAACAATCCATGCAGAGACTCATCCCCCCCTCATTGCTTGATATCGAAAACGATTCTACGGAAAGAAATAGGCGAGAGGCACTCTGAAGAATTAACTGCAATTCTTCCCCCCCTCCCTCTTCCTCCCTCTCTCCGTCCGGTGTTCATACGCGGCCGCCATGGTCTCGCGAAAGCGCACCCGCTCCGAGCTGGACGCGGTCTCTGCGCCACATGCGAAGCGCGAGGAGGAAAGCGAAGATGGCGATAAAGAGCCCGGCTTGCTTGAGCGTCTGCGCAACTGCTGGGAATTCGCAAATCTCATGCAGTATATTACGCTCTTTGGGCGGATCATGAAGATCGACGAGGATTTTGAGATTGATGTACGAGAGTAAAATCGGAGGATATTTGGAGAATCCCTCTTTTTCTTTTCTGATATCCTCGGTTGCTAACGCCCCTTTTCTCGTATCTCAGGATCTGGAAGACGAGTGCATGAAACCTGGTCACTCGGAAAAGTTGCTAGAGATCGGTTTGTGTCTGCTGAAATGGGTTTCGTCGCATCGCGGTCTGAAGTGAGTGGGGGAAACCGTCTTCCTGTTTCACTCAGAGATGAAGATGAGATGTTGATACCAATCTTCCTATTCTAGCTCCGACAACTTTGACGAATATACCCGCCGTCAATACAATGCCAAAGCTCCCCATCTGGAGAACCCCTTCGGCCACGACGAGACACCCAAGCGGTTCTGTGACTTTGACATCTTCCTCAAACTGCGCGTGCTGCACCAGCTGTCCGTGTGGACGTTCTGGAACGCAGACCGGATTCGTGAAAAGATGCCGGAACAGAGAGAATGGGACCAGACACAATGGGTATGAATGTTGAAGAAAGAAAATATAAACCATGGGGGAAGATATTGACTTCTCTTTCTCTTCGCTCTACAGCGCATCGAGGAACTAGGTTACGATCGCCACGGCCGGTATTATTACGTGCTGGATGATAACCGTCTCTACCGCCGCACTGAACCTCCTATCCCTCCTCCCAAACCGTCGAAGCCGAAGAAGAACAGCAGAAGTGCTCGTGCCGCGCGAGCGTCGAAACGGAGGAGGTTGACGGGCGGTGTGGCTGCCGCCGACGACGAGGGGGAAGATGCCGGCGCAGATGCCGATGGCAAGGAGCAGTCGCCCGGCGACTCGTACGAGATCCAATGGGAGTGCATTGCCATCACGCGCCCGGAATACCAGGACTTCGTCGACTCCATTCAGAAGACCAAGGATGCGGATGAGAAGATCCTGCGGGACCGGCTGGTCAAGCAAGTCATGCCGGTCATCGAAAAAGCCGACGAAGCCCAGGAACGGAAGCGGGTCAAGCGCGAAAAGGAGCTGCTGAACCTGCAGCTGCTCGCCGGTGCGAAGCGGTCCAGTCGTATCGCGCAAAAGACAGAGAAAGAGCGCCATGATCGCGAAGCCGCCGAAGCCGCCCGCAAACACGATCTGGATCTCGCCGTCGCGCGCAAGGAGCAGGACGCCCTTCAGCATATGGAAAGGGAGCGACAGTCGCGCATCATGACACGCGAACGCCGCATCAAGGACCGCGAGCAGAAGCGTCTCCTGCACGAGGCCGAGCTGGCTAAGATCGCCGAGGAGCAAGAGAAGCTGGATCGCGGCGAAAGTCGTGTCTCCCAGCGCCAACTCAAGGCCGAATTGGAAAAACAGAAGAAAAGCCTTGAAGAGCTCTCCCAGGAAGATCAGTGGACATTCGATTGCTCGGGCTGCGGCGTCCACGGTGAGAATCTTGTAAGTTCTCCCCTTCTCCTCCCCTCCCCTCCCCTCCTCTCCTTTCTTTTTTTCGATATAGCATTCTGCTATCTTTCCTTGGAATGTTCTGTACTGAATGAAACCCTTTTTTCAACAGGACGATGGTTCGCATAGTGTTGCTTGTGAGAAATGCAGCGTCTGGCAGCACAGCAAATGTCTCGGAATCGCCCAGAGCGAGGCTGAACGTGATGACTTCCATTTCATCTGCGCAGACTGTAAACGACGAGAGGAGGAGGCGAAACTGCCCAAAATCCCTCCCCTCAAGTTCCGCGTCGGTGCTTCCTCGTCACCACCGTCCAAGACCATCCCGTCCGATGGTCCAATGTCTCCCTTGAAAAAGAAATCCGAACCTACGATGACGACCGGGGGATCTCCTCGCCCTACGAATCTGGTCTCGCAGCCATTCCATCTTCCTCCCGTTTCCCCCGAGCGTCGTCCGCACTCGCAGCATGTCCTGACGAGTCCTCGAGCGCCTTTCTCGCCCCTGAAGAGTGCCAACGGCTTGCATTCACACCACCAGTCTCCGAAACCGCTGTTCTCTAATACGCAGCCCCCTCTTCCGCCGTTGCCTCAAAACGGCTCATTCTACTCCCAGCGGCCCTCATCTTCCCACTCAGTGCACAGCCCCCGGATCATGTCGCCCATCCAGAACACCCCTTCGATGTCCCCGACCCAGGGTAATCACGACGTCGGTCCCCTTGCGGGATTCCCCCCTCAGGCAGCCTCGGCCAATGGAGCATCAAGGCCGTGGACCCCATACGGGCAGCAGCAGCAGCAGCAGCCGCATCATCATGATCCTCATTATCATAACCATCAGAACCCACACCCTGAGGCCACAGGCCTCCCACCCGTCTCCTCTATTCACAGCAGTTACAACTACACCTCCTCGTTCTCAGCGACCGCTACACCCAGCGGAGGACTTCATCATCCACGCTCCTCCCCGCCTCAGAGTTCACACGGGCTACCCTCTTCAGGGATCAGTCCTGTGAAGAATTCGCCTCGTCCGGTGACCGCGGGTGGGCTCATTGGTGCTCCCGTTCTCCCACCCATCCAGCGCCTGGAGCCCAGCCCCAAACTGATGGGCCGCAGCTCGCCGGATGCGCCGATTCCGCCGCCCGTCAAGTGCATGACCCCGGAGCAGGAGGAACGCCGACAGCGCGAGAACGCGTTGATGTTCCAGAACCAACCCATGTCCTCGCCATCGTTGAATCGCCTTCCCCCGTTAGGACCGTCGGCATTGAGCCAGTCTCATGAGGGGCGTAATCGACCGGAATGATTCCACCAGATGACTATCGGTAGGTATCTTGCCTGGATTACTTGATACTGGGCTATGAGGGCTGATGAATGTTCTTGGTTTTTGGTTGCTTCTTTTGCTTCTTGTACGCTGAATTACTTACTACATTGGTATCCCCCCTGGCATGGCATGGACACTGGACGCGGGGAGTTGGTCACGGTCACATGTATTCTATTAGACTAGAATTGATAATGATTTTATACAGAGTTAACTTCGAATCTATGGAGTAGTACTCCGTAGGCAGTCGCTTAAGATTCTAGATGCCTAGAGCCGGAAGAGTCGGCCAGAGTAATACTCCGTACCAACTCATTAATATTGCTCGATGCAGCTAGCTACCTAGACTATTTGAAATACTCTCAGTAGTATACTTTAGTAGTAATAAGTACTCCGTAGTACTCCGTAGTGAACCACTGGGGCGGGATCGACGGTATGAGGTACGGAGTAGTAGGAGTAGTAACTTAGTAGGTACTTTTATACGGATCTATGGTTACCACTACTACTACTACTACTACTACTACTACTACTACTACTACTACTACTACTACTACTACTACTAACTATTACATGTAGTAGTTAACTACTTTAATTAATTGACCAAGTAGTTGTGGGAGGCTAGATATTTACTACTTTCTCCAGAGGAGATACGGAGTAGATCTGCCCAACCTCGGCAAAAGAAGCCTTTTAAGAGGTCCACTAAGTGCCTAACCTACCTAGGGAGGTGGTTTCCTTTGGCCAGTCAGACAGACAAGGAAGTTACTTCCTGGTCTCCACCTGTATAATTAATTGAACATACTACATAGGTACATTGCTTAACTTACCTATGTACTCCGTATTGTGGTAATAACTACAAGGTACCCACCGAGGTAAGTAAGTACCTAATAGTCAACTATTCCGCAATCCGTCCCTAGCAGTTCGTCAATCTGAGGAACGGTAAAACATTCATCATCAATCCAATCGTGCCTGGTGACGGAAGCCCGGCTGGAACTCCCGACGCATGATATGGCGAGTTACAGAGTATTTGCTATTTAGCCTATCAGGTAGCTATCCGATAGGCTCTGGGTACGGAGTAGCTAACATCTCGAAATAGGAGGGTACCGCCGCCAGGAGGATAGAGTAGAGATTTAGTTATACTAGGACGCGGTGGTCAAACTTGCTGCAGAACAATGCATTCTACCTGTAACTACCCAGTCAGTTCAAACACTTGGCTCTGGACTCTTTGTACTTAGTACTGTTTTTGTTGTCCCTACCACTCCGTACTACTCCGTAGAGGTACTGTATAACGAGGTATATAAAAAGCAAAGAGTCATGACCTATCGACTATCATCCAGTCTACGCATACGGAGTATCATGATTGCTGGAACTTTCTTCCGTCGGAAATCGGTTAGCATTCGAGTCTATCTGCATCTGGCATCTCCAGACCCTCGGAGACTCCGCACGAGTCAGTGGGGCACTAGTGATGTAAAGTTCACCATTCAACTAGTAGGAAGTATCTGGATTGACTGAGAGAGTAGAATAATAACCAGGTATGTTGTATGTACTCGGTGGTAGTAGTAGCAGTAGTAGTGGTGGTCAGGCACATAGGAGCTGCACGGATTAGACTTGTACGATCTGGTGTAAGGAGTAGTGACGTAGGCTTATACTAGTTACTCACTCAGTTGAATGCCCGAATGCCTGGCCTCTCCGTCAGTAGATATAAACTTTCGGAGTCCACGGAGGAGGGCGGCCATTAGACAGATCAGCAACTTCTCAGACTTGGCAGGACTTTGGAGTTGACAAATAACTTCCATTTCTGAAGGCACATGCTGTCTCAATGCAGAGAACGACTCGAGCCGTGGATCATGAATCTCAGCCACCGCGTGCTACGAGCTAGGTAGCCACCCCCCAGCACGGATGCACCGATCTCCATCTCACAGGCCAAGAGCCTGTCAGATAAACCTTGGTGAATCCATGACTCTTGTCAAGTGTCCAGGCCCCTTGGGTCCTGCATATGTCAAATCTGCCACCTTTATCTTCTGCCAACCATATATAACCGTTTGGGGAGTTCTGGCCCTGGTTCTTAAGGGGCTTTTAGATCCATGGCTTTCTGCGAGTGCCTCTGACTCGTGCTGACCCGTCTGTCTCTACTACATAGAACCCTTGGCAAACCTCGTCAGAAAATCTTAGCATTGAAAGATCCCAATAAGTACTGGGCTTGACGACGACTCAAGGGAGAGGGGTAGGGAGGGAGGGAAGACAGCAGCAAACCTAGAGGCTTTCTGTGTTCCGTACTCTGTAAAAGTAAGAGCCGACATGACCAATGACGAGACGAATCTTTTCGTATCCAACTCTTACCTAGTCGCAGGTTTACCTGGTAGATGGTAACTGCTAACTACACTCGGTAGTTCTGGCATTAGTTGGTCAAGTAGTCAGTTAGCTTCAGTGAAGATCAGGACTTGAAGTTGTCCCGTCCGCCTTCTGAATTCGGGGTGCACGGGCAAAATAACTACCGATGACCGAACTCGATAGTTCCTTCCACTTTGGGAAAGCACCTCGCGCCGCCGACGTTGACGTTTCTAAAGTTCTCCTTCCCACCACATTTCTACGGTTAGGCAAGAAAGAATAGCCAACAGCTGGACACCCTAAAGAAGGTAACCTCTGGTACTTTGGTCCATACTCAACGAGCACAGCACGCGTACCAGGTGAGTCTTTCCGGCACTTCCCTTATCACTTACCGTGCTGTTAGTCTGACCCTGCTGGCAAGGAACGACCGCCACCTTTCGCCTGTCTACAAGCTAATGCTGGGACGAACCGTGTCTAACCTTCTCACCCTCGTATGACACCCCCGTCTTCATTGCTGATCACTGCGACCAGCGAGTACTAGATTTTCTTAAGGTATTCTACACACAGGTACCAACTACTGTGTACTGTGCGTCATGCTAGTCATGCTATGGCTTGGCATCGCCATGTCTCTCGGTCACTCCGGGGAGGAAAAGAAGGGGTCGGGGAGGGTGAAGGCTTGTACCAAAGTTAGTACCCTTCCTGTCAAGCGAGGCTCGTTATCTGTCAAGAGACTAATGCGATCGGCGGACGTGCATATCGGGACCAACAGATCAGCCTCGGGCCCGAACCTAACCCCAAGAGACCGAAATAATTTTGCCGTTGACAATAGCGGTCGAATAAGCCTATTGAGGCTAGATCATCGCCAGATGATTTGCTGTTCTCAGTCCATGGGGACCCCAGCCTCTGATCTAGTCTAAGATGGCATCATGCTGATTATTCTTGCGACCAGTGATATGAAAGATCGCAAAGACCTGGTTTGTAATCGCCAATCTTAAACGTTTTTGCCCCATGCATTTCTAGAATCTGACAATTTCATTCGTCAAGACAAGGATATCTAAAAAAATTATATATATATATTTTTGTCGTATCTACTTGGATCTGATTTGAGCAACCCCTTCGCACGTTTTCGACATACTGAAACACGGGGTATCCATGGCTTTCGAGCCCCCTCCCCCAAAAGAAACTCCTCCAGCTTGCAGTAAAAGACCGAGTCAACTAGTTACTAAATCTGGCCACATATCGAAGGTACCTTGTCACCCGACCACCCAAACCAACCTATGCGCACAGTAGGCCTGGCAGGGATCCTTTGTTTCCTAGCGGTCGATCCAACGGAAATGGGCAAAGCATCTCTCGGCATAGTCATACAGACTCGAGATTTCTTTCTAGAACGATCATGGAAGGCCTGAGACATGGCTCTAGCAGGTAGGATCCCTGTGGCTTGTAGTTCAGACTGCAGGGTCAGAGACGCCCAAAGGCATGACTCTTTGCAAATAGCGACGTCGTTTCTGAAGGATCATTTGGGCATTCGATCGGCCTGGGTGTCGATCACTGTCAATCTACACCATCTCTCTGTCAGACCAACGATGCTGAACAAGCATCTCCTCCTCCTATCTATCCCCCGACAGCGATCTCCTCGCGCTGCGCTACGCCCGACGCCGTTCTTGCTCTTCCCCTGCCCTCCCCTCCCCTAGCATGTGTGTTATTCTTAGTATGTTGCGGCGCAGCACATCGTCTCAAAGAAGCTTTAACCACCTGTCATCCATGGTTAAGTGGCGTCCTGCTTCGCCAGCGATGTCAACAACCCCTGGTTTTGGCGAATGTTTCGAGTATGTGCACCGTGACATGACTCCTTTCTTTGTGGGACAGAAGCGCACGAACCCAACACGATGATCGATCTTACCTAGGTATGCTCCCCTATCGTCAAAACCCTTGTTCGGGGCGTACTCCGTACATACTGGTACTATCCCGTAGCCCCATTTTTCTTTGATCCGCACGTGACCGAATCGGGCGGCGCACAGGCCATTGCCAAAAAGACGCCGGCAGCGTCCCCCCCCCCAGCCTAGCAGCACCTCCCCTCTAGAGAGCAGTTTACTGAGAGGGAGGACGGAGTAAGAAGGTAGGTATCGCCTTGTCTGCCTTGGGAGGCGGCTAATCCAGGCTCCAGCTATCTACTCTGTACCTACTATGTAGTAGGTACTTACTACATAGTTAACTACGGAGTACGGAGTACGGAGTAAAGTACGGAGTACTATACTAACTAACTAACTAACTAACTAACTAACTAGTTAACTAACTATTTACTACCTAGGTAAATTGGATGCTGCCTAGGAGGCAATCTGGACCAATCCTCGGCATCTCGGATGCTACAACCCAACCAATCAACTGCAAACACTAGCGAGCGTGGTGGGATGCAACGCGGCCAGATCAACCGACTCGAATTGGGAGAAGGCAGAAGTGACTTCGGCCACACACACACGGTGGACAGTCCGAGGACGATTCTCTCTCTCTCCCCGGCAAGAAGACATCTTACAGCTGCCGACCACCGAGGGAGCTCTGGAACCCTTCCATGGCGCAGGTACTCCGTAAGAACCGTCGGCGTTCGGGGCGCGGAGACAAATCGCAACAGCAGTGGATACAGATTACCTCAGGTTCCAGAGAGTAGCACCGTGGAACCGCGGCTCGCGTTTGCGGGATGGAGAATGGGATGTCAACTCCGAACGTCTGCAACAATGGCTCGTTGCGCTCCACCTGCCCTGGCTGCCTATGTCCTGCAGGCTCGGACTCCTCTTCTTCTCCGTCTAGGTTTCGCTCTCTGTCTCGTTTCCGCTTCTGTCAGTCCGTATCAGGGCGGCAAAAGACCTGTGCTCATCACCCATCGTGAAATGAACTTGTGGGGCCCTTTTGGTTGATGACAGCCAGTTTGACTATCATGCAAACTACATACTACGGAGTACCTACCTTACATGGTAGTTAGTATACAGGACTAACTAACTGATATAGTATAGACTACTTTTATTTTGACCAGTTCTTTTTTTTTTCTTTTTTTTTTTCAGCAATCAAGAGAAAAAAAATAAATGAAAATCAAATTAAAAAAAAAAAAAAAAAGGCTTAATGTTGGCCTCTGATCCTCTCGGATCGGCTTGTGCCGTCTCTTGACTGAGCCCATTCCTGTGGCTAGACTATTGGACGAACGAAGGATGTTACTTGTACGGTCCACCCAACAACCGTTTCTCCACTAGTGCGGCCGGATAGACTCCTGTCTCCGCGACCATCGATGTCAGTTTGGGCGGGAGAGGAGAGGAGGGCAAAGGAGAAAAGAAGAGAGGCAGGGTGTTGAATCCTGACGAGATCCCCAGAGCGACAGGAATCCGGCTAGGTGCAGATCAGATGTATTCTGCGATGTGCGATATGGACTGTCCTTCTCAGCAGGGGCAATCTGGCAAAAAGGATGGATCTATGTAGGGTTGGTTGGAGATCGGGACAATCACCTTCAAGGGCCGATGGAGGCGAGGCCCATGAAGAACGCCCGGCTGTGACAGCACGACAGGATGGGCATACTCCGTACCCTGGAGGAAGCCAAAGTACTAGGTAACTACCTACTAACTAACTAGTTACTGCTTCATGATTTACTTTTGCCTTCTTCTTTTTTATTTTTATTTTTATTTTCCTTTTTTTTTTTGGACCCCTTTCCTTTCATGTTCTAGTTCTCTTTTCCGTCCAGGTTTAATTTCTTTATTTTCCATTGGGTGACTTGTTCTGTATCCTGTCCATTGCAGTAAAAGCACTGGGTGGACCAAACACAAAGGAAGACCTTTTTTTTTAAATTATTTTTCTTTTTCTTTTCAATTATAAAAAAGGTGTGTTTTTAGGGTTGAACCAGACAGGCCAGGATAGTCTACTTACTCACTACTACTACTACTACTACTACTACTACTACTACTACTACTACTACTACTACTACTACTACTACTACTATAACGAAACCCGACAGACTGGAACAAAGAGACTGCCCACTAATCTATATCCACATTTTGGACACCGCTGCTGTCAGCTCGTTGATGGAACAGGTCTCAGCCAGGGTTGGTTGATATGCCGCATCTAGTTACGGGTGTCT